AGATATTAACCAATGGAATTGGTGAGATATTAGACAAGTTTATATGGGATAGTTGACAGTGATACAATACCGTATGATGTAATGAAAAAAATGGGATTAAATTGTTCAGATGAAAAATGCTTGAGATGGTGAATTAGATTTATGAATTTGGTAACAGAATTTAATAATAATATTTATAGTTTATTTATTGCAATTGAATTGAATTGAAATTACAGTCAGTAACAGTTGATTAATAAACGTTTCGATAATATGGAAGATAAATGGTGGTTAATAGCCTCTGTTTCTTGAGATACTTTATGCTTGTAGATATTTAAATAATTGGAAAAAGCAAAGTGATAAAACTAACAGAAACCACAAAACAAATATTAGGAATGGTTGTAGTTATGATGGATAATAATAGAAACAGGAAAGAGTGGAATTGAGAGTGATAGTAGATTGATGAAGCGTTGAATTGAATGTGGTCAGTTTTTCAAGTCAAAATTGGTAAATAATAATAACAGTACAATTGGTATTACTAGCGGTGATAATAATAATAATAGAAGTATGAGAAGGAAGTGTTTTATTAGAATTTGTGTGTGTTTGATACGTATATACTGTACAGGATAAACTTTGAAAAACGGTGACATAGATAATCAAACCGAAAAGAAAAAACATTATTAAAATAGAAAGAAAGAGTAAGTTGAGAATAAGATGAAATGATAAGTTGAAATCGCTATTGAAATAGAAACAAAAATTAGCAATGATAACAAACTTGAGAAACATGAAAATCATGAAAATCCTGAGAATTATTGTTGATTGATCGTAAGATGTTGTAATTTTTGGGAAGCACGATAAATGACATTTGAATTTGTTAAAGGGAAAATACAATAATAATGTAATGCAACAAGATGATGATATCATATGAAAACACATAAGATTTTGATTGTTTGAAAAATTGGAAAATAAAAGTTTGACACCAAAGTGCTTTAGATTCAATTAGATTGAAATAAATAAAATTACAAGTTGTTAAACTGAAGGATTCTAAAAGTTCTCAGTGAACATTACAGAATTAATGATCATTAAAAGTAAGAGTTGTTTCATTGATAAAGTAAAAAGAATCAAGAAAGCAGAAGGCCAGAGAAGTTGCAAAAAGATAATAAAGTTATATTTAGTGAGAGAAATGTAGAATGGAGGATAAAACAACATGGAATGGCAAGATTGACGAGCAGCTTGGGTTGCAACGCAGTCTACCAACATAACAGTGGAGATGAAGCAAAAAAGACATCAGGTATGGTGGATATGGTGGATATTGTTTTTGTATTTCCAGGCAGATTGTGCACCAATCACCAATGCAAGAAAAGACTAGAAGTCTGTCTCAGCAGGAAAAAGAACAGAAAAGCGAACAATACAAATGCCAACCAGACCCAGATCAACGCACAGCGCGGACGTAAAGACGAGCCCGAAAGAAGGGCCCTGAAGGAAAGAGCGGACAGGCGCGGAAGCACGGATTCAGGGTGCGGAATGCATGCGGTCCCGATAAGAGAGCTGTGGAAGAAGCCCCTGGAAACGCAGCAAAGATGTGGGTTTTCGAGACAACTTTTCAGAGAACAGTCGCTGCGAAATGGCTCTGCTGGACAGTGGTCACCAGGCTGGAAGATGCCAGGAGAAACGCGCAGTGATTGCTCGCTGGTGAGCTGCGTGGCATTGCAACTAATGGCAATGTGGGTCTGGCTGTGGTTGGTCTCTTTCTGGTACTGCGATTTGACCAGTCGAGCTGGGCTAGCTCTTTCCTCCAGCTGGAAGCCCAGCAAAGATTGCTCTGTGTGACGTTGCAAGCAAGTCTGGGAATCTGCTCCTGGTGGTTTGTTTCATTTGAGCACAGGTGGGCCACTGATTCATCTGCTCGTTTGCTTGTTGTCCAGGGCCAGTTTTCTTATCTGGGCGATGTTCGGTGAAACATTATGTCCCAATTTTCACAGGACGTAAAGAGCAGATTGTTTGTGTCCAGTCAGCGAATCTGACTAGGAGAGTCAACGCTACGGCCTTAATTTGATTCTTGATAGACAGTTCGATAGAGCCCATGTAGTAACGCTGCTGATTTTGAGGTTGCCTCACTGTGTTGGAATTTTGTCAGAGAATCTCCATTGAATTCTCACTGTGCAGTGCTAGAATTTGGTACACTTTGCCAATTTAAATTTGGCTAAATCTGACTAAATTCAGTTAACATTCAATTTTATTTCACTTTATTTCACTTTTATTTCAATTCTCTTCCACTTTATCGTCTATTCAGATTGGAATCGAGACAACTCCGAATACCATCAGACTTTTTTGTTTCCGATTATACTTGACTACTTATTAGTCACCTCCATCAGAACAATCGTTAATACCATCGCCATTGCTCCAAGTCTTGTTATTATCATTTGAACAACAGCCAGCAGATTTTCAGAACATCGTTGCAATAATCTGACTAAACTTGCCCAGTCAATTAACTGTCTTTGGTTCTGTCAATTATCAATTTTTCTGGTAAACTAACTTAACAATCAAATACAATTTTATATCATTTGTGATGATATAAAATCTTGATTGAAATAATTTGCAAATGCAGGCCAAAAATATTTATTGCAATCATGAATTTACAATCATGAATTTACAATCATGAATTTACACTTATTACAAAAACTTCATTTCGCTTTGCTGCTTTTATGCTACACTTTAGTTTTAGTTTTAGTTTTAGTTTTACTTTCAAATTATTTGGCTTCTTTCCCATTTGCTTACTGCAATTTAGATTTCTCATTTGCTTAAATAAGTTTTATTCTAGGCTGTTCAATTAATGAACCAGAGTAAAAAAAATATCAAAGAGAATCAAGGGAAATAAAAATAAACGAAAAAAATCAAAAAATATCAAAAAAATCATAAAAATCAAAAAACATCACATAAAAATACCAAATTAATTAAATCTTAAATAATAATTGTCTAAAAGACTTAAAGTTTCACCAATAAAATTGCATTTTATTGGAAAACCTCCACAATAACTCAGCTAGTAAACACCAGAATATAACAACACCAAATTACCTACCCAAGAACTTATCTGTTCAAACCAACACCACGACTACTTGTGCCTCCATCTCTATCATCACATATTGTATTGTAAAACCACTTTAATTCTGATACCAAATGTATATTCATTTACATGTTCTATCATATACCTATGGGTTTTATTCTTCCCAGACAATTCTTTCGTTCTAGTCTTTTTAGAATCTTTTTAGATTTTTTGTCTTTTTTATCCTTTTTGGCTTTTCAGATTATTCAGAAGTTTAACCTGAACTTATTTTTGTTATTTCACTATTCAAAAATTCCAACTTGAATTTCCTATTTATGTAACTTTTATACACTGTTGATCAAACTAAAAGTATGAGACATGAAGTTGTTCAAGTTGAACGAACCAACTTGAACCTTCCCAAGCTAATCTTGCACAAATGACAAAAACCCAATAAAATTATCATTAACATTGAGCCTTTTATTATTTTATTTCTGCTTTCCTTCTTCATTTTCTTTTCAATTTAGGTTTCTAAAAAAAAGAGAAAGAAAAAAAAATTTACCTAAAGATATCTGAAAATATTAGAATATTAATACATGTTATTGAACAAATTTATTTTAATTAACTTCATATATAATATTGAATCTATTATCAACCTTTTTAAACTTTTAATTTTTATTTGAATCAGCTACCTGGAAATTTCAAATAAAAACCACAATCAATTCCTACTTTTTAAGTCTTACATAATTTTTTGAATTTGAATTTGAATTTAATTTACTTTCTAAATCATTTATCTACTTTTCTATTTATTTCTCTATTTATTTATTTATTTATTAATTTATTTATTTATTTGTTTATTTATTTACCTATTTGTCTATTTGTCTATTTGTTCTATTCTACTTTTCTATTTATTAATACAAATTCCATCTCGATTTTTTTTCACCTGTTTTCCTATTAATTCCTGATAAATTTATTTTTTACTCACTTTCAATTTGATCATAACTTATTTTTATTTTGCTCTTAATTTCTTCATTTTTATTTTAAAATTATAAAAGAAATTTCTCTCTATCTTTGTTTTGACACTTAGTTTTCTTCAACAGCTCTTTAAAGGTCTTACTTCTCTCTTCTTTCAAATATAAACTAGCATTTGGGATCTTCTCTTCCACTTTCAAAAACCTGAAAGTTCAGATATATATAGATATCGCAACAATTTATCCTTTGAAGAAGACAGGAAACATAAAACAGAATACAATTTAAAATTACTACAACAATATAAGATTTGAATAAATACAATAGAAGTTCTAATTTAGGTTTTACTTTTCTTGAATTTCTTTTCAATCTCATTTTAAATTTCAATAATTTCAACGATATCAATACTCTTTAACAACTTTTAACAACCTTTATCACTTTTATTACAATTAAACTAGAAAAATTCCATTGAGTCTAGTCATATTTCGATATATTTATTCACTGCTACCCAAGGTCTTATCAATTTAGAATAAAGCTCTTAAATCTCACTTTCCCTCATTCACTCATTCATAAAATGAATTAGTCCTTAATAGCCTTTTATTTACGACCCAATATCAAAGTTTATCATTAATTCAAATCCTAACATTATACATTTTACCTATCACCTAAAAAGTTCAGATTTTTTTTATTAGCTTTACTATTTTGTATTTTCATATTACTTTGTTTTTTTTTCTGTTTTTTTCTTTACATTTTATCACATTTTTCTTAGCACTAAATCTCTCATAATCTTTATTACAATCCTGAACCAAAAAGCACAAAAAAAAATTAAAATCCTATAAATTCTATTAATAAAAACTACTCCTCCCAAAAAAAAGATTTAAATAATCAATAAGATAAGATCTCAAAAAATTTCAAGATCCACACTGCTAAATTTTAAGCAAACTCAAATTCTCCTGAATTCCCCTATCTCATCGTTACTTATAAGTTAACAAATTTTTTCATGATATTATCTATAATGCATTCCCAACCAACTCAGCGAAACTCCCCCAAGTCTGCTTTAAATTTTTCTCGATGGAGCATTGAGATGGATGCTGCTCTTGTTAAATTTGCCATTGAACAGGTGGATGAAACATATATCAAAACTGGAGATTTTTCCAGGCAATCTTGGGCCACAATTATAAAACAACTATCAGAAATGTTTCCGGACAAAACACAAAAGTTTGACAAAAGCAAATTACTCGCTCATTTTAGAGAGGTTTTGGTCAAAGACCACCAGGTTTGGAGAGACATCAAACTTCATGGCGTTGGCATAGTTTGGTCAGAAACTCAAAACTGTTTTGTCATCGATAACAACAGCGACACATTGGAAAACTTTTTTGCAAACCAAGGTGCAAATAAAGAGTTGTTTGAAAGAAATAAAAAGAAATTGAGCATAATGAAATTCATGTTCATGAGCAATTTTTGTTTTTACCTTGCCTGGTTCGATAAATATCTCTTTCGTTTTGATGATACAAATGACTTGAGTAAAATTGATTTTAAAAATTTAAACTTGACCATTCCAGATTTAATTAGATCTGGTTATAACAACTCAAGAGTTTACTCAAAGTCTCACCAGCTCAAAACATTTCTTCAGCAGCAACAGCAGCAGCATCATCACCAACAACAACACCAACCCCAACTTTCTTCAACAAATATAATGCCAGACCAATTTGGTGGAGGCATGTCTAATCAAATTCAATCTCGATTGTCAAGCAATCAGTTTAATTCTCAACTAGTTAACCAAATGAACAACCAGCTTTCTTCTCAATTAAGCCCACAAATGAATTCTCTGTTGAGCAATCAAATTAGCAACCAGTTTGAAAATCAACTTGCTGCTTCTCAATATCAATTATCAAGTCAGATGGTAAATCAAATAGGCCAGCCCATATCAAGTGATATCAGCAGTGATTTGACTAACCAATTTCAGTATCAAACTTTTCACAATTCGATGAATAACCCTATAATTCACAATCCAATGAATTCAATCCAACCTAACAATCAAGTAAATTCGATTCAATCGATATCTCCAAGCAACCAAGTAAATGCTTCCCCATTACGCCCTTTAACTACAATTCCAAATCCAGAATCTTCGCATGGTGGAACTAACATCATGCAGTTATTGCCAACTTCATCTCAATATACTCCTTTGGTTTCAGCAACAGAGTCATCCAATCTAGGATCTTCAAGCATTCCCACGTTGGGCAGTAAAAGTCGTTCATCATCTTTGATATCTACCAACAGGATTGTGAAGCCAGAACATTCCCCAAGTTTTCATTCGTCTCTGTCACTATTAGAAGGATCCACAATTTCAAACCTTGAGCTATTAACAACAAATTCCAGTTTATTGACTCCACAACAGATTTCTGTAAAGGAAACACTTGAAAGAAAATTGATTGAAAACCTTTTAAAAATTAAATTAGACAAGTACAAAAAGATCACATCTGTCATTTATCAACTACATCAATTAAATCTTATTTCAATGGAATATGAAATAATGTTTTCGAGAAATTATTCACTGAAAAAAGATTTCACTGTTATTAATGAGTTGTTGCTAAACAATGACTTAAGTTTTGAGGAAAGAGCACAGTATTTTAAACAGTTTATGGAGTTTTACGTCTCTCAACAAGAAAACTCTCAATCAAAAAATAAGGTGAATACTTCGACTAGTCATGTTAGTGGGGGTAATAATCTCAGCAACATTTCAACTAGCAATGCTAACAATAACAGTAATTCTAATATTAGCCCCAATACTAATAGCAGCGCTGTTACTAACAGTAGCAATAATGCTAACAATAATCACAATAAAAATAATAATAACAGTAATAATAACAATAACAACGTTAATGCTAATACAAACAACACCAGCAACAACGTTGGTGGCAATGCCAATAACAATAGGAACCTGATTAGTCTTCCCAGTATCAATGGAATTCACAGTATTAGCAGTATTAATAATTTGAACAATAGCAATACCCATAGTCATAATCTTACTCACACTCACAGTCACCCTCATAACATCAACAGCAACAGCAACATTATGAGCAATAATATCAACATGAGAAACCATACTACTGAGCAGTGATTTTACTTTGGATTCATCTGTTTACTCAATATTTTAGATTTTCAAATTAATGGGGATCTTTCTACATTCCTATTTGTTTTAATTCAACTGCATCATTTGAATGTATTGCAATAATAAAAGTACTGTTTTTTTTTGTTTACATCAATTTTGCATCTGTATTATAATTTTACAACTTCTCAAGTCAAAACGTTTCAAAACACAATGATTCAATTTTGTTCTGCTTAACTTATTTTTTGTATTTTCATTTGTTATTTTTATTCTGGAATGATTCCAAAGAAGATTTCGTTCCATTAAATTAAGTTTTCTTTATATTTTGGTTTTATTTAATAACTTCAAAAAAAAAAATTAGCATTTAATTCATCAGGTTTTTATATCTTTTAACCACACTTTTGATTTATTTCATCGTTTGGTCTTTTGATTTGTTTTATTGTTTTTAAATTAATCCATTCGCTTTTCATCTAACTTTGAAATAATTCACCAACAGATTTTATTGTTTTTATCAAATTCATTATCATATTTTTTATTCAAGAGCTGTCAAAGAAATGAAAGTAAACCAGAAATCATTAATGAATTCATAACCAAACACTTCAAATTCGAAATAACCCAAAATCAAATAAATACACGGCTCCATTGTTATAAAATCTTATCTTTATTGTTGTTCATTTCATTTCACTATAATATACAGTCACATTTTCTTTCTGCTTCTCAAAACTGGTTATTATGTTTTTTTGTTGCTTTTTTCACTCAATTCTATTTGTTTTCCTTTCATATTAAAAAGAACATTCTACCAGAGAGGTTTTAAAATTACAAAGCCTTGGATATACTATCACTAATGAAAGATCTGGTTGGATCTGCTTAACAGACTTTAATATTTGAAATTGTTGATGATCATTTCCTCAATAAAAAGGTTTTTGATTCAATTAGCTTGAATTCCATCGAGATTATTTTTATCAACCACCCAGCTTTGTTAGTTGTTGCTTTGAAATAGCATTATTTTTCTGTTAGGAAATATAGCTAATTTTGTTTGTTTTTGTTCTTTTTTTGTTTTCTTTTTATGTTCTTTCATATTATTTTATTTTCTATAGTGATGATTCATTGATAATCATTTTTGGATTAGAAAATTTACTTTTATTTATCCTTTGATATTTTTGTTTCATAAACTTGTTTTAATTAATTAGCTTCACTTTTCTTTTTTGATTGACATATTATTTCCTCCACAAAGTTTTGTAAAACGTAACAACCCTAAACAACCCTTGAAACTCAAATAATGAATAACTTATCGCCCAGTCTGCTGTAATTAGATCTCTGAGAATTAGCTTCAGTCTTTCCAAGTACAATTGCTTCTAAACCAAAACATATTGTTTTTAGCGTAGTACCCTCCATTAGAACAGTGATAGAGTTGAAAGAACTGCAAACCTCATTCCTAAGTTTTCACAACTTGACTGAAGCAAATAAATTCTTTGACACATCATAGTGGGCAGTATAAATAACTACATGGAACTGTTTACTGTTCAGACGTCTTTGTTTTAGCGAAATAACTAATTTGCAAACCATTTTAGATTCAATTGCACAAAGACGATGTTGCTCTAAATGAAGAACCATAATTCTACTTAGCTCAAAAATAAAATCCAGTAGTGTGAACTTTCAAGTGAACCAACTGATATTCATTAATTATATAAAGTAGGATCCGTAAAATATAAGCTTCCCAAAACAATAAATGTGTATACTCAAAAAGCAACTGTTAACACAACACCAATCAACTAACTCAGTCAAGAGTAAAACCTAGACTTGTTGAACTTTTGCATAGTTTGGTGGTCTGAGTTTTCTGTTCAATGCTTTAGAGCCCCATATCGGCAAAATAGAGACAGCCAAAATAAGTATGGTTTGCCAGAGGAATTTGAATGAGCTAACGTACTGCAAGTCAAAATAGTCACCTAAAAATGGGATTGAAATGATAAATATTAATGCCGTTAAGATTTCGGCACCAATCATGATTTTGGTCCATGTATATATTTCGATTGCCACCATTATCAACTCATTAAAAATTAAGGCTGTGAAGCTAAGTGCAACCATAGTTGAAAAGTAAACAGGATCAATTGATGTTAGTTGTTGTGATAATAGCTGTATAACACATCCCTGGTAAAACGATAGTATGCACCAAACAAAAAAGGATTTATAAGAAAGAGATCTGCCAACAGTCAACTCTTTGTACAACTCAGGATACATATTGGCCAAACTTTCATTTACATCACAATCCAACACCATAGAAAAAACAGGAGCCATTGTATATAGAGTAGCATAACCAACCATCAACCAGCCTTGATACAAAGCCAACGGCTCAAATAATGAGGAAACCGAGTAAACAGCCTGACAAACAGAAATGATCAACCCCCTATGGATTACAAACTGGGCTAGTTTTGCTGATCTTTTGTAAGAGTTTCTTCCATGCCATAATAATAGTTTGGATAAATGACAAAACTGAGTTATAGAAAAGTCAGCGGCCAAAGAGGCCTGTTTTCCTTCTTTCCCAACAATTCCGACTCCAACATCGGCACACTGAATCATTGATACATCATTACCACCATCACCGATACAGCAGACTCTTTTCTTTGTAATTTCTCGAATCATCAATGCAACATCGGCCTTTTGCTGGGGAGTACATCGACATGCCACAACAACCGGCAATTTCACCACAATGTCAAAAAATTCCTGTTTATAATATTTCATGAAAACACCAAGAGACTCCCCATCAATTAGCAAGCAAGCATCATTATTGGTTTTTAAATATTCTATAGAGTCCAACACGTTATGCTGATTTTCGTTTAATTTCGTGACAACATGAACATATTGACCTCTAGAAATCAACTTTGCACTGACAGAAACGCATCTTGCGGTTTCAACTTTATCACCAGTTAACATCCATATTTTCACTCCTGCGTTTCTTAATAGCTCAATTGAAGATTTCACATCCTTTTGCAATTTATCCTCAACTCCAGTTAAACCCAACAAATCTAAATCGTGTTCGAGATATTTGCTAGTAACACTTGCCATTTCCAAATCACGGTTGTACATAGACAAAGATGCTTCTTCATATTGTTTTTTGAAAGTATGATACAAATCAGTGCTTAGTTTCTTTCTTCCAATGACTAAAGTTCTAAGCCCTTCTCTAGCCATATTTCCAGTTTCTTCATCCAACCAGTCATTATGTTGAACAATTTTACTCATGACCGTATCGGCACCTTTCTCTAAAAACCAGTATTCTTGCTTTTGTTTATCCTTCACAATAATACCCATCCTTTTTGTGTCAGAATTAAATGGAAATACTTGTAATATGTCGAAATGCAAAGAATTGGAGGAGACATGATGAACCAATGTGACAGAGTTTCTGTCTCTTTTGTACAATGACAACCCAACCGATTCTGTATATTTTACGATAGCAATTTCATCAGGAGATGCAGCTTGGTAGTTCAAGATCCCATCCTCAATTGTTGGAGTGACGTTGTGACATATGGCTAGGGTAGTAATTAAATCTCTAACTCTTTGAGACAAATCTCTTCTTGTTTTTGGGGCCTCATTCACCAAATGATTGGATGAGTTTTCAAACCTCATAGTAGAAATGTAGTCACTGACAATATCCATTGAATCACCAGCATAGGACACGGTTCCTAAATGAAGCTTTTTGAGTTCCATATCATTTTGAGTCAATGTACCAGTTTTATCGGATAGTAAATATTCAATTCGACCCAAATCCTCGGGAATGGTGCTTGTTCTGACAATAGTATCCGGTATTGCTTTATCGTTTTCGATTTGGTGAGCATAAACCGATTTTCCCAAATCTAAATTAACTCTTAATGAAACGGGAATGATAGTAGAAAAAAGAATGAGATATTTCATGATGTCAATATACCAGCCTTGTTTATTTTGTTTGAAGCAAACGAGAAGAACGGAAAGAATGAAAACCGAAAAACACAAGATCTTTGACAAGGAGTTGATTTCCAATTCAAGCAAGCATATTTTACCGGTTGATTTGGTTGTATTCATGGACTGTCTGGTATGAGAACCAGTGTAGACTACACAGCCAACAGCACTTCCTGAAGCCAAGACAGTGTTTGCCCAAAGGGTGTTATCAATGTTCAAGGGAATGGTTTGATTATTATAGACCAAGTTTCCCAAAAAGGAATGAATAAATTTGGCTGGAGGACTAGCAGTGATGCTGATAGTACTTAGTTGCTCATAAGACAAAGTTTGTGTGAGAGGAGTTGCAATTCGTAATTTCCAATCGGTTTCACCATCTAGCTGATCTGTTTTGATGAAAGATTCCCCAGTTGATTCAGAAGATTGAAGAAGAATCATATCTGCAGGGATTCTTTTGCCTTTATGTATCTGGACTAGATCCCCTATTTTCAAGTTTTTACTCTGGACGTTGATTATCTGATTATTAGGATCTGTGGTTAAAACTTGGTATAATTCGCTATTGGATTCAGAATCTCTCCGTCTTCTTTGAATATCATCAACAGCTTCTTTGAACATTGTTACAGAAAGTACAAATGCGAGTGGAACAATATAGGAAGAAAGATAGCCAATTCGCAAGATGGGAATAGCTTGGGTCAAAGCAACCACCAAGAAATATAGGTTGAAAAAGAATTTGAATTGATCATACAAGATCACTGGAATAAAAGTTAGCGGAGAATATTTTGCATTGGAGATTGCATTCAGAGGAAAACCCGAGTTATTAACGCCAGGATAAACAGTTCTTTCTGATAAATCTGGTATTGGGTTACTAACATTGTTGGAAGAATCGTCTCTTGAAGGCGAAGAAGCTAAAGGTAGAGATATAGTACTTTTGGACCTGAAGAGTGTTTTTAAATTCAACCAAACCGATCGCAATGCTTTTCTCCGATTTTGACTTTTATTAAAGTTCGAGACTTGGCTTGTGGAGAGAATGGGAGTGGTATCATCCATATTCATAGAGGATTCTAAAACACCATTAGTGTTGTTAATATTATTATCGCTATTATTAGTGCCATTGTAATTGCTGTTATTATTACTATTTTTATCATTATTATTGTCAATAATATGATTGAAATGACCGCGTTCATCTTCATCATTATCATCACCATCATCATCTAAGTAAAGATTATCATGTTGATTATTTGAATATCGGTTTAGGGTAAAAGATGTTGAGCGAGAGTAAAAGTTTTCATTTTTCCAGTTGGCATTATTATTATTAGTGTTGAAATCCATATTATCCAAAGGAATTGAGGAGAAATTTTTTTTTAGATTCAGTAAACTAGAAGATTTCTGATGATAATCTTTATTGGTACTAGTGTTACTAGTATTGTTATTATTATAAGAGTAATTGATTAGATTGATGTCCTCAAATGGATTGAAATCTGGCTGAATATCCGCTAAATTTGATGAATCCAATCGAAGAATATTAGAATTGGATGGAGTTTCAGTCAATTCTGAACTCGAAATTGACGAAGATGAGTTTGAATCTCCTTTAGATTTAGATTTTTGATTGGATTTAGAAATATGGTTGGAATTTTTGAGTTTGGATGAAACTGAAGATTTTGAAAAAGAGTTAGGGGAGGTTGATGAAGGAAAAAAATGGGCTGTATCAGAAGTGCTTTTGTTTGGAATACTCATTTAGGTAAGTAAGCCCAGCTAAGTAGTAGAATAAAGGGATGTGAGTTTTTAAAGCTGCAATGGCAATCTGCTTCTATGGAATATATGATCAGTTAAGACCAAACGAGAAGCTTAATTGGGTGATTGTTCAGGTGGATTGGAAATAATTGGGAATAGTTGGGGTATCAAAGGAGAAGGTCAATTTAGAAAAAATCTCAGGGGCAAAGAAACATGTACGACGCAAACCTGATGGAAAATAATTAAAAGAAAACAAAACTCAATATCCCTAAAAGTAGTAACAAGAACAAAACACCAACTAATCAATATCTGACCAGCGAAAAGATGTTGGTCAAAAAGATGGAAGTGTTTTGAAGGCTTTGCGTTGATTCCTTTTCCGGAGTGCGGCGGTGCAGGGCGCGTGAGCACTTGTGACAGCACCGCCATACAACGCTTACCACATAATAAACGCAATAGTATGCATTCGCAAATAGTGCATGGTCCCGCATATCCCAATCTCCTGACCAAGCGGTGGAAAAATTATTACGTGATACACATTTTGAATAACCAACTCATATTTCACACCCTTTTTATCAACACTAGTCTTTGTCATCAGGTCAAGTTCCTCGATACAGAAGATGGTTTTCCAGGAACCTTTTGCTCTTGAGCAGTTCATGGACAAATACGAAGGTGTCATTGACTATAATTTGGGTGAAACTTGCTGCTATTCGTTGTCTTTAAATGAGTTGGAACAGCTTTCAAACAAAAAGTTTGAGACAAATGAATTGCTTGACAAGAGAATGCAGTACACATGGATTAGAGGGTCAGAAAAGCTAAGGACTCTTATTGCAGATTTCTACAACGAAAATGATGACATCACAAACAACAAATTCACAAAAGATGATGTTGTGATTACCAATGGGGCAATTGGAGCGAATTTTTTAACACTATACAGCTTAATTGATACAAATGATCATGTAGTTGTTTTTAACCCAATCTACCAACAGTTGAATTCCCTTCCAAAGGTATTTAAGGGTGAAGTGTCCGAAATTAGGCTATCATTCAACTCATCCACTAAAGCTTGGTACTCTAAGACAGAACTTCTTCATGCCATTAAGTGCAGCATTAAAGATAATACCAAATTGATCATTATAAATAATCCAAATAATCCCACCGGTACAGTATTTGATAATGACGTTTTAAATTCAATTATTAACATTGCCGAAACACATGGGATTTATATTTTATCTGATGAGGTTTACAGACCTTTGTTTTATTCAATACAAGATTTTCACACCCCTCCTAGTTCAATCGCTACACTTTACAACAAGGGTATATCAACCAGCTCAACCTCAAAGGTATTTTCATTTGCTGGAATTCGACTAGGGTGGATAATAACAAAAAGCGCCCAGCTAATTACTGACTGCTTAGCTAAACGGGATTATAATATGATTTCGATTTCTTTGGTGGATGATTTAATTGCTTAGTATGTTTTAGAAAATGCACCAGTTATTTTAAAAAGAAACAAAAATTTAATAATGAAAAATTTGGAAGTTGTAGAGCAATTTGTGAATCGAAATTCCAAATTAGTGTGTTGTGTTTCCCCTAGTGCTGGTACAACATGTTTCATCCAGGTTTTGCATCCGGAAATTGATACACTTAAACTGGTATAGTCATTGGCGACTGATTTCAAAGTGCTTGTTGTTCCTGGTGATACTTTTGGTTATCCTGGGTTTTTTCGAATTGGTTTTGGAAATAGCTTCAACGACGTTTCGAAAGGCTTATCTATTTTGGAGTCCGTTTTGAATTCTTTTCTGCCTGAAACTGTGAATAATGAAAAGTAAATGCAAATTCCATGGTTGTGGCCATTTCTGTTTTAGCGAATCCATGGCAATATATTGATGTAATGAAGTATATGAGAAAGAAGAACTAAGAAGAGATCGGCAGCTTCTTTTATAGGGAGGTGGGTTAGGTCACAAAGCGTCGCGGGAGCAGACCGGTGACAGAAACCAAGGGACCGAGTGCAGACATCTGCGAGGTTCACAACGGCCCCCTTAACGCAGTATCCTGACCGAAGAAAATTGGGTTAATGTAGTCAAACATTTTAAAAAGCCTACAGACCTCTGTTTGCGTTGGCCAAGCGGATACCATATGCGATTGCAAATCATGGTCTCCAGATATCCGTTGACACGACCAATGAAGTGAGTTCAAATCTCTACCAGCGCTATCCAGCATAAATCATCAGCAGCTGTGAAACATTGGTTATGGTCACATCCTCCATTGTGAGTTGCACCAAGAGAGCCCTTTCAGATCTTCAAGCAATGAGAAATGGGGAGTTCCATTGCTTTGCAAGTACAAAATTTTGCCTTCCAATTTCGTTTAAGCACTTGATTGAAAATTGTCGTTTATGTGAACCACGGTACAGTGAACAGTTACGTATTTTGATTTTAAATATAACCCGAATTAAATGTAGAGCGATCAAATATAAAACAATTATTGACAAAAACTCAAAACCAAACGTTCTGCATCTCTGTCATAAATAATTAATAAAACAAGATATATCTAGCGATAAATCTAGCTTAGAACGGGTGTTCAAATATTACAATGACAGTCAGTCATAATCGTAGCAAGCAATCCTTTAGCGCAACAATTATGATATCAGCCAAACAATCAGATTCGAATTGATCCCTAACGAGGCAAGCCACAGCTCCATTCGACACAGCTTTGCAGTAATTGACGCAAGCAATTGTGACATGATAGCACTGCACAGCTAGGCCTTTATGGATTGCGCTTTCCGTACTATGGAAAGTTTTAAAATTTCACTAAGTGAAAGGCGCAGCAGCCAAATGATGCTCTACAGAAGTTGATTCGCAAATGTCTAGACAGTTGCGGTTGGTTCGAAGATCAGGCAGAATAGAACGAGTTGCTACCGCAATAGACGGTGGATTCAGCAATGTTGATAGCAATAGACTTCAAATATTCCAATTGGTTTGAGGTGCATTCAAGAATTCCGCTGACCGGATCTAGCCATTGTCAAGTGAAGTGCAGACCGCTGGCCGGTGGCTGTTGTGGTTTCAGACTAGATGTTATTGAATGATGACCAAAGTGTGGCCACCAATTAAGATTGCGCTGGCGTGGCATCAATAGTTGTTGTTGTAATCGCAATCTACCTCCTCAGCAGTTGATGCAGTCTGGTTTGATGAAAATATTGCCTTAGGTCAATCATGATGTCGCGGTCTTATCACAGCATTAGCATCTTAACATGGGTATCTAGAAGCTGATGAAGCATCCCAGCAGCGATAATACTATCACTCACTAATTAATGTGCAATAGAAACGATATATCTCACACAGGATTTTTCATGTAATACTTGTTCACCATCCATTTTAGAGTCATTATTTAAAGCAGCTCATATTATCAATACTTGTTACTGGCGGGATCCGCAAAAGCGAATGGGCAGAATAGCTTCTTGGACTTGATTTCTGAATGTCTTCTCAACAAGTTTTAAGTCGTTGCTTTAATTTGGAGCTTAGCTCGTTCCGATGGCTTAGGAAGAGGGTTGCCCCATTTTTATATTGTCAGTCACGAAATTGCATATGGAACTGCCAAATTGAAACATGCTTTCCTGATTGAGCAATTGTGTGTTTGTTTTTCATTAGGTCAAACATATGGTGAGGCTGCAATCGCAGCAACTCATTACTTTATGTTCCGGGGAGCCGTGGAGCAGCCGAAACTTCTGTTCATCATTAAGGAATTTCATCTAATAATTATGGATATAATGAATAATTCTTTTCTTTGATATCTGTGACATCCAATGATTGAGATGATACTAGCGAATAACGAATTTAGAAGGTTCATTTTTTTCAACGTGACCGTCCTCCTCGGCATGAATATTTGCAGATGTAACTTTTTCTTGATGCCATTAAGTTATACACTGAGCGGCAGCAGCAGGAGGCGCTTGGCTATTTGGAGCCATCATTGCTGTACTACATGTTTCAGCATAATAACCAACTTGAACCCACTCAAGCCGTCGCGCAGTTGGCTTGCCATTAGCAGCAGCAGTGGCTGGTGCTGACTTGACTGCAGCAGTAATGATCAGTCAACTGTGCTTGCTTGCTGAGAGTGAGTGAGCTATCGGATATGTCTTGTTCTGATGCAGTAGCTGAGGCTGCGAGCAACAAACATTTTTGCAGATAGGGTCAGCAAGATCTGGTCCATCTGTGTTATGGTCATCTAGAGCCGTTAGCAAGCTTGAAGGAGTGGAGCTTTGTTGCATTGTATAACTGGAACCATATATAAGCCATTTAGTCACACCTCTAATGTCACTCAGGTGTTCTTGACACACTATGTTGGCTGCAGCAAGAAAACTGTTATCAATCTCTTCTTCAGTGCCTGTATCGGCCACTTCAACATTATGTTTATTGAATGAAGGAGTGTGCCATGAAGTTGAGTCGCTGATGTGGAGACCTTTTTCTGTATGAAGATTTGAGCTGCTGGAAATCCATTTATCATTCTCTTTGGTTTTTCCATTAATTGAATAGCCCCAACTAATTGCAGTTGCCATTCTTCTGTCGTTGAAACCTGTTGCCAGACTTGCCCGTAGCAGCAGCATGATGAAGTAATTTTCTCACAAGTGATCCAGTTGATTGCTTAACAGAAGCAGATGAAAAGGTTTGTATTAGTGGTTGGCTTCGTCAAAACCTTAATGCGAACTGCCAGGAATTCCGCTGAGGTCAGCATGGTCCGCCATGTATGCCTTTTCACTCAAGTTGCTGGCACCCTATATCCCAGTGCACACATAAATCATTTTACTTAGGATCCAAAATATGTTTTAGGATCACTGTATACCCGGCGGAAGCAGGCATTTTGAAAATTGTAGCGCTTGAAATCGCTTCATAATGGAGTTTATATGGACAAGCCGACGGACCAGCATATTAGGCGGGATCCAGCTTTGTCAAAATGTGTTTACTTTTAGGGTTTTATTTCACAGATATTGCGGGATATCAGCCATACTATTGCCTCTAGTAGCTTTTGTCAAGGTTAGATTTTGCTAACTTTGGGTGGTAAGATTGTAAAGGGAAAAATGGAGCTGACATATCGAAATGAAATGTTTAAGATTGAGTAACTTCTTGAAAAGTCAGTTAACGCAGTCGATATCAGATCGGTCGATATGACTCGTTTTAATTAATGGTCGCGTTAAGCGAGTTAGTTTATACAAAAAGGTGGCAAAGGCTAATCCTTTGTAACTATCGGATCTTCAACCACATATTTTGAAAAATTAAAGACAATGGTTGGAATATAGCTCCTTCTTTCATCGGTAACTATTTGCATTGCTAAACAGTATCGAGATAAAGAACATTAGGGGCAGCGGCCCTTTCTCTTGTAGACGACTTACTATTAGCTGTGGTCTTGTTCTCATCGCCTCAAAACTCATATTTCAAAGAACCAGCAGCGGAAACCCACTCATTTTTTACTATGCTTTTTAAATCAGTTTGACATGGTTGACCTAAACAATGTTGCCATCTTGAAGAGACTAACGAGAATGAAGATGTGGATACAGGAGTATCGGACACCGCAAACTCTGCTCTGTTGGTCCGCAGTTCACCATTCAATTGGGCTCAGTGATCATTAGATGGCAACCAATCGTTAGAGTTGTAACAGGTATGATCCAAAGTCGATTTGCACTACGAGGAGCAGAGAAGTGGTTCTCGTGTTATCCGCCACTCAAAAGCATCTCCGTGCCCAAATCGTTCACATCATCAACAGTGTGTCCAGAACCAGCAATGTTTACCGGATCAGAAGCTAAGTTGCAAGACTAAACATTGCTCACAGAACTATTTTGGGATGCGCAAAAGAAGAAATTTAATTGTTTGAAATTCGGCATCTGCTGCCTGATACTTTGAATAGCTACGCAGCATGCTTTTCTTAAACTGTTGGTGCTTACTGAAGAGACAAAAGAGCGAATGCATCCGCCGTGTTGCAAGCTTTTCTCTACATTAATGCTTTTCGCCCTGACAACGATAGCAGGTCGCTGAGTTTAGTTCTGGCCTTGAAAGGTTGCTTTCCAACAGCGACTAAGACAGTGGAATATTTGTTTGCAGCAAGTCGATCACCACCATGATTATTGGCTGAAACTTTTTCATTAGTGAATGTAGTTATGGCAGGGCGAAAATTAAATAAGATCATTTTCCGTGCACGTTGTGCCCGATTTCGAAAGAACTTTGAGAATCGGGTCAATTTGTTCGGCAATGAAACAGTCAAATAGATTGTAACATACATCAGCGAAGAATCCATTGTGTTCTCTCTGTCTAAAACAGTATTTTGCCACTAATAGAAAGCATGTGCGCTGCTGATAGTTTTAGCTGCCTGAACATCAATAGTAACATAACTACTATCAATGTTATCTAATCATGGACGGCCATGGCACCGAATTTGCGGCTGCTGTTTCAATACAGCAGGTGCTGATATGCAATCAAACACCCCAATGAAAGTGTTACCGATTGAATCAGTAACGATCTGCGCATCAACCTGATCAGCAATCGTATTAGTTTTTATGATAAAGGCCTAAGCCATCCAACCGAAGCTGAGGGCTTTAAGAGCTCAGTCCGACACCAAAGTGGTAAGTTGTGGAGCTTCCATATGCTTTTCCTATTAGTGCCAGCCATCATTCGCATTCCAACTGAAGACCTATCATAGTGAATTTATGTCAATAAATCAAGGAGATGTACTATATTAGAAAGAACGGCCTAAAGGAGATCGGCAGCTTTTCTTAAAGATACTGGGTATCCACTGGGCGTGTCATGGAGGATGACCGGTGACTGACACGCAGGGACTGATTGCTGACATCTGGAGGGTCAGATCAGGAATCTATGGAGACCTACATTAGCATGCTTCGATTCAATCGTACAACCGATGTCACTTGTTTGCAGGTTACACCAATGATGATTAACTCGTAGAAGATGCCACTTAAAGAAATTTGCAGTGAGCTGATGATAAAGAATACCCATTATATCTGTTCATTCTTGGATTGCTGTATTAAGCTGCTAGGAGATTAAAGTATAGTATTGCTTTTTGCTGTTGATTTATTTAGTCAATATTTCGGTGCAGCACGGAAGGATCATTATTGATGTGGTGAGATATTGCTAAAATATTTAACCTCTAAAGCATTATCTCTTTAATAGATAGGTGGATCATTAGTTGAGTTTGTTGGATACTTTGACATTGAGTGGGTTGCAGAGATTGGCAATTGACAATCTGTTGGTGGTCATATACTCGTCATTAATCACAATGCCGTTACATTAAGTTGCAAGCGCTGGGGATGAGTGGCGTTGGTGACTGATGAAACGGAATACATTTTACCTATTGAAGGAATGAAGAACGGTCTGATCCAAAGGATGGGTTTGAAATATATTGCACAATTGTTGGTAAACCAATTATCTACTATGAGTGCAACTCGGCTATCAACTTGCCTATCCGTTACACATTTGCACATACTTTGAGTTTATCTCAATGGGGTATCATTTTGTAAGACGGTGGGCCAATACTGCTTTTCTGTTTTCAAGAGTTGATACTAAAAGTAATTATTGCGGTGTCTGAATGGAGCAGCTAGACGCTGCAGTGACAACATATCACGATAAACTGGTTTGATCAAACAATTGTTAGTAATTGTTGTTTTGTTGATTACGTGACTTTGCTTTCACTCTTTTATTTGTTTGTTGGATTCTTCGATGGTTATCGTTCAGGGTCGTCATACAGTTCTTTGACTGACTCTAGATAAAGTAGTTTCTCAACTGCTACAGTCTATTTGTATTACTGGTTTTGCTTCCGCTTGACAGAATGTTGATGTTCGCATTATGATTCATTTCGTTTTGCATTTCATTTGTTACTTCTTCAATTCTAATTCTCTTTATTTTTGTTCAGCGATTGGCTGTTTATAAAAGTTGATGACCATTTTTGGAGCAGTGGATCAGAGAATCAGTGCTCGCTGACCATCGACCTTCCCAGCTAGCTAGGAAACGGTTTTGACGAGATTGCAAGAACGACCTTTCTTCTCTTCATTACTCGTTGTTTTAGACGACCCTTTCTAGTACAGCGCCTATTTAAGTAGTTCCGAGTCACCCACTTCTTTTACTACACAATGTTTTTTTTGGAAGGCCGATTTTCGGATTGAAATCAGGTCCACTGCGCCATGGATGACACTTACACTTGATAGGCGCTCGGCTAACGCCATCGGTGGCTTGCACCATTTCTAAATGATTGCCAACATTGACTCGATCGTATGAGATTTAGTTAGTGAGGAATGGGGGGCTCTTGTGAGCCTCCCGGAAGTGCACATTTGCTTCTTCGGTGCTGTTCACGGGTGGGCTAGTTGAACGATGTGTGGTCAAACAAAATTCTTTATAAGATGTCCTGGGATTATCTATTTGATCATTTTTTAAAATTTTTTCTATGTTGACGTATTGTTATCGATTCGCTTCAGCAATGTGGTAGGTAATTTCATTGAAACTTGAAACGACGGTTTGCGTTGGCCGATCCGTTACCATGTGCCGGTTTAAAACATGAGCAGCATGGATCTGCTTTCGGGCGCAGAGGAGGGGGCTCGGACGCCACTCATCGCCTTTTAACCGAAAACAGCTTGTGGTGAAAAAAATGGGTTTTTGATAATGAGAGCCATTGAGGCAACATTACGACGTCACTTCTAACGGTGCTAGCAATGAGGCATGAATTGCTTTTTGGCTACGTGCGACATAATTGCTACCCGCCCACTCTGTCTGTTCTCTGTTGATGAGCAGTCAAGTTTTTGACCTACCGTTCAAACAACAATTATCGACTGCTAATTAATCCATCACTAAATTGGAAAAGTGATATAGGACAATCGAATAATATTTGAAGCAAATGGAAACGCAGCTACTCTAGGGTAACAAATTGACAATCGGTTAAATATTGTAATGACCAGTGATACACTCAAATTTTAGCGGTTGAAAGTTAATAGAACTCCAGTCAGAACAACAAATTGTATCACATCACTGAATAATGACCAACCATACGTTCATCATTCAATAATACTTTCATAAATCGAAGACGACGTAAACAACAAAAACAAGACTAACACAATTAAATTGTTGAAGGAATTTATTGTGATATATCAAATGCAGACCGCCTAGCGCTTTGTTCACTACGAAAGCAACATTAGTTGAGGAAGCAATTTTTGCAAACGTATCATCAACATTGATCAACACATTTATAAGGCCATGATTATTGAAATGTGCCTAGAGTCTCTGTGTTTGGCAGTTGGTTATTGAAGATGATAGCAGAATCGCTATCACAATAATTAATTGGTTTGTCATCATTTGTGCAGTATATTTGAGAACTTAGATTAGGATCTAAGCACCTTTCACTGGATCAATCAGTGAAAGGTATTCAGCTTCATTAGTCAGCAACGACACTCAAGCCTTGTTGGTGGATGTGAAGCAACGAATCTTTCACTAATGATGAACATATGAAAACCAACTGAATCTCTATCGCCAATGTCTGCACCACATTTTGAGTCGATGGTTCCCACTAATTCCACTGATGAAGCAGCTTAGTATTGAACAGATAATGGGTTTGAGTCATTATATCTTAACACTTCTGCAGCAGATGTATTATGGATTTTGCATGTTGCAATAACTTATTGACTACGTTTCTCAACAGAAGAATGCCATCTCCTACCCTACGTTAATTTTTCCAAAAAGGGACGTTAAGTCAATTGATCTGCTTAGTCATGATTCATCAGCATCCAACGCAGAGGCATCTGATTCAAGTCGCACTTTGCATACATAATGACGATTGGTGTAGCCTGACATTGAGAACCCGCCTTTTTAGAATGTTGCTCCAGCATTCAGACGTGGGTCTCTGGAGATACTGATCCATGGTCGTAAATTTGCCCAAATTCAAGGCCAACAATAGAAACTGAATGTTCTCCAAAATGTTTGATTTTGATCAATCATCTGAAACATCATTTAGCTAGTTTGGCAGCTGCCTCTCATGATGCGGAAGTGATATGATGAACCATATATCATGCAAGAGCTCAGTGATGTTTGTTCCTTGAAAGATAATTTTAACTATCTGCGGCAACGTTCTTTGAAAGCGAAATGATTGCAAAGAATTAATCACTTTGTTGTACTGATAATGGGATGATTGGTTCTGTCTTTAAAATGATTTGTGGAACGTTCTGATTTTCAGTGAATCTTGCGAATTTGCAAATTCAGCTGGATGGTTTATGTTAATGGGATCATCGGTATCACGATCAATGAATGCGGCTGTCATATTCATTTCATGGCCCATCAATTACTTTGATGCTGCATCAGCAGGATGGATTAGAACACTCTCATTCTCAGTTAGCGGACTTCATGATTCAGTGTAATCAACTACTTGCAGCACAAAAAACTACTGAGCGACTGGTGATGCCTTAGCGGAATGCGCTGGTGCCGCCGACTTTTTTGTAGACAGTCAAGGAACTGCAACTAGTTTGGTTCTCAGCGAGGAAATCACTCAACTGGTCTGTAAGGTTCTGAAGAATTGCCTGAAGTTCTCATTCACAAGCCAGTCTGCTGATTGTGTCTGCCGAGTTGGGGTTATCAGTAGTAGCGGCAATAAGGGCAGCTGCCGTTTATGTCAGACCAGACCTGTTTTTAATGGAATATTTTCATTTATTCGTGAATCACTTAGGCCCAATTCTTATTTGATGAGAATCCTCTTGATGAGCTCTATTGGTTGTGCAAAGTTGGTCCCTATCATATTTTCCACTGCTGTTCTCATCAGCTACTTCGCTACTACCATTAGTGGATGCTACAAATATTTTCGAGTCCAATTCATTATCTTGGAGACAGTCTTTCTCTTCATCATCTGATCCGATGTCAATATTTTGGTCAACCATTTTGCTCTTCTCTTTCGATATATCGTCTGAACGCAATTACAGTTGTGTTTGCACTGTCATTGAGAAGAGTAGTCCCATTATTTCCATGTCACTAGCACCAATATTCGGAACACCCAAAATAGTAGGAGTTGTTGGTGGAATGCCAGCAATTGATGGCTCTTGAAGAGCGTACTTAGTTTCATCAAAGTGACAACACATCCTCCAAACATTACAGCTGTTAAAATGATTGCAGACTTATATGGTATTTACACTAATGTGGTAGCCACCAACAGCACCGAAGACACTTCTATCAAGTAACTTGGTTTGACTTATTTCTGTCGGGATCATGGCATTGGCAGCGCACTCAATCACCTTCAACATAGCAGTAATTGATATTTATTTTTGAAATATTTCGAATGATGTGGTCAAGCGAGCTCCTTATTTGGTGAAAACCAAAATCATCAATCACACAGCCCCGAGCACATCGGCAATCCCCAGGTAATCTGCAACAAGCGGCTTAATTATCGTTGCCCTTTCATTTGTCCCGACTGTTCGTTGCCACCGTTCAGCAGCATTACTGCAATGAGACTCGCAAAGATTCGACATTTCTTGTTTGGTTTCTTCAGATGAAAAAATCTCTTTGATCGGTTTGGATGGAAACTTGTTTTTAGTTCTGACTGTATGAGCAGTTTTATGAGATAGTCGTTGAGTGAATGTGATATTGTGTACTAAGATGGGAACAGCTAATAATCGAGTAGCATTTGGTGTAAGAACCAAATATCCGAGGATATCATGAACAACGGTGAGATAATATGCAGCTTCATCAGGAGCAACAACTGGAGTGGCTTGAACAGTATGAACAAGTCGAAGATCATGAACAGCATGGCGTGTCTTGTAGACGATTTCATAATAATTTTAGTTGCTTTTCTCTTATCAAGACTTATATTTTTAGTCAGCACCATCGAAAATGCCATAGATGTTGGCTATATTAGTCCCAAAAATTTCACCTGGTTCGTGTATACCATGATGCTATTTTGAGTTAAATAACGGAATAGAATATTGGAATCAACACATTTATGTTAAGCTGAAGCTGCTCTAATAGCTTCTCATGCACCATTCGAGCTAACACATTCATCTTTGAATGAGAACGACACCCCTATTTTTGTAGCACCCCAAATGGTAATTAAAATTCACGTAAAAGAGCATGAACATCATTTTCTACAATCAAGCATTGAGAATTATCGCGGATCCTGTATTTCTGGGATGGTCGAGAGTGTCACCAATACTAGCAATCATCCTGATGGCAATGTGAAGTCCTTGGAGCTGCTATCTTTAGCAGAATATAGTCGGGATGCTTCAAAGTAAAAGTGGAACCGTTTTGGTTTATCGTGAGCTAGATAGTTAACTTAATGGACCAAGCCATCGGCGACTGATCAACTTTGGGAGCATTCAGCACAGCCACAGCAGCCGAATCATCGGCTGGAGCAGATGATTTTGCAGAAAGCGGTCCTGGTACTACACACTCGTTAGACAAATGTCGTGTTCTCTCAGAGCGCTAATATGTTATTCATTTCTCAAGGTTTCTCTTAACTGGATCCGTGGCAATGATCACTGAGGGTGTTGAGCTTGACATACGGTCAGCTTCTTCTGCTGCAAAGACGCTTGGCCAGTTCCTTTTTGTCAGTGGATGTGATTGCCTGGGGGTGTGTATCCGCAGTAAGAACTTTATCTCCGTAGGTTGTTTCGGAAACAGAAGCAGCATTGAAAATAGCCGCAGCCTGATTAACTTTGTATACTTTGTAAATATTGCAATTGCTTTGAATAATAGATTTATTGTAATCTCAATTATTGGCAAATGTATTCCTCCATTTACTAGAGGGAAGTGATTTTGTCATAACAGTAGCATTCTCTCACCAATAGTACCTAAAGTTGGTCAAAGGTATGCAATACTGGGCAGGGGCACCACCCATTGTATGGCATCCCTTCCAATTCGGCATGGATTAATCAGCTAGTAACCAACGAATGGCAAATGGACTGTAACGTAGCTTTAATTCTTTGTGCATTATCATCATCCGCCAAAGTAGCACATTTTTTCATAAAGGCTTGAGCCAGCTGAGCAAACTAAGCAGCTGCAAGATAAAAGACCGAATCCAAAATAAGAAGGATAACACCATTCATTAGTTCCTCAGATTCTAGCAAAGGAACATTCCCAATCCGGTTCATAACCTGCGGTAGTGAATCGATGGTTATATTGTAAGGTATGGAAGTATATCATATAGGAAAGAAAAACGAAAAGAGGTTTTACGGCCAATTTATAGAAACCTGAGATGAATCTCAGAGGGGCGCCGGAGTGGTCAGATAGCAGTGAGCGAAGGACCAATTGTACACATGCGCAAGGCTCACTCAACATGATGGACATTGAGGGACCGAGTGTGGAGGTCTGACAAGCTGAAATCAGCCCCTCTTTACGCAGTGGTCTGAGCTCAACCGTTCGGAGCAATGCGGTGGAGCATTTCCGATAACCTGTGAAGAAGTGATGTCGTTGGCCGGAAAAAAGCAGCTCTGAACGGCAAGCTTGGGATCAAGAGATCTGCTCACTGGCAAAGTTTAGTGGCTTCAAATCTCAACTCCGGCCATGTAAACGGAAAGATCGCGTATGACGAAGGAAGGTGTATTTTGAAACTCCTGCCACTGGTTTGCCCTAGGACGGTTCTATCAATTTTGAATGCAACCAGAGAAGGGAAGTACGGTTTCTTCGTGCGTCAGAATGGTTATTTGGCCAATGTGCGAGGATGACTGTTCGAGAACTGCCGTTTATCTGATCCAACATTCTGGGCTGATCTAAAAACCTTATGATGAATAAAGCACTAAAGAAGAGAAAAGCATTGATATATTCACTGGGTATCCAATCAAATGCAGAACCAACAACTTTTCAATACAACAGTAAGCCCTCTGGGAATCAAGGAGAGAACCAGTGATGCAACAAATTTGTAGCTGTTGTTGAAATAATGTAGGGGCAATCAGTTGAACAACTGAGTTGCATGGCCGTAGCATATCCATCCAGAATTCAAACCCAAAATGAAAATGAAATAATAGCAAATTGAACCTAAACTACGAAAACAAAGAACTACACTGGACGCAGAGAAACAATTGAATAAGAAATGCAAACGCCGAAGTGCTCAACCGATTAGTGAACATATCAGCAAAGTCCTTTTTAGTATCCGCACTTGCAATAATAAAACCAACATTGCCCAACTCTCATATAAACTGATTCTTGCGGATAATATGGTTGAAGCATCTGTTACTAAAGTGATCATTGGCGAACTTGAAAAAATAATGGTGAATGATTAATGAATTAGGTTAATCGAAATTTGTATCAATTGACCTGAGTACCTGCATTGGGAAGCATGCTTTTTGAGCTTCTTCAGTGAGTCAAATTTATTCATTTTCACATCTCGGCAAGGCCTCACAAGCTGTCTTCATCCAGTTGCAAGCAACTGTCATTTGATTTCTGTTACTCATGGAACCGACAAATGAGTCCCGATCAGCAAAGTCTCCGGCGTAGTCACTGTCAGAGAGTCCAACTAACTCAACTGATGAAACAGGTATCTAATAATCAAATAATGAGATTGAGTTTAAGTAGCTTAACACTCTCGCAGCTCCATATAAATAGACCGACCAGCGAGCACCAAGAAATGCACTGTGTAACCAACCATGAATGAATTGTCATGCCGTGAACTGATGGCGTCAAGAGTTATCGATACAGAAATTCAGCTGCACACTGATAGCCTCAAAGATCTTCTTTCACAGCAATCTGTTTTCAGCAGCTCCTTCTATCGGTTAGCCATGAATCGCGTAGCCTGCGATTACGACTTATCTATTTGAAACCGATGATGCATCATTCCCGCAAAGCTTTCGTTGGATAACAAGGTACTTTCGTCCTTTTGAGCAACATCAAGTTCACAGTAGCCGCATGAAATAATTTTAAAACCTCTTATTTTGAGCCACGAACTGAAATTTGATTTGACTAACGTGACGATTTCATTGGATGATCTTTCAATGTCATTGATGCTAGAACAGAAGGATTGATTGCACAAATATTATATTTAATAAATGATTAAATAATGGTGTTTAATCGATTCCATCAACCTGAAATGGGATTTGAGCAGCTAGTTGGCCTCATAGAAAATGAGCAGTTGTTGCTGACTCCTTTGTAATCACCCATCGACAACCAGAAAGTCATTTTAAGATGGATGATCGACCAGCAAGTATCGTTTGATTTAATGCACTACCTTAAGCTTTGATTGACAGGATTTGGCAGAATCGATGGGCATAATTTCCTTTAAGTGTAATGTCGCCATTAATGGCAGCAGCCAAATATGTCAGAGCACCCCAGCCTCTAAAATGCATTTTGAGTGTTTTATTAGTTATATAGATCCAATTTTGATTTCTTGAAGATCTGCTTGACGAAGTCTTTTCGATCCAGTAAATTGGTCAATTTCGGATTCAGCTCCGGTGTTTGCAGGAACAACTTGATTATCATCGCCTCTAGATTCAACTGACTTGATCGAGTTCAATTCAAAGTGATTCGGTGAATGATTCGCATCATCATTTCCGCTGATCTCGATATTTACATAATTCACTTTGGAATAATTTTGATACGAGTCCTTCCAAGCAAATGCAGTTTTCCTATCTTAATCATTAGTTCTGTGTGGTAAGTATTCCCCTTGAAGAACATGAAGAAATTGCGCCACTAGATCGGCAGAGGCAATGGTGAGCCTCATCACAGTCAATAATGGCTCTTCACCAGGAAGTTTTGTTTCATCAAAAAGATAAGAAACCTGAATACAAGACAAGTCTTATGTGAATTGTAAGTTCAGTAGGGCTCTCTTCCAACGTCGTAGTCAACAGAAACACTTAGGGCATTTGCATTACGTATCATGTTTCCTGATATGTTTGGACTTCATGCAATAAGCAGCACATCCATGCAGGTTGAACACAGCAGAAATTGACTTTCATTCATGAATTAGTTCAAAAGGTGAAATCCACAGAGTGCCATGTTTTCGTGTAATCAAATTCATTGGAAATTTAGGACACATCACTACTTCATTCCAGGAATGATCAGGAACAGTTGCTTCAATTATCATTGTCATGGCTTTGTTTTGATTGATCTCCGCCAACGAAGAGCGACCTGATTTGAAACAGACTGGAAGGACACCGCCAATCCATGATTGATTCCTTCAGTTTGACGAGAATCATTGAAGGGCTTGAATGCCAACATGGTAACAGATTTGACAGTATGAATGGATTTATCCAATAATAATTGAGTAGGTTTAATACAATAGACCTATTATCCAGGAGCTTTTGATAATGTACCATTTTGTGCAACAACATTATATTTAGAGTCATCTTCAGCAATGATGAGGAAATAGCAATTGTCATTACCAGCAGCAACTGGAATTGGCCCAAGTCTATGATCATGATAATCACCCAAAGAAACAGTGGCCCGTTTTGGGGACGACATATTAATGATTTTGGTCGTTTGTCTTTGAAGAAAATACTTGCATTCCAAAGCAGCAGCACTAGAAACGCCATTGATTAAATCTATTGTTTGCAACAGTCTTACCTGGAGGACCTGACAATGATGCCTAAGTGTAGCACTGGACACAACAGCTGATGGAGCATTGTGTGATACATATTGGTTGAAGCTGCTCTCCTACCAGTTATATCTCATTCATGTATCCACAAAGTTGCTTGAATGAAAATCAGGTCATTTATCTGCAGCAGCTCCGAATGAAATTGAACTCTCACCATTATGAGTAGAAAACCACTGTTTATTGATCTTCTTTTCAAAGGAATAACAGTTCCAATATTATTGACATGACCGGCGGTGTCAGCAATAGCATCAGTTTCACCAAATGAAAACTTTAGTAGTTCAACCGACGTTCGTCAACCTAACCATGTTGGTTTGCGCATAATTTCAATAGACCTGTGTGGATTTGAACATCACCTAGCCAGCTAGTTGCAACAATTAAGCGAACAGTGTGGAATTTCATTGAAAGCATCAACAACTGCGACAGCAGATGTAGCGTTAGGTGGATTTGATGATGAAACAGGAACTGGCACTGGTTCCAAACACTCAGTTGCCAAGTGAATACTCTTGTTACAACGGTTGCATGTCATTTTATTATGTTTTGGCTTTTCAATTGTGTGCTATTAACTGAGATTATTTGTTTCAGACTATGCTACAGGCAGTGTATCAATATCATTTTGACCGGCCAAAGCCTTACCATCAATATACACAATTTTGGAAGGGTCGGAAAATTGAGCAAATACTGGTTTGATGTCTGTGGTGTGCGAAACAGAAACCGCGCAGACAATAGCGCCGGCTGGATGAACTTTCTACACCTTCAAAATATTTCAACTAATTTCACTGAAGCACTGATGGTTATCCTTTTGCTAGATTAATGTATTTCTACCAAATTCCAAATACCGATTCTGGTAACGATAACAGCAGCCTGAACGGCAGTAGTACCATAATTGATTTGCAACTAAAGTAATACAAGACTGGTATATTACCCATTGCATTGCTCCTTTTCCAATACAGCGGAAATCAATTCTGTTGTATGCAACATATGGCTATTGAGACCCAACCCAAAGTTATCGTTTTCTGTGCCAACATCATCAACATGTAGAACACTGTTTTTCTTAAAGGTTTGAGCAATCGCACCAAACAGAGCAGTTTGAGAAGAGCAGACCGATCACAAAATAGAAAGGTTAGCAACATCTGTGAACTACTCTGATTGTTAGGAGAAAAAAAAAAGAATTTAGCTGATATTCTCCTGTAGCACATCCATCATAATATAATGAGGTAAAACGGAATATAAAAACAGAACGGAGAGGAAAACGGCAGCTTTCTTCATGGAAACTGGTAGATCACAATGACTCACAGGAGCAAAGCGGTGACAGACACCAAGGAGCCGAATCTAGGCAATGTGGAGGGTCTGAACGGATATTCCCAAGATCTTAAAGCAGTCCATTTCATACTGACTGTTCCATGAGCCGTGCAGAGCAGTTAGGTTTTCCTTTAACATTGAATATCTAATATCCTTAACTGCTTTCTTTTAACCTGATGATTGGGGAGCCGATGTATGGAATTCTTCTTCTTCGCTTAAATTCATTTGGTTTGCCATAGGAAATAAGCTTTTAAATCTTTGTAGGTTGTCCAAATGTATGAGAAAACAGTGGGAGTGATATATATATATATTGAGACCGAAAGATCCAACTTTTTTTGAGTAACAGGATCCACTGAGGAATGTGATTCTGCGTGAATATCTTTAACATCACCTGTGATCGCCTTGGTTGGTTGAAGTTCAACTTCTTCAACAACTGGAATGATATCAATGGATTTAAGTTACCATCTTTACCAGTATTAAAAGGAATTATTGTGCTCCAGTTATATCGTTTCATGCTCAAATGATCTTTTTCAGTTGGCCTGCTATCATTCATCAGCCGTCTGAGTTCTATCAACGAGCTGTTATCAAAATTAAATAGAATTTCAGTAAGCCAGTTAATGATTTTTGATGATTCCACCATTTGATACGTAACAGGGCTTTCAACATCTTTAACAAACGGACCTGCAACTAATTGTCATCTTTCGATTGATCATAGAATAGAGGTATAACAAATAACATCGTGGAATGGTACACTCAAATCAATATCCTTTTCACTATCGATTGTTCTTTGGTTGACACCGATAGTTGAGACTGAACTAAAACATTATGAGTTGCTAAACAAATAGTTGGGCTATCAATAAAGCTGTGTTGAGCGTCGACATTATGAGAAGCTTTTGAGTTATTTGATTTGAATGGAGATGTTTGGCCCGTCGTTCTGAAAATCCTTGTTTTGAAATATGTTTTCAAAGTTCTTCACAATAATTAATGCAAATACTATAAATGAACTATAACCAAGCTATGTACCGTCGATTTTTTTTGTGAAAAGTATTTTGTAAGATATTGTGATTGAAAGCAATCATTTGAACACCAAATGGATTAATTAGTTCAAGATCTTTTATTGTTTGTGAAGGCATTTGTTATGATGACTCATAATCATAATCCATTGGAATATACTATTTCAGATAGATAGAGCGTTCAATTGACATATTCCAACATTGATATAAAAGAGTGCCACAAATGAATTACTGTTTCTTCTTTTGATTCGTTTACATGTTTTGATATTCACCCGATGCTTTTTCAACGAAGTATGAGATGCAATGGCTTATTGGATGTAGCGGATTTCAACGCAAAAAGTTTCAAAGACATCGGCATCAAATTATTCTTTTTTTTGATAGCACAACGTGATAGCTTTGCCAAGCAACGTGTAGTGGCAAATACATAATTGTACGTTAAAGCAACAAAGAATATAGCAACAAAATCCATACATGCATTGCCAGCCCCTTTGATAAAGAACTGGGTTAGATCACTACCCTTAGCACAGCACACCGGAGACAGAGTCCGAGGCACCGAATGTACATATACGAAAGACTTGCCGCTGCCTCTTTAAGCTGAGTAATCAATCCCGAGTCATTCGGGTCAATGTTGTCAAGCATGTTACAGAAAGTGCAAATAACAGTTATCGCTGGCGAAGCGGCTTTCAACTGCGAGTGCACATCATCTTCTTTAGGGATGCGCTCACGGGCGGCATGAATTTACATGCAAACTCTATCAATGCCATATAAAGAAATGTTAATGGAAGAAATAAAGCGGGCGTGATTCACCTACTTCCATCTCCGTTTTACAACAAAGGCTGTTTTGTGATTCAACCAATGAGACATGAAGTGGTCGATTGATTGTGCGTCAAAATCGATGCCGGAAAAGTTCGTTAACTTGTTTGTTCGGGTCCATCCATTGGTCTAATCCACTGTTCAAGTTTCACTCATGGACTGCTGAGTATCACCAAACGATAAACCAGAGAAATAGATTAAAAACATTAAAGAATAGAGAAAACAAGCACAAAAGAAGGTATTTTTCAATTTGAACTTTAACATTCTGTAAATGAGAAATACCCCCAGTGGTAGAAATATTTACTAACCGATCTAAATAAAATATAACTCAAGTCAGTCAAACAAATGTAGGAGATGATGTAGCATGAGCAACAAAGAATCAAACAAGCAATAACAATGAAATAAATTTGAAACAAGAGAATCATGAAGATCAGAACATCAACTAATGAATGATACACCCAATATGATGAGATATTTGGGCATTGGAGCCCTTAGCTCTTTAGTGAGCGTTTCAACAGCATTACTTTATGTATCAACACTGGAGTGACTGACAGCATCACTGCACAACGCTGTCTAACTGCGATCCCTGAATGGAATATGATAACTGTTTCGGCGATTGGTGTGGTAGTTATTCAACTTGTAGCGGACTTGGTAAGACAATAGATATCTGTTGCATTGATATTTGTACCGATATAATTGAAAACGTTCGTTTGGAAGACAGGATCTTTGACCGCATCGGTGAGCGAACTGAATTCAGCTTCACAAGTCAGCAAGGACACTGATGTCTGCTTTTTGGTGGTACAGGTAACTCGCTTTTGACAATTGAGAATGTTGTATGCACCAACTGACTTTTGATGACCAATATATTCCGTCCAATCACAGTGAGAGTATCCAGTAAACTCAATGATTGAAATGGCTTTGAATTGATTTGTTAATGGGATGATAGCCTAATCTCTTACCACTTTCATTGCACCATTTAAATTGATAAAGAAAAATAGACTGAAATATTGTCTGTGATACACATCAACAAAGCAATATTGCCGCGGAAATAAATTGCGGCGACAAAAAACGCTCCGGCGATTGAGCTATGTTGTCATGATTCCTGCGCATCACACTCCAGTCCGTCTATTTCTAGTGCACCCTGAATTGGTTATTGTCGTTTGGGGTGGTCTCTCAACAAGACTAATCAATTTGAATTGTTGAAACACCCTTCAGACGTCCGTCTGCAGAAATACCGAAATTCCTTTGTTATTTTGACGGTCTTCATCCCAAAACCCGATTGGGATGTACTGCAAGATCTTTTATTTCGAACAACGAAGTGAGATATCACTTCATCAGCTTAACCATGGCATGTGATGAGGCGCGATTAAAAAACTCAGTCAGGTGAAATACAAGCGGGCGGTGTGTTTGTTCGTTGAAAGATAAAAAAGTCCAAGCTGTTGTGAGGATCTACAGATCTCAGATCTTTTGAGCAGACTTGACATGTTTTTGTCTCAAATGTGCTGAATGGTTCCGTCCGTAATTTGATGGGTGTAACTCGGGGTCATGAAGAGCATCCTTCCATTAACGATTTCAAGCGGTTGTTAAATGTAAGTATTTGCGTCGATATCACTATGAGGAAAATCAGTAGGACAACATTATTGATGAACCTTGATCATCTCTGATGCTGAAAAAGCATGATAGATCTTATCAATTGCAAACGTCAATACTGAATTAAATGGGTTTTGTTAATGAATGACGTTAAGCTGAGACAGCCCTTTAGCAGCAAGTCTGGCTTTAGCCGAATCACCAGTTGCTGCTGGCGTCATTGAAATGATCCAACAATTGGAAGCGAGTCTGCTTTCGCAAAAAGCCATCAGCAACAACTAAGGATTTCTAACTAGCATTGCGAGAAGCTCCGATTCACATACAACTTTGCAGTTTGGGTCTGAAAGATTTGGATTAACAGAACTAGCCGTATCAAGGGCAGTAAGAAGAAACTTCAGAGGAGCCCTGTCTTGAATAGTACGACCTGGAATATAAGAAAGCCATTTATTTACATTTTTACTGTTATCGCAATTCTTTTGACTAAACCCATTGGCTTTAGCAAAATGGATTTATTAGATTCTGCACACATTTCAGCATGATCAACCTGATCCTTACCATCAGGTGATGTGACAGATTTTTCTTGAGCATGGTTCATTCTCATCCACCGAAGCTTCTCTGTTATTATAAAAGTTGATCTGAATAAAATCTTTTTCCTCATTCAAGTTATTAGTTGATGGATTTTTTAAAGCGATGACTTCAGTCATATTTGTCATTGACGGTAGTAGAAAAATTTCCCCCATAAGATCAGCCGCCATAAGTCTAACTGCAACTGCAATTTAAGCGAATATGTAATTCTTCATGAGATCGTTAACCGTTGTAACTAGCTACTTTTAATTGAATGTCATAAAATTAAATAGTAGAGCCACAGAACATTCAATAAATAAAAAATGGGTTTTTGAGCAAAGATAGTGTAATTTGAAGTAAGAATTGAATCACTTCACGCATAAATAAATCAAGAGTAAATGTAAAAATAGAATAACTTTAACTGAAAGTAATCAAATTAAGATGCAGATTATTGGAAAAGTTTAATCAATCACATCATTTGCTCAAACACTGGAATGTAGAAGATGTAAAATTAACAGCTGTTGTGAACTCGCTACTTGGACTCATTGAAAAAGATATTTGGAAAATGAGTGACTTGAAGGCAATAAATAGACATTTTTCGCACTTCCAACGAAATCCAAATTTAGATTGTATTGATGAAAATAAATAAATTTAAATTAGTGGTTTTAAAAATGTTTCAAACGTAGTTGCTTCGTCATACTTGGTAAGAAAATCAGCGAGATTCCCTTCTTGTACAGAGAACTCTGATTGATTTTATTACTGCAAATAAGTCCTCTAATAGCATTAATTATCAAATAAATATCTTGAAACGAGTATTAGTGTAAAGATGTAAAAAATGTGTGAAGGACAATTTATCATAGTTATATAGATTAATAAAAGCAACTGGTGCTTTTAGGCCATCAGATATGCTTTGAAAAAATAATCCACTTTATATTGTTTTAGCTCACCAAAGAAATTCAGGATTTGTGGATCACAAAAACACAAGTCATTGTTTGTTCAAAGACAATAAAAGCAAGTTACTAATTAATTTTGGGAAGAGGCCATTTTGAGAAATTTTTGTGTGTGTACGACTTGGTCAATCGCATTCACTAACAGCTGCTACTCGAAAACGTTTAGCGCAGGATATCCTCTGAATGTTGCATGATCTCTTTTGTCAAAAGCATTGAAATCTCGTTCATTTATTTGAATATTCAGTTTATCCTCCCAAAAGGGCAAATCGTTTCTATCTCCAACACATTGTAACACTGTGATAACACCAAATAAATGCTGTTAGTAGGACTAACTGTCCAATTTCTCAAAGTTGATGAAGCAAAAGAAATATCATATCTGGCAGTACTTGCCTTGAAATGTGATGTACCAACAATTGATCTATATCATGAATGACCTTTTCCACCTAGGACCTTTGACTGCCCATCATTTTCAAAGTTTTTGGATGGAGGAAGATTTCATTGATTTAATCTTTGAACTTAAAAAGCGGATTGAATCATCTCAACAGAGTTATTAGAAGAAATCTTGCATCCAATAGTTGTTTGCTCATTATTAATTTTAAGGTAATATTTGGTAAATCTTATAACATTTTTTGGAAAGTTGCTAATTAATAATGTCATTGTTTTCACAATTTATTGGTTTTTTTATCCTCCAATTTAAATATGATCAACACAGAAAAAATTATGCTTCTCGAAGTATAAAAGAAGCATGGATTGCCCAAAGTTTTAGATTAGCTATATCTAGCTTGTGGAACCGTTTTGAATGAATTAAACTAACGTTGGGCAGCTTGCATCAAACCGTTGAATTAGCTTTTCTATGTGCATCCATTATCTTCTCATGGAGATGTTCAAATAAAAGGATCAGCAAAAACGGGATAGTCAATTGGTGCAATCAAGAACGCTGCCTTGGCATCAAAGAAGCGGAAACTGCAATTGTCCGTAGTGGTAACCGAAAGCATTAATTTCCACGTATCTTATTTGAACGGTGGTGCATAATCATGAATTTAACTAAGGCCAATTTTTTAAAGAAATCTTTTACCACCAAATTTTTGTCAAATTGTTTAGAATCATTTGTGACAAGATCAACATTGAATACACTTGTTTTTAAGGCAATTTTTTCTGTCTCCGATGCTCTTCAAAATGATGAAAACCCCTCATGATCATCAATTCAACTGATTTTGTTTGCCGTGGCAGATCTGCTTTTTGATTTTTGTGCGCATGTTAAAAATTGTCAGAATAATGCTTGAATGATATAATAAGATTTCGATGCCATTGATTGCGCCTCTTCAACAACAAATGGAACCGATTAGGTTGGAAAAGCTCCGTGAGCAAGTTGAGGTTCACCGGTATTTGCTTCAGTTGGTTGATCTTCAATTTTTTCATCAATTGGTGATAATTAGTATTGATTACTGTAAACATCATTTTGACTACTATGCCATGTCATTGTTTAATTTGCTTCGGCTTTTGAAACAATAAATTTTTCCAGGTGGTTTGGTAATGTTAATATTTGGTCTGAGTTCCATCAAAGATTTGCTATCAATATCAGGTAGTTTGTAAGAATGGTGATTGTTTAATAACATTGATTGAACAATTTTGAAAGAAACAAACACTTTGAAGATGGCCAGCAAAATGAGAACAGCATTCGAATGTTTTCGGGGAGTGATGATGTACGAGAGAAATTATTTATAAAATTGTACAACGGTTCACTCACCTCAATAATGTTTTTATTAATACTTTTGTAGTTTGGCTTGAACAGTTAGTATCAATCATAATAATAGATTCTTGGAGTAGGCGTCAAATTATCAGTGAAACGGTTTGGAGCTTTGATGTGTTCAACTGGAATTAAATGATTTGATTGAAACGAACTAATCTGATTGATTGTGGCGTCTGAAGTTGTTTTGGGAACTTTTTTTGAGTTCTTGTCTGAAATAGATGCAATTCTGTTTGACGAATGAAACAAATAGATGCACCATTGATGTCTTTCGTTCAAATGTCTTGGCAGACATTATGATTTAAAATAAACATTTGAGCAGCAAGTGGAACAGCGATGTTAGCATGCTTTTGGGCTGTTTAAGCATTACCCATCAAGCTTTATATTTTTTATTGACTGCAATATAATTGTGCCAAAACTTCAATTTCTAAACGCAAATTTCAAGATTGATTAGGAACATTATAGTCAATGATTAGTTCCTTGATTTTTTTTTTGGAATGTTTTATTTGATTTTTCAGCTTCTCCATTTGAAAAGAAAAAATGACGTGTTACATCCGGATGGCTGTCTTTTTTTCCTGGCAGAAATATTAAAATCTAATTTGATTCAATTTATTGTCTGGCTTGATAAAGCATTTTCCTTGGTTTGTGATATCAACTAAGCGTTGAAAATTCGCTAACGAATCATATCTTGATTCACTTGCCTCCAATTTCAACTTGAAAATTCCACTAACAACAGAGTTTGATTGAGGGTTAGCAAGTCTTAATGGACAAGCTCCATTAATTGGTTTTTTCAAAGAAGCATAGATATTTCTCCAACATTTAAATGTTTGGAGTCCTGAACTTTTGAAGCATGACTCTTGGTTTGAACAGGATATGTGGTATCGCATTGAAATAATGAGAGTTAAATATCACTACCAATCCAATCATTTGTGGTTAAGGTATTCTTTTCAATGAAAGAACAATGATCAATGCCTTTGTGAATTGGTAGCAAATCATATTCAGAGATGAGAACCAAATCATTTTCTACTTATTTTGGTTTTAACACCAGTAATTAATTGATTTTGTAACACGGCGCAGTAATCACGACATCTTTGTCAATTGTTACATCATCTCCTTCAAGGTGAACAGTGTAATCATTTTCTTTGAAGCGATCAATTTTAATCACATTTAAATTTTCTATTTTACAGTGTTATTTCTTATTCATTCTAATTGCAAAACGTACAAAGAATTCTACTTTTTAAACTTTAACATTCCACCACTTCACTCAATGGTACATTCGTAGAAAATATTATTGGTTTTCTTTTTATATTTCAATTACTTTATTTAAGTTATTCAAATTTTTAATTTTTTTTATAACAAGTTCTATTAAAAGTTCATCCATCATAACGTAATGATACCATTTTGTTACACTTGCACTTTGTCTATATTGAGTCAAAGGCAGTCTATTTCCACATTTGAATTTCCTTATCTTAGTCAATGTTACACAATTATGAAGCTTCATGAATTCATAATAGACTATGTTTAATTGTTTAAATCCCTAATCATTTCGATCTGCTTTCCTTGCTTCGTACATTTTACACTTTTCGTTGGTGAAAACTCGTCCTGTCCACTTTACTGCTTTTTGTTGATCTGAAAGGTAGAGACAGCTCTTTCATGTTAAAAATGGGTTATTTAATTATCGATGCCGGACAAGATTCATATAATAATAAAATGCACATTGAAATAAATGATATATTCAATTGAATTAATCAGTTGTGGATAAAGCTAATTTGCAATATAAACTGTCACATTCGCAAAGATGTCAGATCCTTACCTCCTTCCATATGTCGATTTCCTCCAAATTTTGACATTCGGCAAAATGACTTCAATATATCAATGTGTCATTTCAATCAATCATGATTGATACGTTTCGGACTGGTGCTGAATGGCCGTGTCCTAAAACTTGCTTCACGAAAAAATCACCGACGGAGTCAATACTGATCAGCTTAGCTTAAAATGATTTGTCGCTGCTACTGATTTTAATTGAACTGCAACATGATATTGAGGTATTGTGGAAAGGTTATTCAAAGTTGCTACTGAATTTTAAGTAAATACAAATAACGATGATTACAATGCGATTGAGGTTCATTAAAAAGACTCAAAATCAGTAAATCTGACAAGATTTTAACAAAATAAAGTTCATAAAAACTAGTTGACTACAGCAATTACTAAATTAAATGACCAAGAGCTTAATCAGCTGATCAAGATAGTTGCAGCAGATTCAAAGAGCTGATCAAGATAGTTGCAGCCCTTTATCCAGAATTTAGATTTAAAGCCCATTTCGCTGCTTCTCGTAAGTTAGAAACGGAAATGATATTATATACGTTGGAAACAAAGGATTACCTGGCACTGCATTTGATGTTACCAAACACACGGCACCTTGTTTAATGAGCGATACCTGCTGAAACATTGATAAACGTGAAAATGAATGATTGTTTACAATCCCATCAGAATTAAGTGAATTGAGAGACGACCTCCAGAAAGCAAATATCGTGTTAACTAAAACCATATTTTTCTCGTAAGGTAATTTTGGTCAATTCAGGGCAAAATAGAGGAAACCAGTAAAAGCTCAGATGTGTGAGTAGATTGACTTCATCGGATGACCTAATGACTTGATGGTTGTTTTTGAAAATGAGTCAAAATCAGATGCTAAGAAAATTAATCTGACTAATGATCATCTCCATGTTTAAAATGTTTTGATTCGAATGATTCAACTGATGATCATTACTGTGAAGAGTGATTAACTGATGTAAAAGAAGAATTTTGATTAATCAATGGTGTCAATGCTGAGAGTATCTGCGCCGCAGAAGGAGCTGTTTCTGTTGGCTTATTGAATCGATCGGAGTTTTGGGCTATTCTATGCTAGCCAAGAGGATCCATCAGTATTATCAAATTGCTGAAAGTGGTAACATCGCTAACTTTAAGCATATCAGGAGATAATTTGATAACGAAGGTGTAACCTTTTGTGAGTTTGAAACGACGAGTAGATTCCGATTTTGATGCGCCAATGATGTGGAAAGTAATATGGTTTTCGAGAAGGACTGGGTTTTGCTACAAATACAGACTATGCACTGTCATTCCCATTAAACTAATCGAAATCAATGGCATTATCGAATGCAATCCCAGCTATATTAATTCAGCATCAAAAAAATGTCATACTTGTTTTCTGGTTCTCGGGAAATACCAGCTTTCAATCTTTCACCGCTGAATAAAATTAAGTATTGGATGGTATATTGCTCCTCATTTTGTTGGCTGAGTTAGAGCTGCGCGTAATCAATCTGTAACGGCAATCAAATGTATTTTTATTATTGGTGAGTTTCTCAAGCTCATTTCATCAGAAGTAAAATTATTAATTGATAGGTTATTGATAAGGTGAGAATTACTCTTTTTAACGAAAATGCCATTACGTTGTATCAGCATATATAATGAATTCAATAAAAGTAGGCTAGAAATCGTCTGCAAGGAAACGGGTTGAAACCATCATGTAACTGCATCTCATTGATCGTTTCAAAATGCATAAAAGGATAATTGAAGAAGCAAATGAAAATGCAAATGAACCAACTTCTGAGCCACCATCCTATTACGGTTCAATTTTAAAACATTCTCTAAAGAAATTCGATCAGTTTGGAGATATCGATTCGGATCAAAAATTATTGGGAATTTCGTATAGAATTCCCCAAACAAATTTAGAGCAATCTTAAAGTCGATCCTCCTTTTGATGTTTAATGGCTTGGTTTCATTTTTATGACTGACAAAAAATTTTAACGAAAGACTTCCAACGCGCATTGCTTTATTTAGTTCATGATAAAAAGCTGCATGATTTTAAACACGAGCTCAAACAAGATTCTCATATGAAATTCATTTCGAAAACACAATCAATAATTACTTTATAATTCAGCCAATTCGTTAATGTTAAATTCATTGGACCTTCATTCGGTTTTGCTATTAATTGATTCACTTTTGAAGCAACTTTTGATTCTTCGTTTAAACGAAACTCTGGAGCACAACCTACCCGAGTATTTAAGATGAACAAGATTTCGAGATCACAGTGCGAGTACACCTTCATATTAGTAGTTGCTTTATCAGACTCTCGAATGATAAACCAGAATTGATTGCCGTTCTTATTGTGGATAATCTGTCCAATAAACATGTTACTACTCCAATAGTCAAATCAACATTAATGAAATGTTTGCGCCGTCACAAACTATACGATATTAATAACAGATCTGTCATGAGACTGAGATCAACAATGAAAAATACCAATCCACCGACATAACATTTTTCAACAGGAAACTGTAAAGCTTTATGCGTCACTTTTATATCAAAAACCAAAAGTAAAGTAAAGAGAGAAAATATATTGGAAATGTAAATAGTAAAATATCTAAACTAAAACCAAAAATCTGAGAGTATGAGGAATGCAACCAAACAACCGGATTCATTCATGAGATCATAGATGATCGAAGACGTTTCACTTACAGTAAGATTTGATAATATTCACGTGTAGAAGTAGAGTAATTTTCACTTAAGATCATTAAAAAGTTTCCGTGAAAATGGAATAACTGGAAGTGGAAATGGATTAGCTTTAAGTGAAAATCGATAGAGATATTAAGATATCTCTAGTTAATGATTTGATAAATATGTCAGTTGTTTAAATTTTCGAAGGCTGAAGTTTTTAATGAAGAACATGCAGCGAAGTGGGTGATTGAGATGAATCGCCGACATTGTAAAATCAAAGCTTTGCAAGTAATTGAATTTTTATCTTTAAAAACATTCGATATCTATTTTAAGCGATCATCGACAGCACGAGTTGTTGATTCAACCCCAATTTCAATTCATTTGGCTGATGGTGTTTTCAATTCAACCAGTTTTTGTACTTGGAAATGCGATTGAATTTTTTCGAGGTTCTTCTTTAAAAATATCATTTATCAATTGAACCTCTGTTCAAAATTATTTAAACAGACTTTCATTGGATCTGCCATAACTTTTACTGCAACGTTGGTGATGCGTCTGTCCTATCCTTTGTCAGTATTCCTTTAAGTTCATCGGGCAAATAAAATATATTCTACAGAAATGGATACTTAACAACTAAACTGTGAAATTCACTTGGATCAGACTAAGTTTTAACCATCTGTCGCTAGCAATCAGAACTCGTTTGAAAGGTTTGAAGGAAAGGTGTGGGGAGATGCTCGAAACCGCGTAATGCTTTGTTTGAATAGCACATATCTTGTTCAGATCAAGATGCTCTGGCAGAAGCATCTGGTTAAACTGAATAGATCATTGGTCGATTCCAGAAGGCAGCCATTGTGAAATGAACAGATTTAATTACACACGTTTAATTTGCTTTGAATTTGCGTTTCAGTTTATGCAATCTTGCAAGTTCTCATCAACATTTAATTTTACAACTTCTTCATGCTTGGATTTAGCAGTAGATGTATTTTTCAAAATTTTAAGTATAATTAGTTTTAAAACATTTTCTATATGTCTTAAAGTTATTTTGTTTTTACATTAGCGCTTATCACATTATACATGTAATTATTTGATCTTCACATTTGCATTGTGTCTTTTTAGACATGAGGACCCTCAATGTTAACATTTACAGGATATGTATTACTACTACAGGTTACTCCATTGATGCACTTGCCTCTTATGAAGTTATTGTGGACGGTTGTCCGTTCTCATTTCTTATGAGCTGACAAATGAAAATTTTCTTTGTATATATATCTGATATTCTAATAAAGCTCTTGGAGTTTTAAATATTTGACATCTTGTAACGTTGGTAAGATCTTTCTTTCAACTTAAGTAGTTATTTGTTATAAACAGGGCACCCGTAATTCATTATTACTAAAAATATTCTATATAAATATCAAATGATATATAATATATCTTTATTACTAAAATCATGATAGGAAAGAAATGTGTATTGATCTTTATTTATCAATTGCATATCCAAACCATATACATTATACAATTGCAACCTTCAATGGATTTCCAAGCTTTATTTGCTAAAATTTTTGAATTTGCTGCATCCTTCATAATTAAACATATCGAGATTAATGAAATCGCAATGACAACCCAGTGAACCATGATTGATAAATTCGGGACCTGTGCTGAAAGGCCGTTCTTTACAACTTTGTTCGCCAAAGCAATCAGAAATTACCTTGATGTAGATGAGTTTTGCTTTTTATTGTTCATCACCGCTACTAGTGTCACCCCCACACATCAAGAGGAATATCTGGTAATGTTGAAGTATTATCAAGTCGTTCATCAAAATGCAAAAGAGTTAAAACTACGACATCTACAATGGATTTGAGATGTTCATGAAGATGAATAACATAACTCTGAATTAATGCGGCCGTGAAAAACCTTAGTCTGCTAGAAATGTAAGAAATCCTTCATTTATTGAATTATTTGACACGGAATTCAAAAAGGAAAATAAGATAGTTTCGACTCATTGTCAGGGATTCTGATTTTCTGTTTATTTGCCGCACTAGTAAAGTTTGAAAACAACAATCTTGGAACAATTCATGAAAACTATTGATTGGCTGGGAGTCACTCCGATGTTACCAAACGGCTGCAATTTTGGATATTTAATGAGACCTTGGGAGACACTAATGAAATAAAAAATAAAAGATCGTTAGCTTTTTCATCAGAATCAATTTAACTGACAAATGACTTTGGAGTTGCTATTGAAAATGAATGAAAATCAGATTCAGAAAATGTAAAGCTGGTTGATGTTCACCCCCAAGCTAAACTTCTTTTTTTTTCGGTGAAACAGCGCATGTTCTACGCTGTTCTAAAATATTATCTGCGCAAATGAAGAGGACATATTTGTCAAAGCTGTCAACACCGTCGATATTAGAACCGCAAATGGAGCTGCTAATGGCGATGGTATAAGACTGTTTTGTGAACCTTTTTCCAAGCTGTCAATGAACTATCATAAGTCTTGTCAAATTGCAGTTAATGGGTACGTAGCTCCACTAAGTGAGAGAAACAGCCAACTGACAAACATCATGCCATCATTAGTGACTGTCATACAATCAATCAACTATGGATGTAAATTGGAAATCGATGGATAATCATTTGTTTCTGATTATGGAATGTGATTTGCGTCACATTCTCTCCAACCTCGGTGGTCCCTCTGTCGATGACACACCTAGTTTTCAAACGGAAGGCAAATTCCGAAATTTATTAACACTGCGCCGATGAAGTGTGGAACTGTTTCTTCGGCTCATGGGACAGCAGATGATTCAAAATCTGACAACTCGAACAAATTAATGATTGGCGAATGTAATTCTGCTGATCTAGCTGATCTGATAATTGGCGTTTATGGATTACTAGTTACCCAAAACTACATGTAATTTCATTGTTAATGAGACTGCTGGCTCACGTGGAGAGCAACTCAATCATCAATACAGTTATTTGAAATATTACTCTTCTTACCAAAGAAGTCACATTGCTTTGCTCAAAATGATAATCATTTGAATACAAATATATTTAAGATTTCTGAATAGAACAAGGCATATCCATTATGTCACTGGAGCCCACTCATTTTTTGAAAAATGGCAACGCAACAATTTACTCAAAAACCCAAACCTACATTGCAACAGCAAATGATTGAGGCTAATTCTGCAAATCAGACTCGGATCGTCCCATTTAACTTTTGATCCTTTTGCAGAATTGTATTTGAATCAATAATAATTTTTATTGGTCATGGAAATCACTAAGGGAACCACGAAAAAAGTTAATCTCAATATACATTTGCTCTTTAAACGATTGCTGTCAAACATATCGGCACACAAAAAAACATCCACAACTGCATGATTTGTTCACTGCATTCAATTAATTTAGCAAGCAAAATTGAATTTACTTCAGACTTGAATTAAAAGAAATATTATTGAAAAGGTCCCTTTTGTACAGCGAATCAGATTGATCCAAATCAACACAATGGTTCAATGCAGTTAAGATAATTGATGCTCCACCCCGTCGTATGTGTAGTTCATCATGTTCTTCAACAGCTAATCATTTTTCATTGAACGTCAACTCAGCGAGTCCGACCTACCCAATCATTGAAAGCAAAAACAGTATTGAGCAGAGTCAACAATTAATGTTTGACGTAAGTAACCTACATAAATGAACATCAAATGGACAACCACATTCGATTATTGCCTCTATTGCTGAAGACATCTCTAAAGAACTGCTTACTAACTAAATCATTGAGTGAGCATTTATCAATACTGTTCTTGCTGACAAATTATCCGATATTAGTACCAAATTGATAATGAAAATGAAACCAATTACGATGATTCGAACCGTTCTGGGAAGCATCCATTCAACAAGTGAGAAGCAGCTTTAACAGGTTAATTGTGTCAGTTAGTGTAATTGACGACTCCTTCAATTGATTAAAAGCATCAACAATTTTTGATAAAGTTGATGATCAAGCAACGGAATCGTACCACCGTGATAATAAGTTTTTGAAGCGACTTCGGCAAATTCAGTGGACCATTCGATGAAGAGAAAGCACTGTTATTGGATTGAAAAGGAAAATAAATGACTTCACCGTTCTTTAAAGAATTTTTAAGAAAGCCAAACCATCAAATGGATATCGGCCAATTCAAACGAAATGAATCCAGTGATCAAAAAAAATGATAATTCATCAGTTCCTTGAACATCATTTAAGGACGTAATAGTCAAAGGAAAATTGCTATTCAATGTGGAACAAGAGAGAAATGGTGTTGAGCAGCGTCTGACAAAAATAGTTGCAAAAAGGTTGTCTGAAGAACTTCGCTTTAAGTATATTGATCGTTCTGCTCCACTTATGGCATTTGATATGCTAGGAATAATGTTTTCATTGGCGGCAAACATCATCCATAGTAACTGCCATCATCTTGGCTAGCACGGCTTTCTTCATTTGACGAAGCCTCCATGCAGATTTATTGGTTCCTCCTGCTGAAACATCGACATCAAAGAAGAATGTTCGCAGATGAATAAGGGTAGTGTACTGCTTAACGCAAGCTTCACTCATTTCGTCGAGCATTACAAGAATAGTGTTAATTCGAGCACTAACTACTAAGAAACTCTGTCCCATACAAGTTGTTTAACAGTTCAGCTTGTTTTATATCCAATTCAGTACTTCAAAATGCCATTGCTTAAAGAACTGAAGATGAGACTGAATCGAAAAGAACATTTGTTTAATACGGCGTTGCAGTGACAAATGTGGGATCCGTCAAGCCGGTCATTCGAATTGAAAATGGGGGGTCATACAATGAATAGAAGTTGTATAAAAATGTCTTAATTCCAAAATTGACTCAGATTTCCAAGCATAAGAACTAAATGAATTGCAACAGCTTCAACCAAATGATTTTAAAATGATTTTGGATTAACATTTCAAGATACGATAGATCATTCAAAATATGGATCATTTGATGCCACATTACAGTTTATGAATATTGAAAATAGATATGCATTTAGTTTGCGACATCGCATCTACTGTGAGCCATTTGGATATTCGGTCAACACAGCACCTATCTGCTTTTTCGGTGGTTTACAAGACAGTTTTCAATCTATGGACTGTAAAAAGACAAACCTTAATCGTCTCAGAACTATTTTCATTCGAAATATTACGCTCATTCATTGCAATGAACACCGGCTGAAAAGCAACTACTTTCTCAACTCAATTATTACAGGATTTAAGCAATTGATCGATTCATCGATACGTTAACGATTATTATAATCATGACTTCATCATTTATTATATAATAAACTTCTAACTATAACAAATAGACTTTAACAATTCTACTGATAGATACTCTATTTTTATTTCTGGTTTTCATTTAAATTTGTTAAAAGCGATCAAACTATGATTCATTGCAATGACTGCAATAATACGACCTTGGGATTATGTACTTTATTTCCCAAGATTGCTGTGGATGTGTTGATATTTTATTTGTGCATTCTAGCAATATTCTTTTTTCAACTTCAGTTCTCATTTGCCACTTAAACAGGGCAACTACTTTGCCATTATTCTAAGTAGGAAATATAATGTTTTGAAGATGTACATAACTAATATATGTGTGGAAACACCGCACAACTCTATGCTGTGCTGCTTTATGTTAATCAACTACATATTCAAGTCAGCTGAGATGTTCATTCTCGAATTTTGCCGGTCATGTGATTGGGAATCAGATTTTAATAGTGTGAAAGCCCCAGATAAATGATGATGCTATTGCTCACCTACTCCGCTGGAGGTATGTGATGCAGCAAAAGAACAGTCTTATCTAACAGATTTATCAATACTATGTAATGTTCCGTCAATTAACCCTAAACTGAATAGATCATTCGTACCAAGGATTGCTGACCGAACATCAGTTTAAAAATTTTTGGTGAACAGAGTATTTAGTGCATCTCATTGTTGGATTTCAAATTGCTTTTGAAGCTTTTGAATAATGTTATTTAATGAAGTCCCGAATCAGTGATTGGTGTGCTTATTATTAACGCGATGAGGCAATTTTGCAGATGCAATACTATCAAGGCAACGCTGGTTACCAGTAATGCTTTTTCGCGATCAGTATTACGTCCTATTTTTGGCTAAATCAATTTTGAAGAACAGCAGTGGATATTTTAGGAGCGGAGATGTAAATCAGGCATGTATCTTGCAAAGCATTAGAGCTGTCAATGCTACTATTAACAACGCATTTGATCGTCTCAATTAAAGCGGTGCGGCTTGCGTCAAACAATACAACCCTATCTTCAATGTCTAAGCATTCATCCATGCCGATGTTGAAGCAGCAGGTTCAAAATAAACTGGATGGCTAGTTTCCCCATTCATGAATGCTGTCTTGGCATTTATTTGGCAGTTGTTGCAAGTTGTTAGTGGCCTCCGATAAATAGGATTTCGTTACTGGATCATATATGTAACTTAACCGAACAAAAATCAATTTTGCTATGGTGAGGTTCCTGAAAGAGTCCTTTGCCCACTAGGTTCACAGTACGCTTTTCAAAGCTACTAATATTTTGTTAAACATAAAATTCTTTTTTTCTAATGACTGGAATTGTTAGGCCTGGTGATAGTGGAAATAATTGAATATTATCTTTTGACTTAATTTATTCATTGAATCAACCTTGGCGGAAATGCATTTTGATTTTTCTGTTGCTTGTTTCCTGGCTGAGAAAAATGTTGCAATAGTCTTTTTGGACTACGATGCCAATCGATGCGTTTCATCACTGACAAAGATAGGGATTGATTTTTGGGCCATCTTTCATCAAATTAAGTTTTACCATTGATCGATTCCGCTGGTCCATCTTCATTTTCTTCAAAATTTGTGGCTGACATTATAGATTCAAGTGATCACCATTTCTCTATTAGAGAAAGTTTTTTTGCTTAAACAAATGTGTTGGTTAGCCTTGATGATGGTTCCTAGGTAACTTGGTAGCCTTCAAAATTGGTCTGACATTCATCAATGACTTACTATAAATATCAAGCACTTTCTCATGAGTGGAGCATATATAACTAAGCGGGATCCAACTGTTTGCGTAGAAGCAAGTTTACGGTATCAATGGCCTAAATTTGAACTGCTTGCAGCATTGACCTTTCGAATGATTTTCATCGTTGTATCCCATTGGCGAGTGTGCAACAACAGTTATTTTTACAACTTCTATGTTCCATAGATAAACAACTGATATCTCAATGAACAGGTTCGCCATCAATATTTTCATCAATATAGTCTTATTATATTTAATGATTCTCTATTGATTTCTTGATCTCCTTACCAATTTCCACGTGACATGTTTGTACAATATAACTTTCTCTTTCTTTGTTTTTACTTAAAATTGATGAACCTCCTAAAATTGAAAATGATTCAAATATAGTTTGAGCGATGCCATTTCGATCATAGATGAATTCATAATTGAATATGATACTCTGTTTAAATCTCCCATACTGTGAGATTGGTTTTCTTATTTAACTACTACTACTTATCACATTTTGGACACATTGGTGTATTCAACATTACAATTTATTTGTGATATGAAAAGCCTCGATATCTTTGTACCTATCTCAATTGTTTTAATTACTATCGAACACGATAGTCTATAGAAATATGACCAGAAAACCGATACGAAAGAAAGATATATATAATAACATTAATGAATTGCTTACTGGTAAATGTTTCAATTGGAAATGTGTTGAATTCTGAAGTTGATTAGTGAAAATTATTTGGTGCTTGAATCCTTTCATATATCGACATTGTCCACAATCTCTTTATAGAAAATCTTTGCGCTTCTTAATTCATGGAGATTGATATGATTGGGTCTGCCGGTTATTGTCAGCTGATCATCCATTGCTCCACCAATGGAATCACCAATGGCGTTGATGCTGATGGTGTGCTTCATATTGGGACTCATCGCCGCTATTGATGTGCAATGAACCTCCTCGGGATTGGCTAGTATTTCGGAATGGTTAATCATATAGTTCTAAATATCCAACTGATTTCCAAATCAAATTCAAATGGATGATATTGAGAGGATGACTCACATAAATTAAACATTTCCGAACGTAAGTGATTTGGAAAACGTAATCGGCTTAGAAGCTTACTAATTCCATCAGTAATTGAATTAATGCACTGAAAATTGAAGGCTGATGTTGTCATTGATTCGGTTAACTATCGATGAATTTGATTTATTCCTCTTCATGCCGCATTTTCTAAGTTTGAACGAAAAGATGATACACTATATGGAGCATAAAAAGATGTCGCTGGCATCCCGTTTATCGTTACCAAACGAATGGCTTCTTTATCAGTCAGTGAAATCTTCCAAGACTTTAATGAACTGAACCAAAAAGGATTCACTTCAAATTCATGGGACGTAATTGATCAGAGCAATGACGTTGAACAATGAACTATTATGCTACCTCAAGTAAGGTCCTTCAGCTGTGGTTGTTTTGTACCTCACAGCTGTATCAGCGGAAAGAGAAAAATAATTCGAATGCATCAATAAATTCAATTAATTGAGTGCTCTGACAACATATAAGGTTTTATTGAAAATCAATCTATTTTTCATTTTGAAACAATAGATTTGGCGACGGTTATCCCGACTTTCAATAAGTGCTTGATTGAGGTGCTTTAGTGAACATGCCACAGCGGTGAAATATCATCAGATCACAACCATGCGTCGTTGATATTCAAAGGAGTCAATGGCCACGATATCTGTACATCGCATTGGGCTGTTTATGTCTGTTGTGCATAATTTTCAAATGACTAACTTCTTTCAAACTCAGACTGAGATATCATATGCTTCGACACAATGAAAGAAATGGTTACAATGATCACATTCTGGGAAATTATATATTGATTGACAAAGTTGAATTAATATTGGGTGGTGTAAGTCAATCAATGTATTAAGGTTGGGGAGTGCTAAGATAATAAAAAATGCTTTGGTGCTCAACACGGAATGTGATGTGACTTCAATTCACATGAGGGACTGGTATTATTCTCTCAATCAAATGAGTACCTTCACCACAAATGAGCTGAAGCATAGCGATACTAGAAGTCAATTAGAACACAGTGAAATATCTTCGGCGGATTAGAACCAAGCTGATCTTTTACGTCTCAGCACTAAAGAGAAATAGTTCGTGGAGTGTTAATTTCTGCTTACTCAGGTAGACCGATTGTTGGCGCTTAAAGGATTAATTGTCAGAGAAGATAAATCGCATGCTACTGTTGGTGAACTTTTCACGCTCAAATCAAGCGCAACAGATTTAATAAATGAATGTTACTCGTGTTTTATATAGTACTAAGTTAACAACGCAATCACTTTGCCTCACCAAACAGTGAATATATCTAATAGAAATATCATTCAAGATATTTACTTGCAATAGGGATGCATCCTTTAACTAAGTGGACCTCATTTATTGCCTCCAAATGAAGCAACAATTATTTGAAAGAAAGCGAATTCAAAGAAAAATGATAAAACCTAGGATTGATGTGAGTCCTCCAAATCACCGTTGGACGTTCATATTTAGACATACCATTTTCGTGGCAATTATATTCCAGTCAATGATAATTATAAGCGTCCCTGCAAATTGTGACACAAACTGAAAACAAGGATAAGCTTCATGGTCCGTTGGATCCTTATATGCTTCTTTTAGATAGAAATGTCACACAAAGGATTGTAAAGATTGACCTCATTAGTACATTTCTTGGCTTGAATTGAACGCACGAAACTGCATGTCCTCTATAACATAGCTGAAGAGAGATTCACAGAGCACCTGCAATCTGAGCAACCAGTCAAGTTTATCCATATCAGTCCAATAGGACAATACTTGATGAAATGATTGACTTTCTCGGCGGTGCTACTGATAATTTAGCATACTCTGTTTCCATCTGTCAAACCAACTTAACCTACAAAATCATCATGAAAAGAGGATATTGAAAAGACCTATCTATCAAGCAGTGATATCAGCAATTGCTCTACGTCAACATCAAGTAAAGAATCAAATCCTATTGCGGTCTCTGTTGCTAAAGATATTTCCATTTTATTTGGTTTTAGTACAATTGTTCAGTGAAGCTTTATCACAAAGGTGTTTGCAGACAATCTCTCTGCGGACGGAGAGAATTTCCACTTTACGGGGATACATCCCTTCAACAGGAATGGCCATCTCTTGAGGAAACTAATTTCTTCTAAAGGAGAATAATACATTTTCGTCAATCAATTGATGTCATTACCAAGTACTCAAAAATGTGAAGATCATCCAACCGAGTTCCAGTCTGCTGAGAGTAAATTCAATGAAAGATGTTCCCAAAAATTCAGTGGTCATTTTTTCTCATGAAGAACCGTTTGCTTTCGAATCAAAGTTAAAATATACCAATCCAACATTCTTAACAGATATATTAGCACTGCGCAAATAACATTATTGGCTCCCGCTATAGCATTTTAGAGGAGCTCATATAAAAGAAATGATATCCATTCGTTAGGAACACTACCATCAAGTAAACAAATAGCGGTCCTAAAGCAATTGGTTGTCAACGGTAAGGAAGGAACTGATGGTTCTGAGAAGTTCAAAGTGATGAGTAGCAAAGCATTCTCTACAATATTTTGTCAGTAATCAGACTGATGGTTCAGCTCCGCTTTTATACAATCAAGTATTCACATAAATGTTTGCATTTTGCGTCCCTGCAGTTAGCAACGGCAGTATGGATAATTGGCCGCCAAAATCTTTTGAAGGCCAGGAATTACTACTTTCAACGATAGTTAAAATGATCGTTTATCTTTAATTGAAGGACTATAATATCCTTTTAAGAAGATGACATTTTAAAAGCCGCAGAAGCAGTAGATGATATTGACAGCGGCATTTGGTTGTTTATCTGCATCGTTGCGTTGAAACATGTCCCATATTCAAAGGTTCTTCTGGGAATCATGTTTGAGCGACACATAATGGGTTCCAGATTTCTTCGAACGTCGCAATTGAGAAAGTAAATTGCGTTGCCAAGTGTAACCGTTAAACGATGTAGCACTACTTTCTTCAAAGAGAATGATGATGTTCAAGAGTCAGCAATCCCTGTACCTCACCATAAATCATCATGTTCATCGAATGTTTGTCACATATCAATTTATGGTTGACTTTGGATATTGTATATCAATTGCTACATCATTTCTCAGCCGACATTGTGGTGGTCCTTGAAGCTATGATCTGTTCAGTTCGTTCAGAGCTTGACAATACTTTTCTCAACCAAAGTACTTGAACAAGAACTACAGTGACAATAATAATAAATTAAGTGATACTGATTTCGCATTTCATGACAAACTATTTTTTCCACAAACAATGACCATTTTCTCTCTCATTACTCCAACAAACACTTACTTAGTGACAATATTGGGCAACTGGGGAGCCCTGTTAGAATAGTCAAAACGGCTGCGTCGCATCTATAAATCGTGTCATGCTCTCATGCTCTTCAACAACCCAATTACCTGTTGTATTGTCACCCACTGACGCAGTTTCAGTCCTATTAAGTGAAACATTAAAAAGTGATTTATCTCTCTAAAATATATTCCAAGGCCTATGGTTGCTAGTGGCCGATATTAACCATTAAGGTGACAGTCACTTTTCTTGTTCACATTCGGGAGATGCTAATGTTGGAAGTCCTTCCAACGATACTCATAGTAAACCGCATTATATGCAAAACCTTATTTTTAGTAAGCGATTAGAAGCCGGATATAATAGAATAAGCCACAAAGTCATACTCATTTTCTGCGACCTAATTGATACAGCTACTTCTCAACGACTTGTCAAACTCCAAAATAGATTCTATTTGTCATCATCAAACCCTAACCAAAGTGTCAAATTGTGAAAATGTGCGAAAAAAACAAATGTACTTTTCTTCAAAGTTTTTCCTTTAGAGTTACTTCTTCAGTTCAATGCAATTGCCTAGATCACAAAAGCATCCGGCTGTGCTGTGTATGGAATCACACGATTTACGCAATTGATTTATTTATCACAGCTTTAAGTATTAATGTTTTCATAGCTTTATCAGCTGTTGCATAAAGTTGATTTATTATTACAGATAAACATTACTTGTTTCAGCCTGACGTAACTGTATTTTCCACCTGACCTTAATCTAACTACAGCTCAAGGAATGAAACTAAGATGATTCATGATCTCGTAAAAAGCTATGTTTCTGAGTTTGAATTCCTCAATTTCGAGGATTCGTTTGGGAATTATAGAAGGTTTACATTGGGATTCCTGCAACATCTTCTCAAGAAAATTCTCTTTTTAGATCTCCTGCCGAAATCACAAATCGTTGATTATTGTTCGTCACAGATTTGGAAATAGTTGTTAGTTAAATAATATAATGATTTGATCAGCAACGCGATAGAGATGGATTTGATATCAAGTTATTGTAATGAATTAGTTGGTAGAGTATTGTTTAATATAGAACGTCAAAATTTAACAATCATTTGTATATTCAATACACTTCTCAAAATACTGAGTTAAATCATATTGATATTGGACTTTTTAACAAATCCGAATATGCCACAAGGAATGGATTCTCTAGAATGATCTATCAATCGAATTGTTGTGAATGACAGTGAATAGAAAAGTGACAAACTAAGCCGGATAACTCAAAGTTGTTCTTTGACAAAATTATGCTGTGACATCGTGTCGTGCTCCTCAAAGAAACACCTGTTAGCTGTGTTGTCATTCACAGATGCATGTCTTGTATAATTGCGTGAGCCACTGACCAGTTCATTAACGTTTCAAAAACTACCGACTGAGCTGAAGACAGTAGTTGCTTCTGTTAATAAACATCGTGATAATCGTTAGTCGTTTACTCTTTCTCTACGTAGCTGTACTCCAGGCTGATCCACGCGTATTGCTGTTCAATATCACCTCATTACGCAACTGCTTTCAATAAGGAGATAGATCTTAGCTATAATAATCAAAAGGACAATGACCCTGTCATTCAGACCATTTTCTTTGGTACAACTTCATTTCCAACTACATGTTTAACTCGGGCTGAAATATTTGATTAGTTGTATGTCGTTCGATCTAGTTTGGATCGATGTCACCATTTCTGACGATGTGTAAGACAAACAAAATCAATCAATTTCAAACATTTGGCTTTCTGAATAATTCAAACATTCATTCCAAATACGAGTTTGACAAGAATATCTCCTTCGACATCTTTTACATTTCAGGATTTGAACACTTGCTATTCTTGTCAAAACTTTAACTGTAATTACTTCCAAGCTATCGATTCTCGCTTCAAGCTCCCTCATTACTCCATACACACTCTGGCCATTTTTAGGTATGTTATTCAATTTAATCATTTTCTCGTGTTCTACATATTTTATATCTTTCCTTGTCTTTACTCCGTTCTCTTCTTTAATTTCATTTACAGTTATTGTTTTTGCATCTTGGTCGGTCTCATGGAAGAACGTGGTGGTTTCGTTGCGATCTTTCACTCTCTCAAATTGCTACATTTTCGAAGGATATCTTACGTTTAGCATTCAGGGTTCATTTATTTGTTCAACTTTACCTTATATTTGTGATGAACAAAGGAACCCTAGTTAACTACTTTCTGCATAGTTCTCATGATTATCGAAAGCGATACTATGTAACCGAACGATTACAACAGCGATAACATTATATTTCATATTAAATTAATCTATTCAATTATTTGTTGACATTACTTGTGATGGACACTGTTCGATTTTAACTGATCTGATTCTGTTGATTCCCCACAGTTTCAAACTTTTCCAAATCTGCGGAGTGGCCGCATCGATTTTGAATGACTCTTTAAGTCACCTTAATTAACCAACATTGATACATTTGGTACTGGTGCTAAACTACAGTTGTTTGAGTCCTGGTTCACTAAGAGAATCACCAACCCTGTGGATCCTGAGGCCATTCACGGCATACTCTTCGTCGCTTCTACGGTTGGCAACTGAACTGCAAGTCGCTTTGCTGATACTATTGAATCAATAAGCAAACCATCTTTTGAATCCAAGGTGAATACAACATGAAATGAAGATAACGGTATAGAGAGGATCATTACGAGGAATCAAAAATTCCTAAACGTAGGGAAGCTTGAAGCAGTTAACCTTCTCTGAAATTAATCGAACTGTAACTTATTGAACTAGAAGAGGAAGGCTTTAAAAAGCGGCCTATCATGGTTTAACTCTATTTTGCTGGATCTTGATCCATTGGTTCGTTTTCTGTTCTTCATAGCTTTCCAAACAAAGCAATCTGTCCAATATCATTGAAACATTTGTTAAGCACGCAACGCATGTGATGTGGCCCATAAAAACATCTGGACCTATCAATGACTTCTTTGGAGGCATTAATGGACTAAGAAAAAAAAAAAGAAACCAACCCCTCAGCATCAAATAAGCTGAGCCATGTCTTTGAGGAGCAAAATCCTACGTTACACAATGAAATATGCAAAAATTGTTGCTCTTTTGGCTATCACCGCGGTAATCGCTGAAAGCCAAAGTGTTTCAAACTCATAATATGACTCACGTAATTGAACGATTTGTCACTTCAAAGATATTATTGGAAATGGACTATAATCATGAATGAAGCAAATCAATTTGATTGATGACCAATCCCAAGATCATTATCCATTTATTATTTTTCAATAATTTTTGAGATAAATAGATACAGAGTTATACACCGATCAATCGGTTGCAAACATCTTTCTCAAAAATGGCAATTGGAACGGTATTTGAGCCTGTGAAGGGACCGGCAAATGTCCGTTGTATCAAAAACAGTTGACGACATGCACATTTCAACCTCCCAGAGATATATTGACAGTTATGCCTGTTTTGGAATAAATGGTTGGAATGCTCACATTGAAAGCTAAATGATGCGAATTGACGAGCATAGTGTGATGATTGCTGAGTGTCAGAGTTCTAGTACGTCATTGTTTTTAATTGAAGCAGTAGATCCAAAACATCTGCACTTCAACGCTGAATTTCAATTCCTTCAAATTCGCAAAAGCAACTGTTATTCGTCTTATATCGAATGATTACTCTAAGCAGAAGTGATAAAACACATAATGATATTCACTGCGGAAAACAGAATTGTAAAACCTCTTCTTCGGTTCAAGCACGGCACTTGTTTGAAATGTTGACGACTCAAAAATTTAGTAGATGGGAATTATTTTATTTGCAATCACTTTGGAGTAGTGAATAGAGTTTGTGGATTAACTCATACAGACTGAATATCCGGTTATTCTGTTGATCAACTTTTGAGGTGGAAATCATATCCAACTGGGTGATTGATTTGAAATTAGAAATATTTGAAAGATCACTGCGTTCAACCAACGTATCACCGTGAATTCAAAATGACAAATAATAATGAAGCACAAATATGTCGAAAAGTTGTGCAGGGAAATAGTTTTCAACCGTCAAGCAACTGCATGTCTTTCATTTATGAAATTTCAAAAGTTGATAGTCGCTTGATACAAATCAAAATTGAAATGGAAAACGGAATTGTGAACTCTGATTTTTAGATCCTACATTGCCTGTTTGCACTCCAAACCTCGATCATTTCGCTCCACTGGTATTGCATTCAATAATAATTACGAATGTCTTTCGGAAAGCCTTTGACAACGATAACAAACTGTTATTGGTGATGTTCCATTTATTGTTGGAATGCCTCCTATGAATCGTAGCGTCACACAAACAATTTTTAGCTATATCATCAACGGTACATTTCTCTGTTCAATTCACCACTACAGGATGCAATTACTTGCAAAATCACTCAACCATCACTCTCAGCGCTTGTTCATATCATCCGATGAGTCTGATTCATGTTTATTTGAATCAGATAATTCAAAACCAGTTTAAGAGTTTGCGGCTCCAAACCGTTCTACCAATATTTCAACGACTTCTCCATCAACAGATCATTTTTTCTTTGAGCACATTCGGAGTGTTTAACTTACGAAAGTATTGATGACGAAAAAAAAGTTTCAGGTGATTGAGCCGCTAGACCCTATACGTTTGCTTTTCCTCAATTACAGAATCATGTGAAAAATGAAATTGCATCGGCGTCCTTTGTGATGATAGTAAGTCGAACCAACGGATATCCATTTCTATAGTTGACCCACTTTTATTGAATTGTTTGCTTCTTTAAAGCCTTTCTGATATTGGAAGCACATTTATAATGAAAGTCAGGCCAACTAAGACAATTAGTTAATTACTTATTCCGTATCATCTATACAAGAAAAGATATGGCATCCGTGGAATGATTTTGCTTAATTTTGAAAATAACCATTTCTTGGATGTGTTGACATCATCACCAACGGCCCCGAAGGTTGAAGGTGATCCATCAGAATGCCATTCAGTTGAAGGAAAATTTACTCAAGGAGCTTCCCAAATCTAAAAAGAGGTTATTCATTATGAAGAACGGCATTTATTCGTATCAAAATGAAAATATTTAATCTCAAGATCTTTGTGACACATCTTTTATCAAGACCAAAAATGCAAATTCGTATCTGTCATTGCAAATGAACTAAACTCAATGGAATTGAATGACGAGTATTTATTAGTTTCACCAACATCAGATATAACAGAGTTAGTCAATCAACAATGAGTACTCAATTTCTAACAAACAAAAATGAATTTCAGCAGTTTAAGGCAAAACTAGTGCTAGAACGATTTCTTTCAAGAATTCGCATTAACTGTATCGAAGTTTATTATCCTGCTGAGAAATATGAGACATTGACATCGGCAGTTTCACTTGCCGCCGTTAGCAACTACAATCTTTGCTAAATAGACGGCAAAGTTGCCATTTTGATTTGACCAATTCACCGTTAAGACTATCTTCATTTACCTGCGTGAGCATTTACAACAAATGAAGTTGAAGAGCAAATTGAGAAAGCGATTGTATTCTTTGAAGCCACCACTCAAATTTAGTTCCACACGATTCAAAATATTCATAATGCAACAATATTTATTTTCAATTTTTGTTAAACGTATGATTGTTTGACAACTCAAGTTATCAATTCTCGACTTATGTTCATGGTGATTCAATTAAAGGAAAACAAAAGCGTTGATTTGGTGACGCAATGAGATTGTTCAGGAGCAAGTCTCGAATAATAGATATGAAATATCTAGAGTGTTTTTCGCCGCTCAGATTGAGCAGACATATCATCCATACGTTAGAATCTTTTGAAGGACATTATCCAGGCAATTGAACAAAGTTTGAAACTGCAAAAATTAGAAGAGTTCAAATCAACTTTAATCAAAAACGTAACAAAATGATATTCAATTAACAATCCTTGATGATTGTAATCAATCAAAATGTGGATCATTTGTTGGCACACAAGTTATTCATGGTTGATACTGATTGTGGTCGGAAATGCTATTTTGCTGCATCACCTCTAAGCAGACAATTAGTTCGTCTGACAGCAATTCATCTATTTGGTGTTTTTATAGTTTTGCAAAATGTTTGTCAAACAAAACCGGTGAAAAGAAGAGACATTGTTACCATGAAACCAACTCCATTCTGATCATTTCTCAAAACAATTTTAATAAAGTACTCTAAATGAATTCCATCATATTTATTTAATAGATGCCAGGAATTAACAGTTGTTATATCTATTGGACGATTCACTCTAGATATTGTCCTACTTGTATTATTGTTTACATATAGTTATTCTACTATTTCACATGTTCGTATTAAATTTCAGTTAAAGCTAACCCATTGTAAGTTTTAATGAAGTAAGTAAAAGGTTTCTTCCTCAGTGTAAATCTCTCATATTCTAAAATTGTTATTCATATTCAAGATATTCATCTGTATATTTTTCCTCTAAATTGTTTCGTTGGAACTCACTGGTTCTTTCTGTTATGAATGGCACAAATGATTGTTTAATAATAGAAATAGTCTATATCACTATCTACTGATATAATATATAAATACATTGGAAGACAGAAAATGAAATAGATAATATTTTAAAATATAGGTCATTTATTTAGTACACTAATTTGCAATATCAAATATCAAATTTCCAGTCTGGTCCAATCGTTTCCTTCTACTGAATTCTAAGTTCATTCTCCTCTCGATTTTGGAATGAATGATTTAAAGGATTCAATAAGTCAACCTGATCAATCAACAGCGATATGCTCCAGACTGGTGCTGAACGGGTGTTGTTGAATACTTGGTTCACCAAAAAAAGCGTCAATCTCTTTGATATCAGTAAGTTTAACCTACTTGGATCGATCGCCCATTTGCAGTCAATCGAACTTTCAGATGATGTGGTGGTATTGACAAGCCGTTAAAAGAGGGTTCCTTTGAAACTAAACTAATAACACGTTTCGATCACCGCAATAATATTGAGATGTTCATTAAAATGAGTAAACCGTTTTGTGAATCTCAGTTAATACCTAAGGCTGCGCAGTTATAAAAATCTCTGTGATTGTGGGAATCACACAATGTCCAAATGATTAACTTGGTGGACATGATTTGAATCCATCAATTAGCGAAATGAGTAAGGAGCAACTCATTGAGGCTTCTTAACACAGTATCGGATTATTGTACATAATTTAGACCTATCCCTTTTTGTCCCACTTATCTCAGGTAGGAAAACGAAGAGGTTGAGAAATATGTTTGATACAATGGACTGGTCGAATGGTTTGGTCGGCAATGCATTTGATGTTACCTAACGAACGCTGCCATTATCGATTAATGACTTCTTTCCAGGCGATATCAAATTAAAGAACAAATAAATCTTACCAACTTCTTCAAAATCATTCAAACTAAACAACGACGTCAAACAAAAAATGCGATAGTTCCATAGGGGTAAATGCTTCCGCTGTGGGAGTTTTGTCACTACAACAGACATTTCAGAAAAGCATAATCCTCTAAATTCTGAAGGTTGATTTAGGTGTTTCGGTGTTCGGATCAATTAAAAGATATTATTGAAGCTAAATCAAATTGTGAGTCTGATAAGAATAATCTGATGCTTGACGGTCCCCAGGTTCAATATGCTTTTGAGTGACCTGAACCAACACGATGTAATCAAAAGTTGATCAATTGACTGATAAAAAATATGATAGCCCATCATGCAAAGCTGCAAACGGTGGCACTATTTGCACAACCGAAGGATCTGCCATTGATTGCTGATTAACATTATCTGATGTATTTCATCTTGCAAATTCACCAAGAAACATCTATAGTCTTGTCACAACGGCTGATAATTGCTACATTGCTTACAATGGAGAATACATACTATCGAATGACAATGATGGTGTCACTATTGGTGAGTGTGAATAAATCAATGAATTCCGGGTGTTAACTGCATTACTGGCGAAAGATGATTTTGTTGTAAATTCTGAGTCAGACATGCAACAATCAGAAAGGAGCCACGGCCATTGATCATTCAATCAAGTTCGATCCTTAACCAAAGATACTTACAGCGGGGCCGATGTGAAAAGTCCTTTGAACAGTAGTAAAGCTTTGTCTTTGGTTCCAGACAAAGCGCATATTTCAACGTTTGACACCTCAAAATAATCTGTTTTTCACAGTATATCTCTGTTTGTTTAGTTGGTCCAATTATTCGTTGTTAGGGATGAATTGGTACCGAGCATCTGCATTTGTTGATAGTTGAGAAAATATATTGCAGATAAATTTAATAGGAAATGAATTAATATAGTTTTAACTATCATTTATTTGTATCAAGATTCCCAGACATTTCTATATTTTATGTCCTTCGGTGGATATAAAGCCTACTCAGCAGAATATAGATATATCAGTTGGTTTTCATAACAGATATGTAAAGTGAAGATCAAAAAATAATTTATCTGCAATCTACAAACCAAAATTTCCAAATAGAAAATCCAATCATTGAATAGAACAGATCGAAACGGAGAAAGGTATGCTGCTATGCGAAATAAGGAAATGATAAATACATTCCATTTGTATAACTAAGTATGAACTGGTTTAAAATGAGAATATGCTTAGGTAGGATTAGATACGCAACAAATGATAGAATAAGACGAATGTAAGCAAAAATAGGCAAATTGAAAATGTTAACTTGCAATATCTTTTGTAAAACAGATGAAGTCAAAATGTAGAAAGGGATTTAGTTGGTCAAAAAATAGATTGAGTCTTCAAAATACTACTAGCTATATTTTGACAAATATATCAATTGTTCAAGTCTTGGAGAGTAAATGATGCAACGCAAGACTTTGTTTTAAGCTTGTTAATTAGAATGAGAGTAAGAATTATTTTAAAGAAGCAAAATTGAAAGTCATACAATTTGGTCGTTTTGAAATCGATTGGTTCAAGATGAAAAACCTGAGGACGAAAACAAACAAATCGGAGCAAAAATAAATCAACATATGATTAGTGTTAGCATTTGACATCAAAACTGGGATTTTTCATTTTGACAATTGTCCGTTTTGAACACCTATATTCAAACCAAAATTAATTATCTCTCTCCATGCATATTCTTGGACGATTCATTAGGAATGCACTAATATATTTTTTGTTGCTGCTTAAATGGTTGCTTTAATCGTAGTTTCAGACACAAAAGATTTAGGAATGGCTTGGTACAATTTTTGTTTAATTCAAGATGTAAAATTGCAGCTATAACAAAAGAAGTCAAAGCAATCTTTTCTGAACAAGGTCAAACCGAGGAGGGATGATATTCGCCAGTTTAAATTACCTGACGGAATCGCAGTTGGAAGCATCGAAACCCCAAGCCGTTCTAGTAATAGATTAACCACTTGTCTAACGACCAGTCGATCTTCTTTTGATCGTCTACTGTGGAACTCGACTAACATAATATTAGTAATTTCAGAGATATTGATCTGAGAGAAAGATTGAAAAATGGCATTAGCTTATTCTCCCTTAAATCATCAAATGAACATCTGATTTGATGACAGATCACATTGTTGAAGCAATTCACAATAACCTGGTTACTGCCCCGAAAGTTGAATCATCATTCAACAATACTTTGCTACCTGACAATCTATTTGATAGTGAAAACAAACTTAACTTGATAATCGTACGGACAATGAAGGTTACTAAACCACCTTGGATCCTTGATTTCATAATCCCAAAGATATCACTTGAACTGACTATGTCTGCGCAGTTGCAAAGATAGTGATAGCTGCCAACAATCAAAATCGTTAGAAGTTGGGAAGAAAGATGATATTCCTCCAACGAGTCGTACAAGATGAACCTATAACTAATAATGATGCCTCGAAACACTCCGTGGATCGGCTAGCTCGATGAGGACGCTAGTTCCAGCATGTCGGAACTAAGTTATATCTTTCGAAATAGTTTCACAGATGTTCAAAGAAGTTCACCTGACTAAATTGTTGTCCGCTACGGCGAGCGAAATCAAGTGATTGCAAAAAAATAATGATTATTCTTTGGCGCAACGGAGATCAGTTGGATCAACATAGGCAAGGATGCTTTCAGCCGCCGAATTTGTAAATTAAGTCCTTTGGTTTCGGTTGCGGTCTGCGCCGCTGTAGCTTATTGGTGAAACCCAGGCCCTTTCTAAAAGCAGCTGGGGTTCTTTGCTTTGTTTTCACTTGTTCATGTACGGGTTTTCTAATCCGTAAATTATCATTTAATAGCCACAGCAGCCATGAGACAACCTGCAAATGGTGGCGGCCAAGAATCACTGAGTCAGATGGATGGTGCTGCCGTTACGATACTAGATTCCGCCTTCACTGAAAGATTAACTCCGATTGCTCACTTGAATTAGCCACATATCAACGAAATAATTGATCTTCCTGATGAAGAAGATTCAGCCCAAATTACGAATGGTTTGGTTTCCTCTTGCAATGGGATAGTTCCTGGCTGCATAGCTCTAGCTATATTGAAGGAGGTGCTACGAAATGAATGGGAAAGCCGAGAACAATTAGTTACTTTGGAGAAGGATCGTGGTATTTTTGCTGTTCATGCTGCACTTGCTATCACAAGGTCACGGTGAATTGATTGGTGGGAAATACAATATACAATACGAGGAATTACAAAAAATGCTTTAAATAGTTGAATTGCAACATTTGTGAGCACCACGATGCTGGTCCACTTGCAAATCATTTCAACAGTTCTTCTGCTTTGGTCAACACTTAGCGGAAGAAGGACTTGCTTCACTTCACAACGTCCCGCAAATGCACAATTACAGATGCGAAAGTGTGCGGCAATCAAAGTTGCTGATGAGGCAATTGCTGGTCGGCCAGGTTTGAAAGCATTAGCCATCATTGCAAATCAATGCTAATATATTGTGAGAAAGAACATTATAAGAAAGATGAAGGTAGACCTGTTCGCGGGCCCTTCCGTTGAGGAATGTCTTTGATATCAGTGATTGGCGCAAGCCGACCGGTGACACATACTGATGGACTGAATCTAATTAACCCAGCAGGTAAGAAGAGCGCCCTCCATCCCTTTAACAAGACTTCACACTACTTGGTAAATGACTAATAATATTCTGAAGAATGTGCAAACGACGGTTCGCGATGGCCGAGCGCTACCCAGAAAGAGTACGGATCATGGACGTTTGGGTTCTGCTGGCGAACGCTGTGGAGTGGCTTCCAATGCGAACTACGGTCCTTCAAATAAAGCTACTTTTGGTTGATGAGTCATAGTGTTGTTGAAATACCCGCATGTGAGTTGTATTAGCAAGCCATTTCTAATCATTGACGCATTGACATTTGGATAATTGTTGTGATTGGAGCCTTAAGAACGTCCTCCAGCCACTTTGATGACTCGATAGCTCAGGCAACCCCCTTTTCTCTCATCCGCTGTTCGAGCTAGAATAAGGTACTGTTTTATAAATCGAAACCAAAAAATAGCATTATAACAAATGAAATCAAGCAAAATACGAATCGCTGACAGATTAAGTACTTGATACTGCAAAGTTGAGCGTTGTATAAATAAATAAAATCCCCATTGATTGAAAAAATCTCAAGGTATTGTGGAAGTAGCAGAACCATCATCAGTCAAACAAGTATATCAATGTTTAATCATAGACTACAAAACCTGAAACAAATGTTTGTAGGCCGTTGAATCGAAATCATGGAATTCAGGAAACAGAATCTATCAACAAATTCAACTTTTGAAGAAATTTGTTCAGTGATCTAAACAGTGGAGCTCCGAGCGCTTTGGCCAACGTAAGAAAACAATAGAGCGTGTACCACCCCTCTCAACCGATACAGCAACACTGCACTACGGTGAAAGAGAGCAATTCCTGAGTGAAATATCTTTCAACTGTCAGTGATGGGTGGAATATTTCGCCTAGTTGATATGAGTCTGGCAATATCAATATAAAATTGATTCTTCAAAGCTTTACAAAAAGTGTTCAGAACCTCCATTGGAACCGGAGCATTTTTGAAAGCTTCAAATTACGAATCAAATATGGCTTCACCTGTTAGAAGGCTATTGAGGAGTGCTGTTTCCAATTCAAAGTAACTGCTCTTTGACTATTGGCGAGGATATACTCACCAACTGATCTTTCGTGACAAAAATCTGCAGCCGAGTCACTGTCAGAATATAGATCCATCTTATCTGTAGTAGTACTTTGGGGAGGATCAGTTAATCAGTTTGACTTTAGATGTCTTCACAGAATTTGAGCACAACTTAAATGGATTTCTCGTGGTGCAGTAAGATACCGACTGCCTAGCCTAAAAGAAAAAGCAACAACGAGGCTTACCCAATTGGCTGCACGAAGTAGCGGGCCATTCATTATTTGTAAAGTGAAGATTCATCAGAATCAATCTCAGTGCCATCTGTTCCAAACAGCAGCTTTTGGGAATTAATCATCATTGGTACAGCCTGACGAAAAGAACAAACAACTCTAATATGTTATTTCATCGTTGTGACGCGGTTTGCCATAGATCCCCAATCGCCTGCTATCATTGAGCAGCATCACGTCCAGAAAAACGATCATTAATTTCCGCACATTCTCCAATATTGATGAATGAATTGAGATATCATTTGACCACCAACGATTATTGCATCTGATGATTCGCCAATGAGTAGCCCATTCACAGTTAACTCAGGCATCCAGTGGTGTACCTTTCTGGAAAGGTAAGAAACGCCATGTTCAGTTGAAGGTCGGTAGAGGTGTACGGTTTGCAGTACATTAACAATGGTTTTCCACCAACAAATGGAAAAAAGTGTAAATTGATGAAATGTTTCGAGTAACATAGAGCTTTCAGTAAATATGAACTAATAGTATATGAAAGAAAGAGGTACTAGTGAGTCACCCCGTTGAGACCACTATGAGGGAATCCGGTTGACCAATCCATTTACTGATCCTTCAATGTCCTTGAAGCTGGCACAGCGCAAAGGATTGTCGTACCACTATACAAAATTAGTGGACTGAATGTAGCGGTATATTGTATATTTTCATCCTGAGTAACCCTTAGCAACAAGTCTGTCGTTCGGACAATTTCCAATCGGATCTGTGTCGATTGTGATCAGCCAATGATAGCCATCTAGTCCATACCAGCTGACAGAACATCAAAGAAAACGATGCTATTATGAAGCACTGCCAGACGCACCGATTGAGAAGCGGTTGAGCAGATTGTGTATAGAGGGAGCAGTGCAACAGTAGCAGCGACAGTAAAGCAGACAACTATCTCGAAAGAGACCAGTCCAAAGTAGGTTACGTTGAATCACTTTTGAACCATTTAAGAACAATCTCATTATTACGATGATCCTCTTGAGCAGCTTCTTCGGGTCCTGCAAGTGGATCCATTTCAGACTCAGCATCAATCTAGCATCAGTATCTCAGTCATCATGATCGTGGGTAAGAACGCATTCAGTTGAATCCTATTCACTGTCATCGACACCTTATTTGTTTTCATCATCTGAGGCGATATCAATCTATTCATTATCGACTTTTGGATCATGATTTAAGGAGTCAACTGAAGCAATTGCAGTTGTGCTATTCTCGTTATTGGTAGCTGGGTCTGAATTGCCCTGTGACTTCAATATCATTAAGAACAGCTCCAACAGCAGATGGAACTGTTCTTTCAAAAGCGGCCAGCGATGAATACTCAAAAAGGGGCATGGTTGCATCAGCGAGACAAAATGACGGAAGAGAGCCACTGCTTTTTTGATGATTGTTCACTGTGCAGGTCAATCAATTCATGTTGATCTCAGCAGCGGCACGGAAAACTCCACCATCACCGTTATTTCTCACCTTCATTTATTTGAACATTATCGAAAGCAGCTCATCAATATATGTTCAAAAAGAGAGCAAATGATTTTCTGCTTTGGTAAATTTAAATAGGACAAGTCATGCGAGCCCCTTGATTGGTAGAACGGAAAGTCATCATAACTTGTGCCCATTATGGGGCTTCACTCCACAAATGATGAGCACCATCTGCTTTAATTGGTAATGCCCTGGCAAATTGCTTTGTTCCCTTTTGCCAACGTGCAGCTTCAAAAGTATGATGGGTATCATATTGACCCAACATTTCAAGAGTGATTGCTTCCACATAGCTAAAATGTTTCAACGGCTTGCATCCAAACAAGTTGACAAACCTGACTGTAGAAAATGTCCTACTCTAAAGGTGTTGAGCATGATTCATATTACAATCTTACTTGGCAACTGCCTTTTGATCTTTTGCTTTTTGAGCAACAAGGAGATGATTCTATTGCTCATCAACACTGGAGAGAACGCATGCACTCCCATGGACAACAGCAACCGGTACTGTGCCCATCCATATGAAAAAGAAAAAGTCTAAGAGCAACCGTGGCTCTCTATTTGGACAACCAAACAAAATTTTTGGTGGCTCTACATCTGTGAGAAGACTCACACTTTTGTCCACCGTCAGCACTAATGCCAACAAGTTAGCCATACCAATTGATGCACTTCCACCTCCATCACTTGAATGATTGTGCCACTTTGCAGAAATAAGCACCGCAGCAAATGTGGCAAAGATACTTCGTTCAATCCCAAATCCGCTGCAAACCCAGCTAAATCACTATTCATATAACGTAAATCATCCTTGGATTAAATGCGGGCTCCTTATTTGTGCCAGCTGACATTGAAAATTCATTTGCACCAGGAAGACGAATGGAACATGCTCTAACTATCTACTACCCGGAAGGATCAGAGTTGCTGCTGCATTGACATCAACGAATGAGTCAGCGCCGCAGAAATCTCATTTCGGGAGTAGATATGTCTATGAAGCAATCAGCGTGAGAACGGATAAGATGAGTATTACCAGACTATAATACAAAAGTTGGGATGACTCCGCAACCTTGGCAGTTTCATTCGGCTACCAAAACACAGCGGCTGCTCAACATTGGGGGCATCCAGATCAACCACCCCTGCGAAAGCATCGTCCGCAGAAAACAATCCAGTAGATCCTGCAGTAGTGGCAAGCACTTACTCTTCTAAGGTTTTCTCTTATGAAATCAATCACGTGTCGTCTCGTGCTGTTTTTGCTTCATGAATGATAATTACCAAACGAAATGGACGAAGCGACACACACTTGCCAGCAGACTCTCGATCACCAAAATGGTTGGCCCATACTGCTGCATTCGCAAAAGTAATTATTTGGGTGTCTGTAAATTAAGTAAGAACATCTTTGCCGTAGGTAGTGTTCGAGTCAGTATCTCCGTTGAAATTGGCGGCTAAATGATACTCATTGAATCCCTTGAAATATTGTAGTTCAACTCCTTAAAGCCTTTCATATCAATCTTTAGATTTGATAATGTATTTGGGCACTTGCGAAAAGTAAGTGACCTGGTCACCTTAATGGGCAGCCAATAGCTGTGGCATTTCAGCCGCTGCTGCTTCAAGATTTTCATCTTGTGAGAAAAATAATTCAACCAAATTTATTAGCAAGTCGTTCACCAAAAAATTTGCACTCGCAGTAGGTCCATTTCTTGTTAGAGATGATGGACCATTGACAAATTTTGTTTTTGATTAGAATCGTTATATTCCCGCTATTTTTTATGGTCTCTACGCATAAGTGGTCGGTGCTCTATCTGCTACTCAAACATTTTCTGCTGCAAGAATGGCAATGTAGATTGAATTTAGTCGATGAATAATGAATAAAGCAGTCTAGGCTCACTGATGTAATTACAGGTGAGCATCCCAGCTGCTCACAATATGTTACGCATCAAAACGAGCTAAACAAGAACTGTCAGCTTTTCATGAGTCTCATCAAGATTGGGTGGCTGAACAGTCGCGGAGAACATAGTGGAGACTCTCCGCAACACAGATGATTAAAGCAATAGTTCCTCAATATCAGTGAAATGCAGCTGTGATAACCAGTCCTCGTGATCAATTTTCTTCTATCTAAACAAGGCGATTTGTTCCCTAATCGTTTTGAATCACTTTATTGAATGAAATCATGTGGTGGGTTGCTGAAAGAATTTGGGCATTATGTTTATGCAAAGATCCGCAAACAAAATCAGGCAAACCAAGCCTGCCGATAAAAATATCCTCCGTACGTATATATGCTTCGACATGCGGAGAAAGAACTCCACACTGCTAAATCTTAATTTCTGACTTTCCATGGCGGTTGTTTTTACTTTTTGATGAAAGCCACTCTCTATAAAGATTGCCCATTTGCTGCTACTACTCCAAACATTACTTCTGCAGTTGGAGTGTCACTCATCACTGCAGGAGTTAGGGGGCGGAGATTCAGTCCACAGCAGCCCATGACAGATATAACTCAATTGCAATTTTTTCGGTTGATACATAAAATAGTAACTCCAATTCGAATGATAGGTATATTGTCATCAGTTTAGATTATCAACAAACGAGGGTTTCTGCGACAGTGATTTTGGTTTAAAGGAATTTGTTGCATCTACCGCCGATGAACTTTAAGTGATTCACGTTAACAATGGTGCTAAGTCGGTTATAGACCAACTTCCTGCAACAAATAGTATTCCTGAAATGTAATATGATGCCAGTGAAAGCGTTCCAAATTGGTTATGAAATGATTCAAGAAGTGCAAGTATAAACAGGTCTAGAATATATTCAGCAACTGTTCCTATTGCCGCTGCTACTGTTAATCTGAATTCTGGAGACACAATCTGAAAAGTTGCTAGTCAATCAGCGTCTCAGGCAATGCTTGAGAACCCAACTTACCTGACCGTTACTCGGCGCCCTGAAAGATGTGCTGTCGGCTGATGTTGGTTGATTACAATGAAGTCACACCAACCGCAGAAATCGCTAACTTGAAGGTTGTGATTTGGACGGTTCGTGAGCATCAAGGTAAAAATTCCCCTGAAAAATTTGGTGAAGGTTTTTGGTATGAGATAGTAACAGACCATAGTGGTGCTGCACGAGCAAAGTCATGCAAGGCTATCAAGTTACTGTGACAATTGCAATCCTTCATGGAATGTTCGACGCCAAAATGTACATGATGAAACATCCTACAGTTGCTTATGCTGAGCATCGTCTAAAGGTGTGGAAGCTACTCAAATGATCTCAGAACCTCTAGCGATCTTCGCTTTGTTGTTAAAACAGGAGGCTCAATGCTTTCCAATCAGTTCGGATTGAAGATGCTTGAGCTGAGCAAGTTGGGGTTCATTTGCAAGGTCAAACAGCTCTGCATACTGGACATATATGAGGATGGATTTATCAATGTACGATTATCATAGGTGATTCCAAGCGGGTCTAACCATATCATAGGTCATTGCTGAATATGAACAAATCTTGATTTCATGTGAGTCGTTCTCTTGAATTTGAAGCTCCTCAAAACTTGACAAGCATCTCCAAGCGTATGGCGCCGTGGTTCCCAATAAAGGATCAACACTTGAAAATGGCTGTGTCTCATCTGCAGGCCACATCAATCATGATAATTGATACAATGTGCTACTTATAACTGGTGGCACTGCGCATGATGCTAATGAATCATCATTCTTCAAACTAATTATTGTCCCGCCGTTTTTGTCAAAACGTGTTATGGATCAAATTCTGTTTTGGCTGTCCGGCTACAAAGGCCATATGTTGCTGCACGATGAAAATTCCATTTATGATCTCCTCAAAGAACGAGAAGATAACAATACTTCCACTGATCATTTGTTTGTTCCAATGCAGCAACTCATTTGAGTGAGTTGCGCACTCAGAAAACCATGGGGCCGGATCCATTGGCGATAACAAATCAGTTGCAGAGATGATGGTTTCCATTGTTTGAAAGGCGGATTTCTCCAACGAGATTATTTATGCTTCAACGGCTTTGCTGACTTGTTAAACAAAAGTCGTTTTACTCACCAACGGAGTCAACGAAGCTGTGTTTTCAACGCAGGATTTCAAATATATTAGTGCAAATGATTTTAATCCAGTTATATATTCTGATAGGATTGAGCTATCAGCTTTGAGAGCCAACCCTCGAGACGCTGAAACTCTAGGCGTATATCAATTATGTATCAAATCCTATAACCGATGCGCAATGTTGCTTTTTCACTTGCATGAGTTCACACCGATATTTATGTCCTGATAATTTGTCTGATGTGGTTAGTGATTCTGCGTTCATTCAACTCAAACATGCTTCATTCATAGAATTGCTGATAACTTTGCATTTTTTCTTTTGACCGATTTGGTAATGTCTAACATCTCTCGTCAATCAAGTATCTTGTTCCCAGCAGAAAGCTGTTGACATTGAAAAGGTTGAGTGACTGTGATCATTTCATCTATACCGCGGTTTGGACTTCTGTGTATCAATGGTATTCTACTTCAATTACAAAATGTATAACTTTGTATCAGAACGTAGTTCACTTGCCATTTGATTTGCCTATTCATTGATTTCCTTACCATTTCCTCTGGAGTTGCGTGTGTTGTTACTTAAAGGACATCGATGTAAGAGTAATCAGTAAAACAGCAGAATTAGTTTTAGCGATCAAACATCCATTCATGATGGCCGGCTAAACGTACTGATGTTTAAAGCACAAGAACTGCCAGTGCGCGCTTTTATGCAGGACTTGAAAGGGTTTTCTACTTTGGAAAACTTGTCAGTGTTTTAAAGACATCGATTTCTGTCACCCGTCAATGTTTTTTTCTGGAAATTCCTGCCTGTCATTTGATCCTCATGTGAGAATTTGAGTTGGCACATTCGGTTACTGTTTGCTTGTCACTGGTCTTCTCCAGTGAGGCTCTGCAGCTACCCTAGTTTGGATAAAAGGGGCCGCCGATCTTATCTGCGTATTTCCTTCCTATATATATTTTAATGCTATTATATTAGAGTACATTGGCTGCCGGATAACGCACCCCAGTGCGGCGTTGAACCCTATCACCGGACACCTTGTTGGGCACTGGCAGCAGATAACTGCTGCTTGAAGGCCAACGGTCGCTCCGAGGTTTTGCCAAATGCTTGATTACATTGTTCCCACCGTCTGAAGTGTAGATATTGTATTTTGGGCCGACTTCAGAGCCACCGATTCACCACAATCGATTTTCAAGTGCCTGTCCGCGGTCTGAGACAGTGATCGACTGAGATTTGACGCAGCTTCTTATATAAAAGACTGGAGACCACTTTTTCGGTGATTTGTATCTATTTTGGATTTGTTCTGAATATCTTATCATGCAATTGCAACAACAAACGAGAATGTGAATTCGATGTTCAAAACAGAATAGCGGTTCTGAAGACATTAAATAAAAATTAGTTGCAAATAGCTTTGATTAAGAGCTTGACCATAGCATTGGTGGTATTTACGCTCTACTTACAAAATAGGAAACGCAATCAATATTGCTTTTATTGGCCGCCATTAGCAGCCGCAATATTAGCCAAATGGATGCGTAGCGAGCAATCTTGCACGGACCAATTGACTATCCAGCTTGTCGAGATGTTCCTGCTGGAACATCATCATCAAAAGAAATGTTTGGAGATCAAACAAGGGATTGAATGGATAAGGAAGCCATACTCATTTTCTACAATATATTGAAAGACGGTTAAAGATAGCAAAATCAAGTTTTATAATATGGTGGATGCTTTCTTTTTGAACAATTTCGGATGATAAATCACCATTTTTGCTCAGGATAGTAGAATTGTTGAAAATACAAAGCATCGTAATGATGAACAAATAGCATTCGTAAGAGCAATCTTGCGATACAATACAAGTGATATTCAAATTTATTCCAACAGTTTATTAATGAACAGACAAATCATTGATTCAAGAATTCTTCAGAAGATGACATTGGGTAAAGTTAATTCGAGCGGAGAAAAGTTATATTACATGAATTAAAAGCTCCTTTAGCCAGGAAATTTGAAAGTTATCTTCAATAAATAGTTCGTGCTGCTGATGATTATTGAAAATATAGATCAGTTGATGATACATTACTATCTGCGGCTAATGCTGTTTGATATGCCTTTTCTTATCCGACTTCACTTCTAGCTTGACAAGTAGGTAGAGAATCGAAGCATTATCTATCAGGTGCGTTCAGTGTCATACTATCCAATTGTTAAACACCACATCTTTCCATTCATTTCAATCATCGGAATAGTGAGTTGAAACCTGCTGAATTTACACTTCCTGATGAATCAGTCTATGCATCAGTGAACGCCATTTTTCTTGAAATATTCCTCAACTATCTATTGTTAATGACGGGGATTGGCTAAATAATAAATTCACAACCAAAAATAAAAGTGGCTTCTTCACGATGTTGAGTAGTATCTTGCTCTCAGCGCCCTCAAAGAAACAATGACGTGTTTCATTGTTGAATGCTGAAACTCAATTTGTTTGATTGACTGATCCTATCGAAGGTGGATTAACCTTTCAAAACTTAATAGACAAAATAAAGACAACAGTGGCATTAATCAACGTATATGGTGAAAATCATTCTTGTTTTGTCGTTTCTCATAACGTCATTTTCGCAATCCATTCTGGCATGACGATATTATCTATCACTACCTTGAAGCACCGGATGTCAATAATTAATTGGAACTCCGCTATACTGATTCAACATAAGATTACGGTTAAATTTTTTCAAATTAGCAGATTCAACTACCTCCTATAATCTTGTTGAATCATGAGATTGTTTTCATTTTGTAGGAAGAAATTACAACCTGAAATACAACTTGTGAAGTTTGAAAGAAACAAACTTAACTGCAATGGATACTTTCGCAATACAATCATTTTTTACATTCATCGAAATTTACAAGCTGACAAAGGTATCAATTTCTACATCTGTCACAAAGCACGATGTCAACAATAGATATATTTATCAAATCTTTAACCAAAATTGCGTTCTTTTCGTTATCCATTGATATTTGAAGGTATTCTAGGATTTCATTCAGTTTATCTAGGTTTTTACGAATCGTCATCCCATGGTTACTAAAACATACTATATTTTTGGACTTGAGCTTCATCCAACATTGGCTACAGTTATGCAATGATGTTCGATTAGGAACTGGTTAAAGAGTACCACTTTTTGTTCAAATACATCATATTCAAGGACTGCTTTCAAATTGAAGATACACTCCGTCTCTGATTGAAGCTGAATTCATCCATCAAACTTACTCGCCACTAAAGAAATAAACTGACAAGGTAGTTTTCAATTGTTCAAAACTCTTCTAATAAACTGCTAACACTATAAAGTATTATTGCATTATCAAAACGACGATCGAGGCAAGTTAGTTGTTGACTATCATGATCAGCAACCTATTGAAAAGACTCACAATTCAAATCATCAATTTTTAACGGATTTAGGTTTCGCACTTCCCACGATTTTATATCTCCTTCAACGTTCGACGCTCCACCCAATGACTTTAAAGAAATAACCACTTCAATTGCATCAATCAAGACTCATACTTTTGGAACTGCTGCTAAACAGCCGTTCATTAAAACCTGGTTCAGCAAAAGCTTCACCAATTGTGTTGATACTGACGAGTCTAGAATACTAGAATATATCTCCGCTGCGGATGTCAATAGAAATGCAGAGCAAGTTGCTGGCAATGCCAAAGAATTAATCAAAGTTACTTTGAATTTCAAAGAAATTAGGAATTCCGATGAAGACAATGGAGCTGTGATGCTCATTGAGATTGCGTGAAAGATGTTTCAATGTTCGTGTAATAGAAGCAGTGTAGATTCATCCAATCTTGTTAAAAGAATCAGTTATTTCATTAAATCAACAAATATTGAAAGGGCAAACTAGCTGTGTTTCAGCTCATCATGCCGGCTGTAGATTGATTGCTCTCTGATTTACACTTCCGCAGCTAGAATTCAAAGATGTTGCAAAATATTTCTGAGTCAATGGTCAAGCTAGCAACGCAATTGATGATAACAAACGAACACCTTTTTGATGAAATAATGACCAATTCAGAGACATTAATAAGTCAAGGGCAGTAGGATTGTTAATTTAATCATTAGAGTCAATTAACTTAATGAATGGCTTTCAGAAACAAATACATTTTAAACAGGAGGTAAATGCATCACCTGCGGCAGTTCTCGTGCTTTCTCTGGAAATCACAAGTCACCCAAGTAGGTCAAGCATCTCAGAGCATTGAATCTGAGGAGTGTGGAGATGACTTGTAAGATGTCATTCAAAATGGATCAACACCTGATTCGATGAAAGATAACTCCTTCGATGATCTTTTCTTTCCCTAGAATGTTCTTGCATCAAGTGAAACAACTCTTTTTGATTTCAGTGAAGAACCACTAAATGATGGGTGAGAAAGATGGATATTAATCCAAAGTGTCAATGGAGACGATAACTTTAGATCAGAGAAAATTGGTTATCTTGGTTTTTAAGAATAAGCTGATGACAATGGTATTACAAGCTCACCAAAAAAACATTGTTAGCGTTGCCAAATAGGCAGATATTCGTATCATTGGTTTTATCGATGAGGATGGAACGTTCTTCGACACAAGCTGTGTGGCTATTGCTAACTCTGTGAAAATGAGTAAACTATAGTGGGACATTGAAAACCAGGTACAAATTGAAAGGGTGTGCAACTCTCGTGGTAATCATCTTCAATTTCAACGGACCACAGTCATTGTTCTTGAACCTAAATGAAAACCATAACCATCGGTGATTACACTCTAGGCGATATACATAGTTCATTGAAGAGATTGCAAACTAGCGTTTCGGATTTCAGCGCAACACCACTTTACCGTTTGACAATTGATTCAAGATATTTATTGAAGAGTTTCTTTTCCCTATTTTGTTTGGCGCAGCTCGTAGAACCTAGTTATTAATTGTTACCGAACCTAAATCAAACTTTATTCTTGGTTAACTTCTCTTGATCAGTCATTGGAACTTCAAAAAGATTTACTGGTAAAGTTGAAGAGGGAACCAAATTCCATTTTCAATCCAAGGCAATTAGACAATACAAACATAACAATGAGATTGAGATTTTGTTATAAGCAATCAAGCAATTTTGTATCCAAGCAAGTTTGAAAATGTAGCTTTCCTTAAAACATAGTAAATTAATCAAAGCTTCGGGTATTTCACATCGATTCTCAAAACATTACTGACGTGGTGTCAGTCCTTTACGCAGGAATCCGATCGTAACTCCCTGTGTAGCATTTCTAAAGTTGGTCAATATAGCAGATGCAAAACGCTTTTACAATGAAGGTGTGGGTGGCAACTTTTCCGTTCTTACACAATAAATCGCATTGTTGTCAATCAATGACATTTTGATGACCGCTGAAGAGTCTGAAAAGAAATGATAGTTCAGCCACGCATCCAATTCAATTAAAATAATCAATGAGTTTGAAGAACAAAATATAATCCGATCCCAAGGTATTGTATCACCTATGGAGAATGTTCTCATTACAGCATAAATCGTTTAAATAACAAAAAGTTGTTGTTTCAAGGACCGCATACTAAGTTGAGAGTTCTGTGAGTTAAAAGGTGTCATCGAAATTCAAACAGAATTAAATTGTGTGAAACTTAATTTATGTTTTAATGAATCTCCTGCTCAGAACTGTGGCGACTAAGTTGGAACAGCTGATGTTCTGAACGATGGTGAACGACTATCAGAAGAACAAAGTGCAATCATTTTGATCAGAGGCACTAATGATGACGAAATGTGACAACAAAAGCGACTGATATTCTTCGATACTGTAGATCTTCTCGAGCCAAGAGATTTTTGAAACCCCAGATTAAGTATCACAAGTGTGTCAAATTGGATGAAAATTGATTTCTTCCTCACTTTGAAAGAAACAGACAAGCAATTGAATAGATTGAGTGATAATTCCTAGATAGGGAAACTTCAATCTATTATTGATGTTGTGTGAACATAATGTACCAAATGATTCAGTTGTCAATGCGGAATCACACTTGCAATCATTGCCCAGGTGGTGTTGGTGAAGATCCAAGATCTCAACAATTGGTCTCTCAGTATTAATTACCGGTCAGCTTCAGCAACGCTTGGTGGTCTAACTCAGTTGGTTATAGATGGGGCAGCCGATCTCATCGACATTTCTTTTTCTTACGTACATTATTGACTTCAAAAATTATCATGAATATGATGCAGTACGCTCTGATCCACTTTGAGATTGATCATTGGTGATGGTAAGAAAATAAGTCATTAGCGTTGCTTTACTACGTTGGCTCTGGTGTTGAACGTCAAACCTGCTGAGTTTCGGTTCTATTTCAAGAATTCATAGAAGAAGGTGCTACGCTAGCGGATGATGGTGAATTTCACAAAATTAGGCTTCCATGCCATGGCAGTTTTCTTACTTGGTCACCGGGAGATGTGCTTCTGTTGTAGTGAAAAAGATGTTTTACAATAGATAGTATAGCAGTCAAGAATAAGCTAACTTGAAATATATATATAAAGCCGTTGTTGCTCATGCTGCAGCCGTTATGATCAGGTCACTAAATCTGGCTATGTAGTGAAGGACACATTTCAACATCAAAGAACGCAGAAAATTCGTTGCTGATGACTGGTGCAATATTTTCGAAATCTCCAATGCAGATCATCCTGACGCTATTCGCTACGCCGCTTCCGCTTTACATACTTGACGGGCAGCATCAACTCGTACTGAATTTTCCGACCAAGAAAGAATCATCGTTACTCTCGGAAAAAATTTTGCAATTGGGCTTGATGTCGATCGTTTTGAGCCAGCCTAGCTTTAAAGGCATTTCTTTGTTAGGAAAGAACCGTTGAACTGGAAAGATCAAGAAAGAGTTAAAACCCATTGTTAAGGTAATACTCGACAGTTGGTTTGGGACGGTCGGGCAACACGGCCTGCTCGTGCTGGATAGACAATTTCAGCCGATATTTCCTCTGCTAAGGCTGATATGAATGCCCCAAAAATTGATCCGTCATTGTTTGCTTGGTCGATCACAGTAACTAACGAAATGATGTTGAACTGCATGAATATTTGATTTCACTCGCATTCCTCCAAGCATAGTAGTGCTATGGCTGACTCGATCGAATCCTATCACCTGATTCAGCTAGATTGGTTCAACCACTTAACGACGCTTCAGGTCAAACTCCCTCCATTTGTGAAACTATCGTTGATTTCACGGAACTTCATCATTGATGCTTCTAAATAATGGATCATCATGAAATGTTAAATACTATCGCCAAGATGCATTGGTCATATCAATCGCTGTTGCTACAATGCAACAGACCACTTTTTTCTTCATAGGTGAGTGTGTGTATTTCAACGGTGCAATGGCCTGTGAGAAGGCAAGCTTAGAAGTATATGATCTTTTCCCTACCCAATCTGCTTTTGCCGAAAATTCACCAAATTGGCATGATCGTCCTGGTCATCGAGCTCAAACTGTCAAAAGAAATATAACACAAACCTATGTGATCTCCCGTGCTGGAGGTTGCAAATGATGGAACTCTCCAAAGTAAGAAAGACCAAAAATATTAGTAAGTGGTTTTCAAGAGCACCCCACAGGGCCGCTGCTGCGCTTCTTGTTGTTGCAATTCCTAGGTCTGCGGCAGGTGTTGAAATTCATGAATGTGGGGGTGTCTTCACCAGTGATGATGATTGCGGTCAAAGACCTGTTGTTGCTTGACTCTTTGCACAACGATTTGTGTTGTGTCGTTGGTCTACCATATATAGTGGTTCCTCATCGGATATTGAATAAAGCCGTTAATACTGAGCGAATTGATAAACCGATTGCATTCAAGCTGTTCAAAGTTCTCTCTCATTCTGATTGGATCAAATTTAGGAATGACTTTTCTTTGCTAGAAAATTGAAGAACCGGTTGCTGATGGCTGGCAAAACCGAATCGTTGATAAAGCCCGCACCATTGCGGCTGAGGACAAAGTTTCTAATCATTTATTGATTGAACCGGTGATGTCACCGGTGATTTTGATGAATTGGATTTTAGGATATCATCGATCTTCTTTGCCTACAGGCTTTGAAATAATTTACAGATTAGAATCCACTGCTGCTAAGTTCAAGATGGTTCAGTGTATTGGTTTCCAAAGAAACCAAAAAAGTCTGGCAAATCAAATTGCGTGCCACTAGTCTTTTACGTGTCGTTGTAGCCAAAGAATGAGTACCAATTTCGGCGGATTCTAGAGCCATCATCAGTGGTTTCTTGAAATCAGGATTTTTCCTTCGTTTTGATAAGGCCCAGTATCTTCAAAAAATGTATTGGTTTTTGCCAAGAAACAACCAGATTTTTTTGCTGATGGCGTTTGACCCGTCGATAAAGTCATATAGGGTGAAATTTGTCTCCTACCAATGACTAGAAATAGATAGATCCAATTACTTCAGAAACTGTATTCAAACCTGCTTAAATGAAGATGACGAGTACCTTAACATCAACTTAGAAGTTGCAAATGCAAATGGAGTCAATGACAACAACCAAAAAATAGAGGCATCTGTTGCTTCGGCAAAAGATACTGATGAAGCTTCTGACGCTAGCACCGGGTGTCAAATTGATTTTGCCCCACCTGTTGAACAAGATAGAATTGACAAGCAGAACTCCATCAATTTGAAAATCTAATATAATGGTATATAGGTCGTTCAAAAGATGGCATCGTTGGGAACTTCTTTTTAATTGTTTGGCTTGGGCAACATTGGCGTATTTCGGCAGAACACATTCTGCCGATACAATTTTGAAAGTTGCTTGCCAATCGAAGCCGCAGGCAGTGCAGAATCAGTACGTACCTGCGGGTTGATCTTCTCTTGCAGAACGAGTTGTCGGCCGTAGTTGAGTGTTTACAATATTGTGTCCGCCTACTGGTAACTGTGCCGAACCCATACTTGTTAGTGATGGGTTCCCTGAACTGAATGTTAAAGAATCTACTGCAATATTTTTTCCATCAAATTGCAATTAGAGGGTTAGTGTCCATTTTGCATCTGCGGCATCAGATTCCTTCAAAGTTCATCAAATGGAAGTGACAATGGTAATTTCATTGGTGATATCGATGAGAACCTTTAGATGAATGAAGCCTCTGGATTTGTTAATTTAATATCTTTTCAGAATGGTTGGTTCTCACACAAATCACGTTATGAGCTGACATATCCTCTTCAATGTTGGGACAACAAATTCATTGACGCTTCCAAATTGTTCGGCTTTAAAACTACTTTAGAGGAAGCTCGTCCGTTATATCTCACTATAAGCTAACACCAAGCCATGCTCAGATTATATATCGAGAATCCTAATACAACTCCACCATCGCATTAAACAGTGAAGATGGTCGGATCTTATCTCTGATCATTGGATAAAATGAATAACATGGATATAATTCAGGCCTTTTCATTGGAATTAATCGGGTTCATTGTAACAAAAATATTTCAGAACCTATGATGAATCATGCCGGATCGTCAGTTCAAAAGTATATTATTAATGGCTTTCACTCGGAAGGGCACGAACGATCATTAAGAAATGAGAGGTGCAACTTGAAAGACATGGCATTGGGATAGATGTTGAAATATCACCACTCCAGAGATCAATTGTTGGATTGCTTCATTTGGCCGGAAAATAGTGAAAGTATGATATGGCATTTGATGTTGCGCTACTCAGTCGGGTTTACGCAAGACGATTCAAAAACCATTGTCGTTGTGTCAGCAGGAGCTGAACAATTTAAACATAATCTTTTCATCTGATTATTGCGTTGCTGATAGTTTAGTTGAGTAATGTGAGTAGCTGAACAGATATTGCGCTAAACACAGAAGTGATCACTTATCATTTGGTTGTTCTAAGTTCATACTAGTGAAATGCCAGCTGCTTGAACTTGAGAAAAGCAGTCTTTAGTGGCCAAGCAGTCCTCGGAAGGTGAGCAGCACTGCAGTCACTGAAACAGTCGAAGAACGTCTATTCTTCATGCAGGAGTCCAAAGATATTGGAACTGATCAACAAATTCAAAATAAATATGTGGTAACAGAGCTGCCTTCATCTTTCCTTCTCATCCCACCAATCACGGAAACTAAAAATGTATTTCAATTTGGGATTGCCGTGCAAAACGCTTGTGCTGTATTTCTTTTGCTTTTGCAATAATTTATATCAATGTTAACGTGGATGATATTGTTGATTCACGTGATAACGGCTGCAGTATCAAAATATCTCAATACACTGCTTCAATGAATAAGTTGAAGCTTGCTTATCCTGTCATGTTTTCGTTTTAGTTATTTTATTAGATTTCAATTGATTTTCTGGACTCCTGGTTAAGGTTGCATCCTTATTTTCAAACAATTGCTTGACCAATTGTTCAGCTATTGATGTTTCATCAGTACCAGTTTCATTGAAATATTGAATCTCACCATCGACAATAACTTTCTGTTCCAATTCTAATGAGATTCCGTTAATGGTTTTTTCGATTATATTATGATATGCTCATCGACTTATTTAAATTCAGTGTTCAGATCTAGATAAGATTACAAGATTCGGGCCTTGATAGTGGCCCAGTGATGTGGTGTTCGCCAACGAACAGACGAGCGACCAAAGGAAAAGGATGGCAAAAATCTTCGACCCAATGAGCCACCGATTCGTTTGATCATGATTGATTGGAGGGTTCGCAGCGGCCTCCAAGTGCTCCGCTCACTTCATAATTTCAAAAAGACCCACTTCTGGCAAAACTGTTTTAATTTAAACGCCTGTGGCTGGGATTGAAATCATCTCACGGGACCGTGAACGAACTTCCGGAAACCAAGTTTTGCGCTCATTCTTGGTAACAGATTGACCAGCTATGAACGTTGAATCTGCTTTACTAAAATGCTTGGCAAAAATAAGCCAATCGTCAGATCACCGGTCACTAGGTTTAGGGTGGTTCTCAAGAGCCCCTGACTCTGCATTATCTTCCCCACTTATTTTCATCGTCTGCATCGGTGACCGATGTGAGATATCTCAGCTCTGTATCAAAAAGAATGCCGATACGTCTTACTTGTTCAGTTTTTATAGTCCTATTTAGCGGAATATACAATCATGGATTCGCTAGATGAAATGCAATTGATATTGATCCATCAGTCCAATGCATCCCTAAACTAAGAATGTGTACACTGAAATGGATATTAAATGTTCGTTAATAGAATTACAAAGGTATTCTTCTGTGCAAACCAAAAACCATCATTCAAAATGTCCCAGCTCAAAAAAGTAATGGTTGGGGATATATCTCAGGTGATTCAGTTGGTCTGAATGTTCCGCATCAAAGAAAATCGAAAAAGAAAATCAATATGCTATTATTCGTGGTCACAATGTTAGTTTCTATTAATACTTAACTGAATGTTTAAATGGGTAATTCTTTTTTTTCAAACCACACATAGATTCACAAGTAAATAGCCCAGCTTTGCCGAATCAAAGATTAAACTCAATACAACAAAATTCTAAAGTTTTGGCCAGAACACTGTCACATCAATCAAATCATGTCTTACCACCGATCTTTTCAAATGGGAAGAGCTGAATTGTTAAATAACCAAATCAGTAAGAAAATGAAAATGAAGCTCATTGAATCTAATGGTCTAAATAAGTATTGGTGCTTTGCATTTAGACGTTACGTGGTATTGCACAATTATTTTCAATCAATTATTACAAAAAATCACCTTGAAGAATGCTTAGACAAACAACATAAAGAATGCTGAAGTGGATGCTGCATTTGGGGTTCAAATGTTGCCTTCAAATTAATATAACACGAATACGATTTATTAAAAAAACACCAATGGAGCGTTCTTCGTTTCATTTATCAAAAGCAATTGGTTCTATTTTAGAGAAGAACTGATAAATGACTATGACTACAAATTCAATTAGGGCAACAAATCGAATTAATCCATCGAAATCTAGTCCTTCAAACCGAGGACATAATAATGAAGCTACTAATATACTGCTGATCATTCGCTAATGACTCCAGCACATATCCAATCATCGATCGTAAGTGCAATGTGCGGCTAATGCAACAATTATATCTGAAATGAAAGTGATAATGGCATGAGCCAACCTGCTGGTGCGAATCCATGAAAATACATCAAAGTACAAAAGTGATTGCAAAGACGAATGGAAATGAGTTGGCCTCGTTTTTGATACGACACTATGTTGGATTGAATCGCGTCACGGAAACGTAGTAAAGTACAATAGGGGCGGCGCCAATCAGCACACCAGAGGGGCTTGCAACAGCTGTTTCTCCCCCAGTTACCACATCTCAGACAATCCTCCAAATACAGTTGAACATATTAGAGATTGTAAAACCGATCAGACAGGTCGGCCCATTTGTTGCCATTTATGAGTACAAAACAAACATTGCGTAATCTGTTAACGCTTTGACTTGTGTGAGTGCCAATTTCCACAACGGCATTTTACAAAGACCTATCTTGAGGTAACAAACATAAGTGTTTTTGATATACTAATAGTGGGCTGACTAGTAAGTCTCTTTTAACTGGCAAAGGACTGAGGGATTGCAAGCCAATTGACCTACTCCGTCAAGAAGACTAACTGGCGGGTGCGCCACATCACTTATCCGTTCCTGAGCAGCCACCCATTTCGCTGAACCGGAGATCTGTTTGCAAACGTGTCATTGTACATCAAATCAAGCGCTGAACAAAATTTACTAAAAACAAAAATCAAAGAATAAAGAAATCAAAAGTATATGGCAATATATATATAATTATTGTAAGTATCTTGTAAATGAGAATCATCTCAATGAAAAAGTCAAATTTTAAGTTTCGGGGAAGTAGTATCACCCTGGTCTTTCTAACCCAAGTATAGCATTTCCGAGCAATTATCATCATAAAATGAATCCAATAATTGTGATCAAATAGAAGTAAAGAGAAGTAGTCAATCGAACCACAAATATCATTAGTGAATCACTGAAGCAAACATTAAGAAACTTAAGCAGTGCTGCACTGGGCCCCGTAGTATCAAGCAGAAGACGTTACTATCAGTATCAATAGCTGCAAGAGTGATAGCGACATTAACTGAGATTTTAGTAAAGTGATACATGAATAAAATATGCTGCTAGATCTTTTGATTTTTAGGATCGATATCACAGCTGACAGCAAAAGTCCGTTCGGAATTGATAGTTGGGGTTTCCACATTTGTAGCGATATATTTGAAGAGCAGCATTAGGATGAGTGCTTTTCCCCCCCTTCAGAAAGTGGAATCAATTTGTTTTTGCAAATCGGCATGGGCCCTGAGTGGTGGTTCCTTAATAGTAAACCTATTGGCTTTTGTTTAGAGAGGAGCATATACCCACAAACTCAGTTTCCATCAGCAATGTCTCCAGCGCATTCACAGTAGGAACATTCAATTACTCCAACTGACGAAGCAACGATCTAAAAACCAGTAAATGAATCTGAACTCAAGTTTGTTACACTTCATTTTGCACAACATAGGTGGATCTTGCATGGTGCCCAAAAACAATCGAACGAGTAACCGAAAAGGAGACCCAATATCATAGTTTGACCAATTTGCTGCAAATAACGGGAATGCAGCAAATGATTTACAAGCTGATAAGTCATTAGCATCCTATTGACATTTCTCAGTGACAAGTTGGACAGCGTATGTGTTATTCAACAATCGTGTAGGGACAAATGAAACTAATCAATTATAAACAGTTGCACCATCTGGTTGACCCCGGTCTGCGTGATTACCAAATAGCTGCCGTTTCATTGAGCGATAACATGTCCAAAAAAACGACCCAGAGTTACTCAAAGTGCTTCTGTTTTGAACTAAGATTGGAGGTTTGACTTTTCTGGCTTGACCAGACCATTTCATGACGCCGCAATCGTATGATTATCTCCTGTAATCATGGCCTGCATTGGTGCAGCTGATTCAGTGATAAATCACATCTTGTTGAACTAGAGCAGCTTGAAATGCAAACAAGTGGATAACAGCAAGCATCCTCTTACCCAAACAACGAAAATACTGCATTTCACCATAATTTGTTTTCTCTACCATCCAAGCCTTCAAATAATGAGTACCAATAACGAATCCGGAGGTTTGTTTCATCGACCCTCTGGATCAATATCACCTTGAAAACTAGCGAATGTCACATTAAGTCATGAACAAGAAGTGAGAGTGATTTTGCGGCAGCAAGTCGGAGTTTATTACATTCATCGTTATGAAATAGAAAATATTTTACTCTTTAGCGAGTACATTCAATTTGAAAAAAACCTTTGACCAACCAGTTTGGAATGGGCAGAGTCCCTAGAACGTTCAAACGTCTTTGTGAACTCAGATCGAGTGAAATCATGTCACATTTCAGAAGGAAGACTGTCTGCGGCTGCCGCATGCCTCGATTTGCTCTTTCGGTGTCCGTCACTGGACTTGCTCTCGAGACCCACTGTATTTGAACCTGGTGTCCTATCAAAGGTCCTGCCGATGTTTTTTAACGGATTGCAGATTATCAACTTCTGCGTCATGCCAGATTGTCGTCGATCTGTTGCAACTGCTTATGCAAATAATGACGTTTGGTTGCCGGTTAGAATGGGAAAAACCAATGGACGCTGCCAACTTCACTATTGTCGCTTTGGTGTCGAATTCTATCGCTCGTCCGTTTAGTCCGTTGGTTCAAGGCCTGGTGAATGACGGTGTTATCAGTTGCTGAAATTCGTGATTGAGACACTTTTCAGACTTTCTCAGATGGCATTTTTTACTCGATGGTTGCTGGCTTATCAATTGCTGCTTGAATGGAAGAGGGGGTATGCCATGAGTGGTATCGCGGTCAACTATTAGTAACCTTGAAAGAAGTCAGTGGAACTATTGTCGTTTAAGATGGTGACTGTATGACTAAGTCTGGTACATCTAAAAAATGCCAAACTACATCATTGATTGAGAGGGATTTGATTAAGTTTTTTAACGAATGATTAATTGCGGTATTTTCAAGTTACAATGCCGATCATGGTTCCGCTTTCATTTATCGTGTTTCTGATCTGGACACCACCTACGTGGAAAGTGTCTTCATCCATTTGAGAACTTTAACCAAATTATTGTCACGGATGCAAAAGTTTTCTTTGATCATCTTGGTGATGATGCATCTGCTGCAAAATCAGGTTGAAGGCCGTTACTCTCTTCCGGTTAGGAGCTATTGAAGAAACACAAACAGATCAGAATGACGTTGCATCGATATCAAAAAAGGGAGAACGCCATAATAATTGATTGGCACAAAGGCCAGCTGCTGCGAGTGTTTTGTTGCAGCGGATACTCCTGCTGCACTTTCTGCTTTAACTGCCCCCAAAGTTGATCAGTCACTGATAGCATCGTCATCGAATGAAACAGGCAAGCCGATGTTCAATGTCAAATAGCTATATTTTGATTCCGCTGCTGTCCAACTTTATTGTACAGACGGATATTGGTTCCGCGACTTGAATGTCCTTTGAGCTCGGATTGCAGATATTGGCGACTCCAACGTTGATGTGAAAGAAATATCTCCTGTAATGCTTCTGAATGGTGGATCATTACAATTTGCTCTGTATGATTCCCATAGTCCAAATTAAATTTCAATTTGTGCTACAACAGTTGAAGGCAATCGGATGTCATTCAAAATTGATTACACGAGTTTCAATTGTGCGTTGACGGATAGAAATCAGCCTCAGGATGAAATGAATAATTTGTTGCGCAACGTGGTGCGGCGTTAATTAATACATATTCGGTTTAACCCAATTGACGCTTTGGTGAGACTCTTGCAAAGAAATAGTCTCAATGGATGTCATTTCCGCTGCTGGTCATCTAGAACGAGAGAGTTCCCAAAACAAAAAAGAACCAAAGTGATCAATTACGGCTCTACAAAAGAGGCCACCAGTACTATTGGACCTTTTCATGTTAATATTTTTGGGCCAATACGAGCTGATGCGGCTCACGAGAATGGTAATCATCATACCGGAGAGCATGATTACTTAATATATGTCGTTTTTGCAGCAGATTTAACTTGAACATTAGCTGTTGGCAGCTTGCCAGTCTACGGTAAATTTCATCAAGGAGTATTTGATAAAGCAATTCATAAGATGAGATGTGTTAACGGGTATGATAACAAGCTGTTGACAGATGTTTAATAGTCTCGAACAGCCAATCTTAAAACGAAAGTTCTTTAGGCATGTCGCCATTCCAGAGTCCCTGAACGCAGCTAACGTACAAACAACTGAAAGGCCTGGACAATTGAACCTCATGCTAATCTTCCTGATTGTCTGAGAAATGAAACCAATATGATTGCAGTGTGTACTTGAATTTGATTTCCACCAAGCATGGCACTTCGTTCAGCAATCCTTCTCAGATATTTGATGGAAAGCAATCAGCTGCTGCTATGTTGAAGTGCTTGAAACAGGGTGCTTATGCCACAATTCGCAAATAAATCAAGAAGCCGATGATAAGTGATGAATCTGTCTTTAGTGTGTTTGTTGGCTTCGAGTTGAAGAAACAGCCTTTCAGAGATTACAACCACTTTATCAGCGGTGTGGTTGTCCGTTCTTCTTCTCGTATTAAGAAACTTCATCTTCTTTCAACCATTCAACACTTCCGCTCTTTAGTTTAGCAATTTCATCCGCCGTTGAGAATACATGTGTTGCTGCTGGCATCATAGGGGGAATGTGATCACGGATATCGATGACGGATATTTTACATCCGCAAGTGTTTCTGACAATACATCAAAGAAGAACTCCACCGAAAATGATGACTCAGCGATATCTGCTCAGATATAAATGGGAAACGTGTAGTAGATATCAATCATTTGGATTCAACGGAATCTGACTTATCCACTGACGACAATAATGAGGCTGCCAAAACTATCAATGATGTTGAATCTGATATGATCCAACATGCAAGAGCTAAAATGATTCGTCAAGGAGATCTTGATAAAATTGAAACTGAGCCCAGATGGATCACAATTGATTAAAAAAATGGCAGTAGTTGCAGGTCTCTTTTGACATAATTTGCTGCCTCCCATTTTGCTGCTACCAATGTTAAATCAATTCCGGCGGACGGAATGAGCCATCTGGTTTGCCAATGAAAGTCGCAGGCGATGATTGATATCCATAATTGCCTGTTGGATGACCATTTCTGTGGACAAGAACTTGTTTGCCGTCGCTGCCTGTTTACAATAAAGTCGGCGGGAAAAGCTGATTTTAAAAATCAAATCTAGGTCATGAATCGGTTTTTAGCTTGAAGATGTTTAATATGATAAATGTTTTTGTTCAGTAATAAACTACAGAATCGTTTGGCTTTTGCACGCAGTTGCTGCATCAAGGACATTCTTGGATCATTAAGCTGTAGTCACCACTGCTGTTCTTGATGGAGAAATCCACGCCAATAGATTGCGTCAAACAGCAATACCAATTTGCTTATGCTGAGGATCCTCTGTTGATTTGAGGGGTACTCATACGAATTTATGGACCAAGACAAGTTGTTCCATGTCAGTACAAGAAGAAGCTCAATCATCTCCTATTCTCGGGTTACAAAGACATTCACCGGAACAGATTTTGTTTCGGTTTTTAAACATCAAACACGGCTAGATGCAAAATTTGGATGTGGATTTTCATATTATTGCCGGATGTTCAGATGAGCTGAACATGCTGATCAAATCATGGTGATCACTTCATATCGCAGTTCGTTGTTCAGAGCACAAAAACATGAAGTAGTTTGGCTTTGTTTGCTGGGACTAGATATTGCTAAACGTAACGAAGTTCATCCTGTATGTCAGAAGACTTAGGAGAGACTGATGGATCAACAGATCAAACTAGAAGTGTTTCACTCGAAGCCTACACAAATGAAGAAAAGCCATTGGAAGGTAGTACTTGAGACAGATCGCTCAGAATTACATGGCAAAGGATCAACACGTTAGAAATCAATTGTTTGGTCGTTGCCTTTTGCAGCAAGATAATCAGGGATTAATATAGGATTTGCTGCTGGGTTTAGTTACACGATATCTTGCTGAACAACAAGAAGTTCAATTAAGTTTTGCTCAAATTGTGTTAACATATATAAACGCCAATCCAAAATCTGTTAATTACAAAAGCGTTTCATTAGTTGAATTGTTTCAAAACTGGGTGGGAGTATGGACCGAAGATATGGGGTTCGTAAATTATTGCGTGGATAGGCGTTTGTCGTCAATCGGCAGACAGATATTTTAAAGCCGGAAAGCACCGCTCATTTGTGTTGCTGATTTGTGTACCTGAATAAATTTCATTCACTAAACCATTTAACAAGGGTTTATTTTGAATGAGGATTTTTAAATATATTGATGCAATCCTGATTAATCATCTATGCAATGCGATAGCAATTCAGCTTCAATCCTGCGTTTCCATACAGCTAGTCTTATAATCACCAAGCGTAGCTCAATCAAATCTTCCGTTATAGGAAGGCTGCGCAATGCTCCGTTTAACTATGCAAGAGATGATACTGAGATTAAGGTAGGCGATATGTCCACTAAAGCGTTAAGAGCTCCAGAGCTGCTATATCTCTATAACTTGTCTCAATTACTGAAATGTCAAGAAATCTGTTTGATGTCTACCTCCCTCTGAATTAATGACATTAATATTGTATGTTTGATTTTCGCTTCTTGTGTTAAAGTATTGGAATGCATTTTTAAGAGACCGTTTTTATATGATTTCTATATCGGTTAGATCTTGATTGCACTACTCCTTTTCATTTTCCATCACAACATTTTGAAGTTGCGGTTATAACGCTCGTTGATTCGCTTAAGAATTGCAAATTTTTTGATGTCGTTACTAGTTGATGCTTATTGGGTCTTTGATTAAAGTTCGGAGTACAACATTGCAGCCACACCAGCGGTTTTGAAGAACTGGCGGTTCCAAAACAACGTAGTAGCCAGGGGGCCGCATGACGTTTTTGACCCACATGGAAGAAGATTTCCCCATGCCCGATCACTTGCGAAGTTAGAATGGTTCTCCTTGTTTAACGCACCTGGCAGGTCTTCAAAATCTCCTATTAACTTCACCCGAAAATGTTTTCACCTAGAAGGCCGCGGATGGGAATGAAAGCCACTTCACTGCGCTATTGAGGAAATTCTTGAGTCCAATTTTCCCAGATACGTTTGGTATCGTTTTGGCCAACAAAAACAGTCGTTCGCAGGTTCACCGATGTGTTTTACTATATTGGCCCGATCTTCTTTCTAGATACGTTGTCTCTTCTTTACACTACCATGGAAGCCATATATCAATCATCAGCCAAAGCGGACGTAATGGATTCAGCACCGCTTGGAGCTCCAACTCATGACGAAGATTACACTTTGGGTCTGCGAAAGTGGTCCGGAAAAAATATCGGTTTTAATGGCAGCAGACAAATATTTCGAATGCATCCTCTCGCAATGACAGCGATTCAATCATTTCTGAGCCGTCAATCAGCTGTGCAATTGACTCCATGATCTGCTTGACCAATAGTCATTTGTCCAACAATCGCATCGAAATCCGATTCGAAACTGGCGTGCGAATCGGCAACTTCATCGGAGTGATGTGCCGAACCATCTGAATATTTTATTATGATTCTATTGTCATTGGGACTTTGACATCTTCTGCTTGCGAATTGATGTTCATACCTTCACTATCATGATTGACGACATCTTTTGATGTATTATCAGAAGAGTTTGCTTTTCCGTTTGGCTTGACATTGCCGCAGACAGATTTCCTTCCATAGCACCGCAGTAAGACTGGTAAGTTCAACAACAGATATAGTTAGAGATATTATGGCAGCAATTCATTCCTCTTCAAACGCAAGTTTGGTTTTCTCAAAAGAACAAGATATACTAAGCAGCGCACAGGTCTAATGAAAATGGTACGCAGGGCAGGCTTTCTACAGATGTTGTAGCCAACAAAAGCCCGAAAAGGATTTCCATCGCTATGCTTGGTTCGGCCGATTTGCTGGAATTCAAGGCATAAAGAGTGCATTCAAGCTTTCTCAACTTACCAATAGTTGATTCGCTCCAATGATAGTATTACAAAGAGAAGCATATCATAGGTGCTTCTTCGGTGCAATTCAAAATCAGCAAAGCCTCTTGACAGCTCAACAATTATTTTGCAGGAGATCAGCAACATTAGCTTCAAATTCCTCTTCTTGGAGGTTGCATTGATATTTTTTGCCCACCGGCCAGTAAAACAACATTGATATTCACATTTGCAACTGAGATTTCTTCAGCGATTCTTCCTGATTAGCAAAATCATGGAAAACTTTGGATGCAAACTCGTTATCAACCCGGACAGAATGAACCGTCTTAGCAAATATTCGGTTGGTGACTTTCATATATTATTCCAACCTGGCAGCAGCAGATGATCGTGCAGCAATCGTGCGAGCAACGACTTGTCCTGTGTTCATCAATGATGATAGAATGAGGAATCCTACAAACGGCAGCAGCTGGAGCAGGCTCATCCCTATCGGCATACAAATGACTAGGAGCAGCCGTATCCTGCTTTTGAACCTGCTAACAATAAATTTCGTTGTCTCTCCATTAAAACAGTCTTCACTTTTTGTTCCACCAAAAGGAGAAACGGGTTCCGTTTCGCAATTTTTCCTGCAACAGAGCCACTGAAAGGACCGGCACATTGATGCCAAATTGCTGTAGAAAACGCAACGGCAGATGGGGAATCAAAATCTTCATCTATTCTGCGAATGCATCTGTTGTCCGGCATCGAACGACTTGCGTCGAGAGAATTGTTTTTGAATATATCCATGGTCCACATTTTTGTAACAGCAGAAGTTGAAATAATATTTGCAACATGGGGAGCATATAGATTTTACTCCGACTATCCTGCCGTAGGTAGCTTCACATAACAAATTATTTGACCTCAACGAAGATATTACCAATTCCCGCAACCTGACGTGAATGAAGTGTTAAGTCGGGGAACCGGTCAGCTATATAACCAATACGTTTAGAAGGACTACAATCGCAGACACGGTTTTTAGAGTTGAGAATCAGCTACTGAGTTACTATAAGCCACCTAAAATACAATGACTCATCCGCTCTGGCTGCATCCGCAAAAGCCCCATCAGCAAACTGACTGGGTGCGCCGAACGATCTAGCAGGTATTGCATGTGATGCCAATCACTCGAAACACAAATCCCACTTTTGGGAGAATGATATCATGTCTTTCTTTTTCGTTTTGGCAATCTCAACTGTTCATAATTACGTGAAACTAACGCTGATCAACCTAAATCACCAACTTATGCATCAATACCAAAATGCTTAAACACAATTTTTGCCCTAAAAGGAATATTTTAATCAACGTTGCTATACTAAAGAAGAAGCAACTGAGCCAAAGAAGATTCCAAGGCAGAATCTGCACAAGTATTCGCACCAGCTTCATCCGCATTGTGGACATAGAAAAGATTCAAAGTTAAATTTCATGAAAAATTCATTGGAGTCTTGCTTTGAATCAATCCGTTGTACGAGATATGAAAAACAACCGACCTGGTGGGAGTAGCCGCTCGTCGAACACCAAAGGACTCAATATTAATTTCGAAGCTGACTTGCGCTGGACGGCTGCTCCACCCATTGTCTCGCAGCTTCTTCTATAGGGCAAGAATTAGTACCTCAGAATCCAAGGTATTGAAATGCGGTTTCATCCAACTCTCAGGTTCTGCAAATCGACAGCTGCTTGTTGAAAGCGAGTCTCCTTGTTGAACACTTGAACCCACGGACTTAACTAGCTATTTTGCAGATCAATACCAACGCCCAAATATTTAAGTTAGTAAACTCTTTTTGTTTTTCTGACGTTTGCAGGAAAGCACTCCTTATTGTGCGCTAAATGATCTGTATCGAATGCATCATTATTAGTGAGGGATAAGAAATTCATAAAATCTGAATTCGTTGAACAGCTTTCAAGGACGTTTCATATGGATTAGGGTTAAATCAAACGCCATTGAAGAAGCCCACCAGCAAAAAATACCGACTTTCCGATTGTAGATACCCAGGGGACTCACAGTAATAATAGCCACTGATGATATGATAATATATAGTTTCTATTGGGAAAAACCAAAAAAAGTTAAAATATAAAAATTGATTAACTGTAATCGAGCAAAGATAGAAACTAAGTGTATCAGTGAAATATCTTTAATTTAACAATTGAAAAACATAAAATTAACAATAGCAGATGCTTCTATTAGCATACAATTGGTTCAGCTCCTGTAAACTCATGTCCCAAGTGGCGATTCTGTTGTAATTTTGGTGAATGGAATCAATTTCAAGACCAGTGTTAAACAGAACAATTGAAGATAACTTAATTACTGATTTATCTATGCTTGGCAAATAACTGAGCAAATAGATCAAATGAATTATTGCTAATGTCCCATAATGACTTGGAATACTAGACTCAATTAATAGTTGTCTCATGTTCGTTCTGATTTGTCTCAAAGACTCTTCAGCATCTTTATTTTGAGAAGATGAATTGAGCGCAGTGAATTCATGGAACATACCTTTTTCGTTCAAGAGATGCTCAAACATATTTGAATTGAATTTAATATATTTCATAATAATTAAAGCGATTTGTTGGTAATACTTAATACGGATTGCGGTATAAATATTGATTGAATGAATGAGTCAGTTGTCTATCGTTTGCTCCAGAGAATCAGTCCAACAGGTAAGAAAGATTCATGTTCCGCGGCATTTTAACGAATAGCACTATCAATTAGGCTAGCTTAATCAGCAGAGATATACTCCCGAATGAATAGTTCCTTTCATTTCTGAGGATTTGAAATGTGTAATTCGCTTGGAACCGATAAACAACTTTCAAACTTGCTTAATGCTCATTTAATATTGTTACGAGTGTATCCATATTTGGTAAGGTATTCATTTTTATCAACGAACTTGAACCTAGGTTGATGTGAATCTGTGACTAATTATATTCGGAGTAGAGACGCAAATCATTTGGCAATTCCTTTGCGGTTAACAATCATAAATGATGTCTTTTCTCACCCTCAGCAATAATCACACAGTCATTTTAAATTGAGAATATGCTGGTTTTATCAGAGCATTGTAACCATTTTCAGTCAGTTTGACAAGACTAATGAATATTATTGGTCAAAATGCAATAGGCAAGTCATTACAAAAATTTATTCAAGAATCACTAACGGTCTTTTCAGCGGTACAAATGTCACCACCACTGACACGTTTCACTATTACTTTTCCAATTTTTGATCAGTTTATAAATCAACGCTGATTACAGCATGAGTTGTTTTACCTGCATCAAGACCATTTCGAAAAAGAGAATGATCTTCAATTACATTAAATACTTTCAATTTGATGTTAACCCATGCCCAATAGCAGCTTTGACGGACTCAGATCCTACACTCACTTGAATCATGTATTAGCACTGAAATCGTTTAGCTTTCAGCAACTTTAACTGTAATATCCAAAGCAGTCGCTGATGAATGATTTCACTTTAGTGATCAATATTAGTTCCTTCAAACTCAATGCTCAGTTTGGTTAATATTCATAAATTCGTCATCTGCTCCATTTTATTAGTTAATTAATATCTCAGAATATGACTTCGATTGATAAAAATTCCATTGCATTTTATCAAAAAATGCGTTGCAAGACATTCGATTGTGTGTCAGATATTTTGCAGCGTTATCTTCTTCCAACTCAAGAAGAGCAGAAAAAGGTGCAATAGTTCAATATCCTGACTAGCCAAACCCATATCATGCAACTACGCTTTAATATTTTTTTTATTAATACAATAATTTACGGATTTATTATGCTTCTGAAGGTGTTAATCTTTTGAAAATTGCCGAAAATCCCACATTTTCGATTAACTTTATTGAGTACTCAAATAGCGTTGTCTCCTTCAAAATTTGAGACAAATTTGGATTTACAATCACATTTGATTGGTTGATCAATAATACCGGCAATTCGTTTGAAGTAAGAATGACTTCAGTGTCAGCAATGAAACCCATCAAGTTATTGTGATCTGGTTTCTTGAAGAACATAATAGATTTGGCAAACCATCTTTCAAACAACACCCATGCATCACCAATCGGTAGGCTATGAATCACCATTGATTGATTGCGCATATTCATTTTTGCAAAGTTACTGATCCCAATAATCAATTTGGAAGCTATTTTATCATTCTGAAGAAGACACTGCAGGATTTCATAAAATTTGAAATTGCAAGAAATGAAATACTAAAAAATGGAAATCATTAATTCAATTGTGGGTACAATGTATATCCATGGTCCCTTTAATCTCATTTTTATATTGAAAATCTTCCGATAGTTGAAGAAAGTACTTGAATCAACAAAGAATGTTCTAGGACTTCTGCGCACAAACACGAACCAATGCTAAAAGCATAACGTGTCCAACGTTTAAAATGCAAATTATGAAATTTAACAAACGCTTTCTTGAAATTCCAGGCATTCAACCAACAGAACATATTCATTTATAGCGTCATATAACATGATTCTTTCATTGTTTTAACACTCCTGCAGAGCGTTCGAGCTCGAAGCTTAAATAATTTTTAGTAAGATTAGATAATTGACCGAGCAAAAAATTGAGTATCTTTAACAGAAGGGAGTTATCAAATGATAGTTTCAACAATTATAGCGCTGACGAATAAAATTATGTCATTATTCTTGGAAATTATTACCTGTAAAACTCAAGCTGATGTATTCTGGGTAAGTTGAATTGGTTTGTTCAGTAATTGTAAATGGAAAACATTCTAGCTAGTAAAGCTGCTCTCTCTCACTGGCTGATGCTATTCATCATTGAAAATACAACTCAATTGTTGAGAAATATTAATTGATGCCAAGTAATGGAACATATAGTATTTGGTTTGCCACATCATCCTAATCAGATATCTGGTGAATTCATCAAAGCATCATCAAAGTGGTGCTTTCTGTGGCTTCGAATATGTTTGGGAAAGGAGACCAGTTGCTTATCCATTTGCTTATAATGGTATTTAACCAAATCGTAATGATTTCAGACTTCTTGACAATCAGAATAGGCAAATGAAATATATCCTTCTCTGAATATACCTCTGCACCTAACGGTTGTTAAAGCAAGTGATTAGGCAAGAGACAACTGCACAATAGTAGATAAAGTGGCTCCTTCACGATGTTAAATGGTAACCATTTTTCATCGCTGTTAGCAAATCAATCTGTTGAGCGCGCTCCCAGCAACGACAGCTGAGATTCTTTCATTAACTGAAGTAATAATAAGGGAAATAATCTTTCATAACTAATTACAAGTGGTATAACTACCGGTGGCACTCGATAATCGATATTGCGGAAATCCATTCTGTTTGAGACTATTGTTCTATCTTTCCACTGACAATCGATCTAATGATGAAGAAGTTTTAGTTCTGTGTATTTCAGACTATATTTGCTGAAAGGAAACGAAAATTAGTTATATCGAGACAAAAACCTGTGTCGCTGCAATTTATAACATGTTAGTTGATACGGCAGCATTTCAAGTTTATTTTAAAGCATAGAATTAATTTTATTTTATTTCGTTAATAAATTATCTAAATTACAATTTAGCTGCAAGTAGAAAAATCAAATTTAACTATCTTCCAAGTTTCGATTTTTTACTATTGTATATTCCCTATTCAATTAACAGGTGCAAAGCAGTTTTGATCTTCTAAATTTCCACTGTCCTGCCTTTAAAAATAAATAGTTTCTTGACTATTTTCACTAATATATGATTAATATTTTTCTATTTTTTTTGTTAAAGAATTTGAAATTCTTGACTCAAAATTTACAGATTTCTAGTAAAAGTGATTTGATCTTGACCTTAGAGATTTGTTATATTATGGTTACAGATATTCAATTGAAAAGTTTTATGATCTGAAGATTTCATATGATTCTTTTCTTGAATTCCTCCTTATTGAAAATTGCGTTTTTATTGCCAGCCATTTTTGGTTACATATTCTCCAGGCTTTTCTTCCCTCAACTTTATTACTAATATGTGATATAAATAGCACTGATCAGTTATCATTAAGATGGATCGTTTCTATCCGGTAGCCAAAGAAGACCTGATAGAAGAAAACTATTAAAACCACAACGAAAATTAGTTTAATTCCAATACATTACAAGTATATCCCATATCAGATAATGAAAGTACATTAGAGTTTCAGAGAATTGAGATTATTCCGATTTAAATTTCAACTGTAAGGCAAAATACTATTGAATATGATTTCAGTGCAACGCGAATGTCGTTCCAAATTATATGACATAGCAGCATGAATTTCAAAGGGAAGATCGCAGGCAAATTATCACCAAGCAGCCTATCCATCTAAAATTCCAGATGTTCCTTCAAATTAGATTCAACTGCTGTTTGCCAGTTCAAAGATGTGCCGCAACTAAATGGAGACAGGAACATTTCAATCAATTTACTTTCTAATTATGTAACTCGAAATTATCCGTCACTCCATACAACCAATAACGTTTTTGACGATAGATTTTGACTGATAATAGTATATCCATTGGCACTATTAGGGCCAGTGGGATGTTTGACAGTCGACATAATTTTCTCACTTTACAAAAGTAGTGAAATGAACAAATGGATTCCCATCTCTGCCATGAACTTCAATTATCTCCGAGAGAATACAATCCTTCAAAATTGTCTTGGACGATTCATGAATCCGCTGATATCGCAACCTCAATGTAATTTTTACGCGACTATATCGCCTCCTTTAAATGTTTCACAATTCATAAATGGAATTCTAACTTTGGCTGACCATATTTTTTCTTCGCCCACAATTTTGTGCCCATTCGACTTTATAATGTATTTATTTAATTTTATATGTACTGACTTCCATATATTAACTTATTAGTTATAAAAAATAATAAGAAAACATATATGGGAACAGAACGACTTCAATAAGTTAGAAATAAACTGCAAATGCATCTATAAACACCAACTTATAACAATTAATGAAGTACGTTCAGATTCAAAAGTCTAATGCGATTTCAATTTTTCTCTCATATATTTGATTGATACATCTATGCTGCCTGAATCGGAGGACAAAGAATTTATTTCAAGGACGTTGCTTAATATAATGAGAACTTCACAACGATAGCCCTCGAAGGTCGTTTTAACTCTCGAATGCGGTGAATTGACCGCGATTGAGTAACTCGCTCAATTTCCGTCAATTGCAAGTGCTGGCTCACACCGGTTTGCCTGTGGTGACTCAATAAACTGCTGCAACAACAACTAATTTAATGGTAGATTACGCAGATAGAGTATATATTATCCATAGGGGTTGTATCCCCGCAAGTTGTAGCAGTATTGCTAAGAGAGTCAATGAAGCTTTGCCGCTTGAATTGATGGTTGATTACCAACCTTAATTGTTTTGACATGACGCTGTATTACGGAGTTAGCGCACTTGCTGTCAGGAGTCGAAACAACTTGCGCTTTCACTGGAGCTGATTTCAAGAAGTTTGATTAAATGTGTTAAAGGCTTATTCACTGACTTGATATAATTTTCTTTTCTGTTCCAATTGAAAAGATCGATAGCATTGCCGCTTTCGTCATTCTTTTTCTTTATTTTCATGTTTGCCAAAACATTTATAATCTTCAACGTACCTAGTCCGCAAAATATGTTCTTTATTGATCGGACAAAAGATTGATTATGTTGGTTTTAAACATTTTGTTCAATTTGCCTATCAAGAACAAACTTCTTTTTCATCATTTTGTTGGTCATTATTTTATTTTCCTATTTTAATTGTTTCTTCATTTCCGATAGTGTCGCTTAGTTTCCTATTTGGTAATTTTGTATATTTTGATATTTCTACATTTAATAGAGGTTTGAAAAGCGTTTGAAGTAACTCAACTATATCCTACGTCGTAGATCTAACTGAATGTAATATCTGTCAAACAGCTAACATCCAGTGAGGCCAATCGTACCACTGATAGTGGCAAGATCGTCACCAGGATTCTACCTACCGCAGTTCTTTTTCTTTACCATTGATATTATTTCATCTTGTTTTACAAAGTTAAGATCACCGCACTTTACTGGGAGATGACACAAAATTGTGATGGCGCATCAACAAACTTATAATCAATCGACTTGCTCTCATATCCGATCGTTTAAATAATTGTACGGTCATTAATCTTTCATGATTGGATTAATGTATACGGCTGCAACGAGCTCAGTTCAATTACGTGACGATCCAATTTGCAATTCCCCACAACTTGCCGCGTTGCCATGCGAGATCCGCTTTCTACAGTAATGGCAGACCTAACTTTGGACCGATGATCTTCAATTCTTCTCTCTACTAGCAACTCAGAAGTATTTTTCCACAAGAAGTACCAAGTGCTGACTTCTTTCTTATTTTCATTTTGATTTTCCTCATCTATTCAATATTCAAAAAAATGAAAATGATGATCGTCAGCTACTTTTCATCGTACAGGTTTATAAATCCGATAAATAGTTGATGAAGTCAAATTTACCATTTCTGATAAAGTTAGGTTGAGATCCTCCTTCAGGTTATCATTCAGTTCTTTGCAATATGTCACCGGTCTGCTTCGTGACGGTCCGTGATTTGACCCAGCTAATGATAAAGAAGCCTGCGGATCAGTTCTACGTCTTTTCGTCATTCGTAGTTTTTGACCCAATTATTTTAACACGGATTTTATAGAACAGCATACGAGGAACATTTCAATAGCTCACCAGCAAGAATGTCATGCTTTAATGTATCCTTTTACAATTAGCTATGGGGCTTGGTGATTCAATTTCCAACCGGTATAACTGAGTGTGACGGCTCAAGACTTTAAAAATGGAGTTGTTATTGTTGCTGTGGATCTTAAGTTACACGGTGATACGGATTTTTGCGGCTGTATTACCCTCAGTTTCCATCGAAACACGAACCCTTTCTCCTTTAACGTAGGAGTTGATAAGCAAAAATGCAATGGACATAAATAAATTTTTAGGATGGTCAAGGCCTACGGTCCGGCTGGGGGAAAATCTAGAAGAATTCCGACTGGACCTCGTTCCAATGAAAAAGGCAAAATATATTATTAAACGAAAATGAACAAAAATACTGTGCTTGATCTGTCATGTTCTAAAAGCAAGTGAGCCTCCCGGATATCCACATTTGGTGCCTTAGGATCTGTAACCGGTCGTTACCGGTGAGACTTGCTTGCTAGACAGTTGCCATTGAATACGGCTGGCGATTTCCTTCTCATTCAATTTGCATCTTTGATTTTGACATTAATCTATTATCATGGATTAGCCACAGCGGGTTACTAGCCAAATCGAAAATCTTTGCTCGCAACAATCAAAGCAACCAATATTTTCTGGTACTTTCTCATCTTGAGTTTGGACTTCATTTTGAAACCCCCTCAGCTCGGTTCGTTGATTCAAGCGTTTGGCAAAAGAACTGGTGGTTTTGATGAACAAGATAATTGCGAGAACAATAATGCAGCATTAACTTTGATTTGCCTTACTGTAGGTTCCGTCGGATTAGCTGCTGCTGTCTTGAAAAATGTGCTATGAATTGGAGAGTATGGCCGATGAGTATTAGCAATTTTGGAAAGCCATTATTGTACTTCTAGCGCTCCAACTGTTA